CAATTTCGAAGTCAAAGTGTGTTAAGTGGAGGGTTGGCTCGCTTCCGCTGGGAGCTTGGCGTTTTCTTTTTCCTCTGCTTCCCGCTCTTCGTCGGACTGGGGTATTCGTAATAGGATCGTTTGGAAGTCGGCAGCTTTCTTCATACCTTGTGGATGTCATCATTCTACTATTCGCAGGTGATACTTGGCCGACGGGGGTTCGTGGAACAGTGGGACGGGAGATGACGTTTTGGTTGCATTGGAACTGGGAATGATTTGCGAATAATATTGGAGGTCCAGTATTGGGATTTGAAAGTGAGGGCACGGGGGATTTATACGGTAGCTACTGTAGGAGACTTACACCGTTCTCCTGTGGTTCTTTTCCAGAAGAGTTCCAAGAAGGTCTCAAAGGTCATGCCGGGGGGTAGTGCAAAACCATGGGGAAGGGCCAGTGTGGCAGCTTGAAGGCGAACTGGTGAGTAGAGGTGGGGCGGGGGGATGGTGTGTGTGCGTAGTGGCTTGTAAAATGTTGCGACGGGCACCAGTGATGCCCCATGCTCCGTAAGATCGATGTCCGGTTGTTATGCGGGAAATCAACGGCCGATAGAGTGAAGCCGGGAGGCCCCATTCAATCGCTCTGCTCTCGCGCGCGCCGCGCTGCGCATCACCAGAGTGCATGGCACATCCTCAGTCATTTCAATCGCTCGTCCGAACCTCTGTGACTTGTCTTCTGCGGCCTTGTGTATGTGATCTATCATCTTTTTTTCAAAACCTAAACCCTAAATATAAGCCACATGATTCATTCGATTCTATTCACCATTATCCTGTATTAGTACACAAGTTGAACTAGTACTGGAAACGGAGACGACCCAGGGGGCATATGAATTAAAACAATAAAAATATTTTTATTGTTTTCCTTCCGCGTTTGCTCGGTTGAAGGACGGACAGATCTTTCGATCGATTTGTGGTCGACAGCTCAATTTGACGGCGACACAATGGCATTCATCGTCTGTAAATTGCGGTAGCTATAGTAAAGCATAAAGACAAGACACTACACTAGAAGACAAGACAATCAGCATGCTGCGACAATTCTCTTCCTTTATGGCATCCCGAATGGGCGGCCGATTTCCTTGTACGGCATCGACTCGTTGTTGGTCTGGACCACGGCAATTCTCCACCGTGATGGCGCCATCATCACAAGAACAAGTCGAGCCCGAAACCGTCTTGATTCAAACGAATGATGGCAGGACTTTCAAAGTACTAGACTCGAGAAAGCTACCTCCCCTCAAGCCTCATATAGTCAAGCGACGGCTCAGTCGCATGAGAACCTATGTCGAAGCCAAGAAAAACATTCGACATTCCCCCTGGCGGCTCAATCTCATTTGTCAAATGATTGCCGGCTTGACAGTACCAGAAGCCGACAAACAGTTGTCTTTTTGCGAAAAATCAAGAGCTCCTCTGGTACAGAAAATGCTCACGGCTGCCACGAGAAAAGCAGAGAAAAAGGATGGCATACAACCGGTACAACTCGAAGTGGCAGAGTGCTTTGTCACACGAGGCACTCCTCTGAAACGAATCAAACCCATGGCCAGGGGAAGGTGCGTATTTTGTATTTTTAGTTATGTTTCACAGCATGACTCTGTGGATGGATCGTTTTGGTTTCTGATCTTGTCCCCTCATTATTCGTTCGTTCTTTAGGTTTGGCAAAATGACACATCCCTTTGCGCACATTCGAATGGTGCTAAGAGAAATCGATTTCAAACTCAAAATATACCAGGAACCAACCATCAGTGGGAAAAAACAATGGCTCAACATGCAGATTGTGGCGCAACAAGAGGCAGAAAAGGCAGAAGCGGAAAGACTCGAATTGGAACAATACATGGCTCGACAACAAGAGATCAAGGAAAAGGAGGACGCCAAAAACTAGATAGACTAACTATTACTACTAGACCAAATAACTGACTAAGCTATGGCTGGTTAGTGCTAAGAAACACTACCGGTATAGCTATACCTACATGTACTAGAGAAGTATTGTATGCCATGAGTGGTAATAGCCCTTCGCGCGTCTTATAGGAACAAGGAGGATTGATCATACCAAACTTTCGGCAGCACTGACTCCTTCCGGTACCGGTAATAGGTATCGTTTGGGAGTGTAAAACACCAAAAATGGAGTTATCTAGTTTATCGTGGCGGAGGTAAGATACTGCCCTTGCAAGACATCGTTTATGGAAGTACGGAACGGTGCACGGGGCCACTATGAATTCAGGTAAAAAGGCAGGGGAAAAGATGATTGTTCACTGTCCAGCTCAATCTGAAGCTGAGACTGCCCCCTCTTTCTCGGAAGCTGCTGTCTTGTCCTTGTGGTCATCTCCTGAAGTTTCTGAAGCGTCGGCAACCTCTTCTTTGATCTGACCAAGTTGAGCGTTTCGCACAAATCCCTGCAGTCGATTCACAACCGTGGCTTCGTCCTGCTGAATCGTCAAACCTCCACTGACCGAAATACCACGACTGTCCAGCATCTCTCCGCTGTATCCTTGTCGGAGGCTTTTGAGGGTAGCTTCGTTGACACGGATCTTGTACACCTCGCCATCGATAGTGATTTCGGCAGCATGGCCAGTGCCCTTGAAAGACTCCAACAGGGTTTTCGCTGAAGGGAGCGCACTCGCTTTGGTGAATTTACCTCGTTGATCAGCGCCACCAGCCTCATCATCCTTGTCTGCTCCCTCTCCAAACAAGCCGCCACCGATCACTAGCAAGCAGCACAGGAAGAAAAGATAAGAAAATGAACCAACCAGCCGAGAGATGACGAAGTCTTATGACTGCAAAACCTTACCAGGAGTCGAACGCATCTTCTGTCGTCGCCTGCACAAGAAAAATCATTAGTAAAGAATGGACAGTTAGTAATTCTCTGGTGCAACAACCAACGCAGTACCCCAATGGGCATCACTTGCCTTCGAGCTTTTTTCGGAGGATCCGCAGTGCCGTCTGCGGCTGCGGCAGGGGCAGCAGCAGAAGGAGAAGTGTCGGGACCAACATCCTTCCCCATCTCCCGCAAGATCTCTGCCACAGATTTCTGACGGCGAATGAATCAATTGTTAGGATCCATGTAAAATCGCGCACGAACGCTAGAGCGTCGAGATCCGTGCTTACCTCGTGCGTGGCAGTGGTTTGCGCAGCCTGTTTGCGCTCCAATTCTGCGGTGGCTGCCTCCAAAACGCGCTGTTCCACATTCAATGATTGTCGCCTCTGTACCCTTTGGTTTTCATCCACTTCTTCCGTGTACTCCTCGACAACTCCAGGGTACCAGCGCTGGACCTTGACCTTAGCAACTTCCGGTTGATTGATAGTATCCATCAGTTCCTGGGTGATTTCAGCAATTCGCTTTTCAAGTTCCTCCTTGCTGGCTCCTTTCGAGACTTCAAGGGTGTCCTTGACGTAGATCTCGTTCACAAGAGTCGTATTCACACCTCGAGGAGACCAAGCGCGATGGTCAATGACTTCCATTCCCAGCCTAGCCATTGTTGCCATGAGGCGGTGCATGAGGCCCTGTTGATTGCATCAGTGTTGAGGTCAAACCCAGTGTTGAAAAAAAGTTGTGTGAGGCCTGGGCCCGGATAGAAGAAACGAATGGACACGTTCGAACAAGTCTTCTCCCTCACTTACCCAAGAAGCTGAAGACTGAGTCTGGATACACAAGAATACGGCCGACTTGTTTCGAATTCCTTCCTCCAATTTATGCGCCCGATCGGGTTCGTCTACAGTACTTTCCAAATCGTGATTTCGATTCATTTCCTCCTTGACGGCTTGCTGCACTGCCTCTTCTGCCTTTTTGTTGTAGTAACTGATTGTGAATCGGAGAGCAAAGGGAGGGATGACGGTACTGATCAAGACAGCCAGAACCACACTGGCGTACAAGTCCTTGGAAATCAATTCATTGTCGACAGAATAAACAGCAATGACAAAGGCGAATTCTCCTTCTGCTGCCATACTGAAACCGGTGATGAGACAGTCTCGCAAATGCTGATTGGTAAAGCTTTTGGATTGCGTAAAGTTGGGGACCAGAAATCCCACAGCCAACTTTCCGAGCAGCGCCAGGGTAAAGACCAAACCTTGCCAAATGACGGTCACATTGCCGAAATCTTTAATGGGCACTTGGAATCCAATACTGGAATAATATTCAAGGGCGGTAGTAGTGAATAGAAGAGAAAGAGAGTGTGTTAGAGAGAGAATTGCAGGAGTGATTTCACCATCAACAACCAAACGCATACGGTAGGAACGCACCTAGCCGCAAAGAAGACTCGCATCAACCATTGCAAGAGTCGTTTGAATTGTCGTACAAAGAGCGTGTGAAGCTCATGACTGGTACAGAAAGTGAGACCGGCGACAAAGGCTCCCATCAGATAGGACGCCTTGCTGTAGTAGGTCGCCGGCATCAAAGCCAGCACCAAGCCAAACATGATTGCCATTTCCATTTTGTCCTTGTTTTCCGGTCCTGCTTTCCCCGTGATGTATTTCTCCAAAAGCGGCGGAGCGACCCAAATGGCAATGTATCCACCTACCACGAGATACAACGTTGCGGAGACGACCGGGATGAGAATTCCAGCGACGGTGATTTCTCCCACCAATGATTCTAGCTGTGACAGAACAATCAAGGCAATCATGTCATCAATGACAGCCGCCGAAATGATCAATTGTCCAACAGGAGTATTCAGAATACCACCTCCACGTAAAATATTCAAGGCAATTCCCAAGGAAGTGGGTCCAAATACGGCACCGGCGGCGATGATGGCTTTGGTATCTCCTGCATCGATGGCCCATGCAATGAACATACCCAGTGCAATTGGCAGAATCGACCCAATGACGGCAATCAAGAAACCACGAGTACCAATCAGCTTCAACGTGGATACATCAATGTCAATACCCGCTTCCAAAACCAAAATGATCAGACTGTTGGTTGCGTTCAAAAGCAAGTCAGAAAAAGGTGTTGTGTTGTCCGTCCAAGCCCTTTCTAAATTCAATCAATCCATGAGTGGTTCTTACCCAATTTCTCCCAACAACACCCACGCTTCTGGATTGGGGACAAAGTCCAAGAGAGGAGGGCCCAGAATGATGCCAGCAAAAACCTCTCCGACCAAGTTGGGCATTTTCAAGACTTGCGCACTGATGACTCCAGCCACGTAGATTGCCGTGAGAAAAACGATCGAGTTGTACAAATCATTGTAGGTAATGTGGACGCCTGTTTTTGGTTATTTTTGGTTTGTCACATAGAAACAGAGGGAAGCAAAGAGTGCGGCGTGAGTGTTGGCGGATCAAAAACAAAAAATTACTGTGGATTGGACTGCATCTCCAGTAAAAGCAAGTATTCCTTTCACTCGTCGTACCAAATTCAGAGTGTCCACCACCATGGTCATCACCATGACTGTCAGCAGCATGCACGTCGATGGTATGATCGTCATCCATCCCTGAGCCATGGTCGTCGTCATGGACAGAAGTAGCGTTTTCCGCCACATAGCGGGCTACATGGAACAGGATTCGTTCCAACGGAGTTGGCACGGTCGTCATCTTCTTGCTCCGTCGTCTTTTTCTCTGGTCTTGTGTCTATGTCTGCTTGCGATGTATAGCAGGTACTTTCTTGCGGATTATGAGAGGATGCGGTATGGAACAAAAGCAGAGGGTTGCAAGTCCTGCATTTGCAATGTTCAATGGCTGCTGTGGATGAAAATTGGCTCGAGCTCCTCCACTTTTGTTCCTTCGCGATGGGGAACCCTTCGCATTTGGCAAAGATTTCAACTCTATCTCTATTACCGGTAGGGTTAACGTTACTCGTGTCTCTGCAGCTGTCTCCACTTCTTTGCTCCTTTGTCATTGGCCCTCTCTCGCCTTGGAAGCCCTTCTGGATTGGAAAGAAAGGACCATGAGAAAGAAATCGAAGAAGAAGCTGTGAGTTCAAGTGTTGCTGGAATGCTGGAAATGGCAGTGGAATGAAGAGCTAATGAAGCCGTCGCGACCTAGCTAGCTAGTAGAGGATGCTGGTGGAGCCCACGCCAAAGATGAACCTGGAACGAATTCAATCCTGCCTCTGCCGCCAACACCGACATGGTCAGGCCCAGATACTCAAAGAGTTTTTCTAGTCTACCGGCAAGGATTAGCTGCTGGCAATGAAAATTCGAATGTTGCAAATTTGCATCAAGAAGAACTTCAACTGTGCAATGTGCGTTGGCTAGCTACCAATGGAATACGAGCTCAGTCAAGTCGAAGTAGTGTCATGCATGTATTCATATGGCTATTCGCCATGCTCTAGTTTCGACTGCACCAGCGACTTCCGCGCAGCCACCATTTGGCTGGCCTACATGTCATGTCAAATCTAGCTACAGTGTACTAGTGGTGACTAGTGAAGTGTACACCGAAGGCCTGATGGGCGGATGCTGCAAAAGTGGATACGCAATACAGCGTTGTGGTGGTAGAGTGGTAGGGCTGTTTCAGCTCCTCATTGGTCCAAGTCGGGGGGGGGGGGTAGAAAGGTCCTTCAATTCGAATGATGAAGACCTATCTTTGTCAACGAGGAGGGAAAAGCCCACATTCATCATACCACTGAGCTAGCAGACAACCATTCAGCGAAGAGGAGATACCCCTCATCTTCCCAACAAAGGTCTTTCTAACCCAACCGGCTTTAAATTTTGGCGAACCCAATGTCTTCGATTGACTTCGGGTTGCTTCTAAAAGTGACGCCCGGGCGAAGCGCAAAAAAGCGTTCGCAATGCGGGTGCCATCACGCGACTGAGAATGTCACTGAATCAACCAGGCAGAATGCCATCGAGTCACCGAGCAACACAAACAACAACACCAAACCAAGCAAACCATGGTGGGAACCATTCCAGACGACATCCGCACCGATGTGGAAAACCACAACTCACACCAAGAACAACAAATAATTTCGGATACAACAACAACGAGGTAAGTCTCTATTTTTGTTGTGGTTTGTTTGTCATCGCTGATTGCTCGCATCATTGTTGGTTTCGTGCAAGACAGAGGGTGCCATCACCAGACGCGTGACTGAAGAAGCCGTTGATCGATATTATTAAATTTTGTCCCGCAGAGACAAATTTATGTGACTCGGCCAATCCGCGTCACAAGAGAACACAAAGAAGGTTCAATCGTTTCTGCTTTCTTTGCTTTTTTTTGCGGGGTTGATGGATGATTCGACACGACCACACGGGTCCATCACACAGCCATCAGCCAGATTCCTTTTCCATGGCTTTCCAAACTGTTGTCGTTGTGATTGACTCATTATGATTTCAGCGGCTGAATCACCGCCACATTCCAAGAAGCGTCGTAGACTATCGCTTTGTAGCAGCAGCAACACAATCTCACCTGATTTGATTATGGAATCTCCTCTCAGTATCCCTCAGACACCAACCACACCATCCGGCAAGGCGATGATGAACTTTCCTGCCGTGGTGACTCCTTTGCAGTATCCTCTAGTGTCTCGACGCAACAGCAGTGGTAGTAGTAGTGGTCGGAAGCGATCCGCGATACAGCAGTATGGTGGTGGTCCAGAGGAGGAAGAATATTATGATGAGAACCGTCAGGATGAAGATTCCTTGCCGCCGCGACCTTCCCAGGACACGCGACGGGTCTCGCCAAGATCATCACCTATTGCTGTCCTCAAGCTGCGACGAACCAACCTGTTTCCGGAAGAGGAAGGAAAAGGACCCATCACTGTCACCTACAGTCCATCCTATGATTCCTACGATACCATGTCTCGAGATGATTTCTCCTCTCGATCATCATTGGCCAACTCCATGTTTCTGGTGTCTCCACTGCGTCCCCTGTCACGTCAACGCATTAGTGTTCCTCCTCCGTTCACAAAGAGCCTTCGGGCATCCCTCATTGATTCTTCCGAATCCATTCTACGACCGCTCACACCGCGCAACAAAAGTCACCAACCCAAGCGCAGCCTCAGTGATGCCGTGTTACTTGAGCATGATGATGACAACAGCAACAACATCAAGGATCAAGCAGACATCAATGCCACTCACAGCACAGACTTTTCAACATCCCGCGCACAAAAACAAACACAGCAATCCGCCAAGACAGAGCAAGAAGAAGCCAAGAACCAGTGGCTGATTCCAGCGGAACATCCCTACAAAATTCTATGGGATGTTCTCACGTTTTGTCTGTCCTTTGCCAACGCCTTGGCAACACACAATGCCATTGTCAGACGACAATTTGGAGACTCCTGGTTCATGACATTCTGTGAAGCATGGTTCATGATGGACATTCTACTCAACTTTTTCACGGAATACCGCAGTGACACATACATTATTCGAGACAGCCGCAGTGTCTGCGCACGCTATCTCACCACATGGTTTGTCATTGATGTCTTGAGTCTCTTTCCCGGAGAAGTCGTCTACTTGAAACCCATTATTGATCGACAAAACAAACGAAACTTTTTCCAAAAGAACTTTTTCCGATCCAAGGCGGTGGTTCGAGTCACACGCATCTTGCGAGGACGACATTTCAAAATGTTTAGCAAGGCGTCCAAGCACACCAAACATGCCGGTGTCGGTGCGGCTCGACTGCTCCAATTACTCATCAAATACATTCCCAAGTACCTGCTCTTTGTTCGCAATATGAAGGGCGTCCTGGCATTGCGCATGTTGCGACAAATTCACTGGTTTCGAAAGGTGTGGCGCAACTTTATCGCACCCGGACTTTCCGATGAAGCGGTGCAACCGGAGCCTCCCGTCAGTCTCCGGAAACTGCGACGTGAGTACAATGAAGACGAAGACGGTGCTCCCTTTTAGAACAATCCTTCCTCCCTTCCTCCTCCCGATAGAATATTATCACCACCACAATCATCTCGAGACACTATGTCCTTGTTTCTCCCACTGTATCTTAGGTATTGCTCCGGGCTTATGCACAGACCGGGCTTTCTGTTCTCTTGGACACCACAATAGTATGTATGTGTAACAACTAACTAGAAGAATGTCAACTGTATCAAGTGATTCTATTACTTACTACTGGCTAGTAGTAGTCGCCTGATTTGATGCACTTGCGCTGTATGATGCTCTGCATGTGTGTTCGACACACTAGTACTTCCAAAGTACTAGCTTGTTTCTCTTTTTGGCTAGCTGTCGGTAGTCGATGGCTGACATTCTATTCAGTGGTAAACGTTACCGTTGTGGTTTCAAATCTGCAAAAGGTTAGTCTCCTCCTCCACCGCCTTCTCCTCCAAAGTACCGCTTCTTCGTTTCCTCGTCTACCATGTTCTCTAATTGTTCACGGCTTTGCTCCAATCCTTCTCGTTGCTTTTGCAGGTACACTTCCATTTCCTTGCGATAGCGCTTCATGTCCTCCTCAGCGCGTTTCTTGTAGTCTTCCAATTCCTCCGGAGGCAGCTCTTTCCATCTACGACCAATCACTTTAGTGGGTACCAGTACGAGAGACAGGAGAATCAAAACAACGCTGAGAGGACCAGATTCTAACAGAATACAGGGAACTGTGGGTTGTATGTATGTAAACTTACTCTTGGCCAAGGATTCAAAACCAATCTTGCCATGGGGCACTCGCTTTCGTTTCTTGCCAGCTCCATTTTTGCCGTCATCGCCATCTTGGTCGCCGTCGGCGTCTTTTTCTTCCTTTACTTTTGCACCTTCTTCATCATTGCCTTCCTTACTATTCTCATCGCCGCCATCTTCTTTCTTTGTCTTGGCCTTTTTGCTTTTCTTGCCATCGTCCGGGATGCCCGATAATATTCGTGCGCGTTCGTCTTTGAAGAAGAGGTTCTACGGTACCAGTAGTTAGTTTGTGGGTTTGAACCGTGGCGGAGGGAAAGGACAATGTCAGCATGAAAATAAAGGATTTCCAACCCGTCCATGTAGATAGATATATGTAGGACTTACATAAGCTGAAAGGGGCCGCTTTGGTTTGTTCTTTGCCTTTTTGTTTTTGGTCTTTCGGTTTGCCGTTTCAAATGGATTCACTGCAGCTCCTCCACCCGCTGCAGCAGAGGCTCCTCCCATCATGCCGCCCATCATGGATTGTTGCAGTTCTGCAGGGTTTGCTCCAGTTCCAACTCCAGCTTGCTGAGCCATGGACAAGTAGGACGCCGCCGATATGCCTGCAGCACCCGAGAGTCCAGCACCTAGGCCAAACATATTTTGCTGTTGAGCTGATGCGGGTGCTCCAAAAAAGTTTCCACCAGCAGCTGCTTGTTGTTGCTGTATCATTTGACGAATGAGCATGTTGGGATCGGCACCTCCCGCCATCATGGCGTTCATGCCCATGGCAGCATTCATGGGATTCATCATGCCTTGAGCATTCATGGCGCCTGCCAAGGCAGCGGAGGAGTTCATGGTGTTGTTCTGAGCTTGTCCGAGAGCGGCGTTTGCCTGCGACATGGGATCGGCTTGTGCTGCTGCTTGCGCCTGTAGAAACATGGGATTCATCATGGACGGATCCATCCCAAAACCGGCTGCTGCTTGCATTCCAGGAAAACCTCCGAATGGGTGCATGCCCTGCATTCCAGGGAATCCTCCTCCCATGCCAGCCATGCCCGCCGCCATGTGTGCTTGTGCGAATGCATCACTGCCACCACCACCGCTATGGTCCAACTGTTGCTGATGCTGCTGCTGCTGCTGTGCTCCCATCATGTGCATGAGTGCCTCATGACTTGGAGCAGGTGCTCCATAGCCAAGTGCTGCCATGCTGGGCATGCCGCCAGCCATCGGCGCCTGGGAGGCGTCATCCGGTGGGTCACTACCTCGACCGTCCATCTCTCTCAAGGAAAAAGCGTCTACAGTAGTAGCAATCGGAGCGATGGTAGCACCTTTAGCTCGGATTTCTCGAGATTGTGAGGATGGATGTACCCAAGGTTTAGGTGTCGACAGCAATAAGAATGTCAATAAGAACAGTCCAGCATGAGACAACAACAATTAATGTCGCTGTGTTAAATGTAATGTCGCTTTATTAAATGTGGGCCGGAGTGCAAATTTTACCATTGCTTTTCAAGAAGTCCAGCAGTGGTGGAACAAAGACGTCAACGTAGAATACCCCAAATGGATCTTCCTTTTGCGGTGGTATCACCATAAATATTAATTCGATTGAAAACAATGGGTCCCAGGACACCGTGGAATGTAAAACAAAAGCATTTAGATGGGGTATTGTTTACCTGTCCATCACTCCGAGACTTGCATTTTTTCCAGATCCAACCACGATCAAAGCTGGTTGGCTTGTTGGCTTTGTTGGGAGTGAGCGTTGGCTACCGGTACGGTACATCGATCGGCAAGATCGGTAGTCTAGTCCACGCGTACTTGTATCCTTGTATTTCTCATGCCCAGAAAGCTCCTTCATAATCCCAACCTTGCAATAGAATCAGCCCATACGGTACTCTAGCTAGGCTAGCCATGCCCATCTATCCTGCAACAGTATAATGCAATAAGCACCACAGCCTCTGCTGAAATTTTGTCAGAAACAAAGTACATGTCCTGCCAGCTTGAATGCAAGGATGCAAAGAAATCAACTCCTCCTGCAACGAAATTCACGGAGCCTGCGGACACAATCCCACATTTCACAAACTACCATAGTACCGTAGCCCAAGCCCTGATGACCCAGCAAGCCATGGGGGGAGATGAGTCAAGCCAAACAACCAAACAACCCGATTTGACAGTTTGCTTGTGAGCTGTCTCAGTTAATCTACTTAGTTGGTTGGTTCAGTCACTACTTTGTTGCTATCGTACTAGTATCGTATAACTCAAGGAATGACTACAACTAACCTTTTAAGTTAATTAACACGTGTGAATTCAACAGAGACTGTAGCAGCAAGGAACCAACCTCACGTCAGGAGAGACTGTACAGTAGTCTGCCTGCTCAGCCAGTTCATCGTCCAATACCGTTGGAAGGCCAACGAGCCTATGGAAGCAAAGGAAATGGCATTGTGGGCGCCTTGACTGCCTGCATTTTCGCTTGGTTGAGGTTTACATTCGGGTATCCTCCTAAACTAGCTACAAGTATAAGTCACACGTCTTGCTTTTGAATACAGCCATTTATTTTACCACCCACGACAATCGTATTGAATTATCTTTTTATATAGTTACACCAGTGCAGCCTCACGTTCTTCAAGGCAACTAAACTAAACTATCCAGCATGCATGCAAAACAACAGAGTGAAAGTATTCCACAATACTGATCTCATGATCTATCTCACCTCCCGTATGAAACTCTTGAATGTTGGTGGAGCATCCACCAAAACAGAATCTCCCAATCGTCTATTCATTCCATCCATCCATCCATCTGACCAAGTCTCCCAAGCACCACTTTTAAAAAACATACGTTGCAAACCAAAACAAACACTTGATCAGCCTGCAAGCAAACAACGCAAGCAAGGCAAGCGCGGATTTACTCCTCTACTTCTTCCTCCTCTTCTTCTTCTCCAGCTCCTCCAAAGAGACTCCTGGCCATATCAAAGTTGTTATTCTCGGCCTTTTGTTCTCTCTGCTTTTGTTTCCAACCCTGATCACGATCGAATTGATCCTTACGAATTTCGGTTTCAGCCGTGGCCGTGACGGTGACATGCTTGGCGCGTTCGATTTCCTCGCGTGCGGCTTGTTTTTCCTTGTCATGCTGCGTATTGACCTTTTTGGCAAAGGCTTCTTCGTCCGACAGACCCTTGGCCTGGTACTTGTACCTGGCGGCCTTTTCTGCCGCTTCCCGTTCCTTGACCTTTTTCTTTTCGTTGTTTTGACGAACGTAAAAGTCCATGGGAGACACACCCTGGAAGGCTTTCTTCTCCCATTTCTTGGGTTCGTACTTTTGGCGATTCTCTTCGGGCGCCTTGAAGTCAAACTGAGGGTCGTTCGCTCGGTTCGCCATGGTGGTGGTGGATTTGGTTTGAATAAATAGTTAGTTCAAAACGTACAAGAAGAGTGTTGTTTCCAGCAGGATGGAAGAATAAATGAATCTGGCTGGGTATCTTTTTGTGAGAGAGGAGTGTTCTTTTGGATCTTTCTTTTTGAGCGATTTCAGAGCATCACAGAAGCACGAGAGCAAGATGGGAGCATCTGCTGCCAATCTTGAGCGAATTGAGACATTCATTCCTGCATACAGCATTTGCTGCCACTGCATTGGAGCCGCACACTTGCTCGAACCGAACACGTCACTAACACACCCTCATTCAACTCGAAAGAACGCAATCTGCAATCTGCAATCCACCGCGACAACGGGATGATGAAGCATCCAACAGAGTACTAGTATTGTAAAGTTTGCCATTTGGATAATAAGGAAAGACAATAATGTGGAAGACTTTGACGCTTTTGGGGTTTCTCTTAGTCTCGCAGACGCTGGCATTTCAGCCCACCATTCTGGGAAAAGAACCAAAACAATGCTACCCTCACTCCAAGCTCCAGGAGAGCGCCAATGACGTCGTCGAGACTACTTCTACTGGCAGCAGTACCAGCTCGTTAAAAAAGGATCTCTTGGAGCTAGCGGCATCGTATGATCGAGGATTCGGCGCCAGTCCTTCAGCGCGGTCTCGTGTCGATGACTTGATTGCCGCTCTGGAAGCACTCAACGAAGAAACAGAGGCGGCTCGAGGCGTGGATGGATCCGAAGCATCTCCCCTTGCTGGTAGTTGGAGAATGATCTGGACCACAGCGTCGGATGTCTTGGTCTTGGGAGCATCACCCGTCGCCACTGTGGGAGCCATTTACCAAATATTTGATCCATTGCCCGTCGTCACCAATGTTATTGATTTCATCCCTCGGCTCCAAGCCCTCTTGCCACCGTCGATTGTGCCGTCCTCCTTGGTACGAGCCAAGGTACAAACCAAAGCTTCGCTGCGACCAGGATTCCCCAACCGAGTTGGATTGTGGTTTGAATCCGTCAATTTGCAGCCCGTACAAGTCTTGGGGGTCGATGCCAAACAATTGCCACCGTTTGCTGCCAACCTTCCCAAGCTTCCCGGTCAACCCAGCGATGATGGGCCGGGATACTTTGATGTCACCTACCTAGATGAGGAATTACTCATTATCCGACAAAATGCGCCCGGTGGACTCTTTGCACTCGTCAAAGTGCAAGATACCGAGCCGTAGGCGGTCGGTCGTTCGTTGGCGGTCCAATGGCTGCTGGACACATGATCTCATATCAAAATTTTGGCTCAACACGACAACTAACTAATTCATTCCTTCCTGGAATCAGCCATTCACAGTCCAGGAAACAAGGTGAAGGCATCGACGTTGTCTCTCGTTGAAAGAAAAAGCCAAAAGTCAATTATTCACCAAACGTCTTCATGAAAGCGTCCTTACCGCAACGATTCATTCATGTCAATCCATCCACGCACCCACACATATCGGTACATACATATCATCGCAACCAATGCTTCATACCCACAACTCCCCCAGTTATATAACTCTCATTTGATTTGATGATTGTTCTTTAGAAGGCCACGGCAACCAACCAAGGAAGCATACTATCAACACTTTTGGCAACAATTATTGTCCTTGTTCGCAGCTGCTAGTTGTTTGCTTCGACAGGTACGGGGACCGTTTGTTCAGTTGTTGGCCCAATGCACTGCTAGATAGCTAGAGACCGTTGTTCACCGAACATATGTAACAACTAACGTTATAGATGTCTACCATGCATTCACAAAAGTTAGTTTGAAGCTGCCACCGAAGCTTTCCTTATCAGGGACTGGTACTGGACAGACATCATGTCCTTTCAAGTCGACTTGCTTACTCCGCAAGTTTCCGACGCTGCTATGGATATTCAAATTCCTTTGAACTATTCCATGTTCCTTGCTCTCCAGTATTCGTTTGATCAAAACATCAAGACAAACCAAAAACAGCACAATGAGCACCAATTGCTAGACATACATGGCGACAAAGAAGCGCTAGCAGTGCAAAATGGTTCCACCGTGGTCGCCACGATAATGACCGGGATGTAAAAGACGACGGGCACCCCTGCGCCTTTGAGCATAAAGTCCAAATATTAAGCGACCGACGAAAACCGCATGGCTCCCAGAATAATGAAACTTGCATCGACACTGGCACCTGCAGCAAATTCGTTGAAGGTATAGCTCAAGGAATACACTGTGTAGCCACCACCTTGTGCCCGAACACATTCTCAAAGAAGGGAAACCACTCATCCTTAGCGTAGGAACATGCGTTTCCGCCATAGTCAAAGGCCATCTCAGGTCGAAATGGACTGACGGCGCCACAGATCAATGGGATCAGAAGCAAGTAGCATATGCAGGTGAACCTGGCCAGGCTGGCAAATAACTCCACGAGCCCCCCAGCAATGAGCTGGGGCCCAACCACCTTGAGCATGATCCACATCCCAAAGGCATACACAATACCATATGAGGGTAGGTCAGATTGCAATGCAGCCAGCTGGTAGGCAACCGTTCCGTCCTTGCTGAGAGCAAGATGAATACTGATGGAGGTGTAAACTTGAATCACGACATCCATAACTGCATATCAAGTCGTAGTCTTAATAGAGTCTAGAGTCCCCTGCAATTCTCAATGACAGGGTTCGTCACAGCTTTCAAAGCCTGAGGAATCACTCCAATGATTATAGCTATCGAGGCTGCTAGCACGCCCGTGCCTTGGGAGGCAACAATGCCGGCATGCACCAAATAATTTGTGAAGCTCTTGATTTCCAAGTCCCGGAGCACAAGTATTGCTTTCAAAGCCAATGCGATCTACGACAGCGATGAGGATAGCCACGATCGTGTAGCGGCTCAGTACTTCGGCGACTGCGACAGCGGTACCGGTACGAGGTCGCGAGTCGTCGCGACGTTTCCAGTTTTCTGCCAGATGTTTTGAGTTCGTTTCCTTTTGAAACTTTATCTTTGCCACGACCAGTTCCAAAACACAGCGTTTCCGACGATTATTTTGATATTCCTATTTTGATATCAAAAGCCTTCGCTGAACCTACTATTTTGATTTCAAAAGCGAAGCTAAAAGGAAAGAAGGCGTACATGTACCAGCATGCTCGCATTTTTTCTCATTTTATACACAACCCATGTAAATTTCTCTGATGCATCTCGTCTTTTGCTTGCTCGAATCCTTGACAATGGTAAGTCCTTCATGTTTCTCTCTTGACATGGGCGGTTCGCTCGTTGTCCCCGTTCCTGTGGTGTCTGAACAGCCAAAGGATAGTACACATTCGCTCATGACCACCCACGCCACTCAACGTGACGCAACCAACCAACCCTCTACCCTTTTACCTACCATCCACTTCGGATTCAACCATCCAACAACCAACCAACCAACCGTCCATCCATCCATCTACTTCGACCAACCAACCAACCCACCAATTGCGAGCGAATGTGTACTAATCTTTGTTTGGACACCAGAGGTTGGGGGGCACGCAACTTTCATTCAATTCTCTAGCTCAAGTCTGACTCTATTTTGCTCTCTATTGTCGATCTCAGTGCAGTTAGACAATTCCTTCGAATGCAACCTTGGTCCGTTGGTCGTTTGACTTAGTGTCGGTTGGTAGCTGCTCTCTTCCCTCCTTTGGTGGCACGGTGGTTCGCTCTGGTCAAGATCTACGTGTCGGTTGGTAGCTGCTCTCTTCCCTCCTTTGGTGGTTCGCTCTGGTCAAGATCTACGTGTCGGTTGGTAGCTGCTCTCTTCCCTCCTTTGGTGGCTCACTCTGGTCAAGATCTACGCGTCGGTTGGTAGCTGCTCTTCCCTCACTTTGGTGGTTCGTTCCGGTCAAGATCTACGCTACTCGCATTGGCTCTCTTCGCGAGGACTTCATATTCTAATGTAAGGACCTTCCAGTACTATTGTGATGCCAGAATGACAATTTCCTCTTTTGTGGTACTTCCTATCTGGGGATGGGGATTTGGGGTGGGGATGGGGATGATAGGACCACCCCAAATCCCCTGCCCCAGATAGGAAGTGGCATGAACCAGGAAGTTGTCATTCTAGCATCACAATAGTATTGGGAAGGTCCCTCACATGGGTCTGGAGCCTTGCTAGCACAGCAGTTGAGGTAGTATGAGTCTAGGTTGGTCCCTGCTCCTCACTTTTCTTTTTCTTCCCCCGAGGAACAGGGACCGACCTAGACTCATACTACCCCAACCACTGTTCTAGCAAGGCTCCGGATCCATGTGTGTAGGTGTCTCTTTTAATCCAACCATCCAACCATCCAACCATCCAACCAACCAACCAACCATCCAACCAACCAACCAACCAACCAACCAAAGCCCCGACAAAGCCCCGACAAAGCCCCGCCATTACCATGCTGGTGAGCGCTTGCAAGGAGCCATTTGCATTCCTGAAAGCGTGCAAATTCGGATCAAATGTCTCGGGTGTCACCACTGCTGTCTAGATTGTTGTTTCCTACTTTTCTAATAACTGTAAAGATCAAAAGCTACTATAGTGACAGCCTCAACAATATTAGCTATGGTTACGATGCTAGATTACGGTAGCTATTAATAGACAGCCTCAAAGTAAGCACGGATATTGACGCGCGCGAGGACAAGATCTTCAGTCAATTGAAAGATTGCGCTATGGGATCAAGAAAGCCACTGCTGCGATCAAGGCATCAGGGCATTCGACTGGCAATGGGTCTTGGACTTTTCCACGAACACGATTATTGGATGTGCGCACGCCAGTCACAGGTAGGTACCAGGTACCGGTACCTGGTACATCCATCGTACATGTAGCGTACTAGTACTGCGGGCCAGTCACAGTTTGAGGCAGCGTCAGAATGTCAATTTTACATTTTACATTTCTATTTTTCTGAAAAAATAGCTTACCACTTTTCGGTTTACTACAAATTTCTGCGCTTGTCACCTCTCTGACCAAGCAAAGCAAATCGATATATCGGGGCCTCATCAACCTCCCTCCTCACTCAACAGTTCAACTCTGTTTTGTTATCAAGTTTTCGTGTTTGCTTTCAAATACGACAGGCATATCCTTTCATTGGATTGTATAGAGCAAGATGTTTATCCCCAAAGAGAACCGTATCGCTGTTTTCAGCTACCTTTTCAAGGAGGGAGTCTGTGTTGTCAAGAAAGACACCAAGTCTGCCACACATCCTCAGATTGAGGGACCCACCAACTTGGAGGTCCTCGCGTTGATGAAGTCTCTGGAATCCCGAGAATTCGTTCGTATTACCTTCAGCTGGCAATACAACTACTGTTACTTGACAGATGCCGGTATTGCCTACTTGAGGACCTATTTGGGTCTCCCTGACGAAATTGTCCCTGCAACACACAAGAAGTCTGCTGCTCGCCCCGAGGGACGGGATCGCGAGGAAGACAAGTTTGGTGGCGGACGTCCTGCCTTCCGTGGTGGCGGCGGCGGCGGTGACCGGGAATACCGCGGTCGACGCGAAGGCGGAGGAGGGGGTGGATTCGGACGTGGTGGCGGTATCTAAAATGCCGTCTCTCGCACCTCCGTCTTCCTGTACCGATGATGTTGGAATGCTTTTTTAGATTTGATGGCATTGGCTTGCCTTTAGCTAGCTAAAGCTTGTATTTAATTGTCACGCCAATCTAGAAACCAATTATTCTGTAGCTTTTTTTACGGCTATCACATATTGGGAAATTGAAATTGTGAGGAAACTCCAAGCCTCCTAGCTTGGCTTGAACAAACCAGCAAGCTTTGTACGAACATCCGGAAAAGCAAGGCTGGGACTATTGGACAGCAAGATTGAATGATGAATCCTTCCACTCTAAATTTCGATGAACACGGTTCCATCATAGTCGTCCACGGGATCTTTAGGTGGATCGTCTTTCGCGGGAAGATCAATCCGACCGGTGTCTTCCGCTTCCTTGTCGGGTTCGCCCGCCGGTTTCATGTCGACATCGTTGACGGCATCCTTCGTTATCTCTTCCTCGTCTTCCTTATCGACTTTTTCGCCGTCGGTTTCAGCAAGCTTGACCCGCTTCTTTCGAGGGCCGTATGTAGTCCTTGGCTTCCTTTTCTTCTTTGGCAGAGGTTCCTTCTTTTCCCTCAGTTCAGGTGGCAGTTTCGATAGACGCAGGGCAACGAAAGCTGCGTCGCTGGCCTCCACCAGCTGGGATGCAAGATTGTGAAACGCCGAGTTTTCTTTGGACAAACGAACCGCACACTGCAAAAGTTGGGTTGCGACATCCAATGCCACCTTGTCGTTGTTGGCTGCTGTGTCATCGGTTTTCCCATCTGCTTTGTCATTTTCCCTTGGCTCCTCCTCCTCGTTGTCCACATCATCCACGCCAACGATCAAGCGAAACTTCATCCCGCTAAGAATCTCCGTCTGTAGCATTTGTCGAACCTCTTGGCTCTCTTCCAGACCGATCCAGTTCCGAAGAATCCGTCGCAATTCCTCTTGATTGGATTGCAAAAGCAGCTTGTCGTTTACAAAACAACGCTTCACTTCCGCTACGGACTTGTCCAGCGCACTGAGGAGTTCATCGTTCGTCGGGAGCGAACGTACATCCCCGTCGTTCTTACGGAAGAAAAGGACAATGTCTTTGATGAGTTCATCCGTTCCTACCCCATCCGTAAAGCCCATCGAATCGTTCTCAATGATATCTTCTTCAGAGGTTCCCTTTTTCTTTCGTCTTCGTCGCTTCTTTTTCTTCTTCCCGTCCTCATCATCAACGCTTCCAATTGCCTCGGGGGGCAACTCGTTCCAGACGTCGTTGAGGATTCTCATGCAATCCTGGAGGTGAGGGAGGTGGCCCTGTTTGAGCCCCGGGTAGCGAAAGTTGGCAGCGTCGGCCACTTCTCGACGTTGGTGACGTTCTTCAAAGACTTGAAAGACCTCTTTCAAGAGATAGTATCGGTACTTGGTCTTGACCACACTGAGTAGCTTTATTGGAGTTTCAAAAAAGCTGCTAATGCTCAGTCCGTCCGATGTGCTGTTGTGATTGTTGGCCAAGAGTGGTGGCAAGAACCTCACTCGAACTTGATCCTGTGGGTCGTCCAGATCGACAATGCTTGGTTTCTGCAAGATTAGCAAGACCTTCTCATCTGTCCATTCGCGAATGTTGGGTAGAAAAGTCTCCTTCCACCACGTCAACAATGCTTTGGGGTTGGCCCAAGCGTTCTCTTGGTAAATGTGCGGGAACAGCCTTTGTCGTTTGCCCACAAAGCTGGGTGGATTCTTCTCGTCGGAAATCATGGTGAGAGGGATCTTGTGTCCACCAGAACTGTTGGAACAAATGAACAAGGACAGCCGGCCCTTGAGGGTATCCAGATACTTGGGTGCGCTATTCCCAGCTTCCACTGGATTTTCCACCACCGACCGGGTTGGCAACACCTTGTAGAATAGCATGGTATCCACCACGAAGAAAACATGATCTTTGCTGTAGGATCTTCGAATCTCGGGCACTTGCGACGACAGTGCAGCCGCAGCTGCGCGTGAAACAGATAGATAGATCGTAACATGAGAATATGCAGCTAGCTAGCTAGCTACACCGGGCCAATTATTGGAAGAGGAAGCGAAACAAAGAGCAACATACCTTTGGCAGCCTCTCGGTGACCCACGCTGTGCAGATTGTGTTTTCTGGCCCATTTTTTACTCCACCAAATACTAGCGTTAAAAGCCTGGTGGACAAGACAAAAAGATTGGTTTGAGAATGAATAGCAATCGATTGGCAGACCAGATGCAACTTCGTATCTACTGGTCCTTACATTGAGAGTTTTTCGTTCCTGCGCCGTCAAAAAGGGCTTTTTGGCGTCCTTTTCCAGGAGCAAGGCTTTGATTTCTTGTCCCTGCTTGGCAATCATGGCATTGGTGATGGGTAATTTACTGCTCCCCGACGCCTCCAAACGATCGTTCATATCCATGAATGTTCGCAGGGTGTCCGTGACCTTTTGGAGGTTGTCTCTGGAATTGCTCTTGGCAGAACCGCGTCTATTGACTTGTGCCCTGGAATATAGTATTGAAACAAAGCCAAAGCGGAAATTGGATAGGTGAGTCAATCAAGTGCAATCTCAGCAGAGAGTGTTTGTCTGTCTGATCAAACTAACTTACGTGATGATCTTGTCCTTGGTTTTGACCCAATCGCGAATGGTAGCTTCGGGCAACTTGTGTCGACGAGCCATTTCGGCGACGGTGACATTAAGCACTTCCAATTCATCGAGGAGTTTCACTTTGAAATCGTTGGAGTAACGAATGCGAGTGATCGTCTTGGCTCCCTTTTTCTTGTCGTCTTTGCCGTCTCCCTTGCCGTCGACGACTCCGACTTCTCCTTCCTTAGTCTCCGCGGTGCCGCCATTGTCATCACCTTCCTTGGGGAGCGCATCCAAATTCAAGCCGTCATCCTTGGCAGTGGGTTTGCCCTCATCGCCGCCGTCCAATGTCACACCAGGAGCATCCCTGCTCTTATTGTCATCATGGGTATTATCTGCATCATTGGCTACAGGAGCAGTTGGTTGGTGAAAGGTCAGAGGTTGAGGATTTCCAGGATCGACGAGGTTCCCAAATCCTCCTTCGATGGGCAATTTCGCAATCGGCTGTGCTGGATCCTCGGCTACCGTCGCCGCCGCTACTACCGGCTTCTCCAACAGAGCCGCAACGACACTGTTAGCAACGCTATTAGCAAGCTCTTCTGCCATGGTCAAGCCCGTGGTGAAGTCTGCACCAATGGCTTCTCTCAACTTGGGCGTGGTGAAGTAGGCACCTGAAATGGACTGCCAATGGACGAGAAGGGGATGGCGAATTGTTGCGTTTGTCTTTGCTGTCAAATATGCTTACCCCAACTTGTAAAATATTACCGCAGGTACCGATATCTACCAGTACATGTATCCAGAAACAAGATGCCTCCGGTGGCGCCAACTACGGAAACAGAAATAGCAAAAAGACATGACAGTGGATTGCACAACCCTCCCAGCTACTGACATGGCTTCCTAGCAGTTTTCCTAGCTCCTTCCCCCGCCCTACTAGTTCCAGCCCCGGTCCTGGTTGTACCTCCTCTGCTGGCCTGAGCCCAGCTAGTTAACCTCAGCTTCCCAGTCAGTGACATCTCTATAGCATTTCTCCTGGGCAGCTCCTTCCCCAGCTCAATGCCCAGTTTCATCCCAAATGGTCCTCCTGCTGAGAGCCTCAGCTATGCAGTTAGTGTTACTGCTAGAGCTACCAAGCAACCCTCTTAGCCAGCGGAGGAGTCGGGTCGGTATGAGGAGTGGAGTTGGGTTACATCTGGCCGGTACCGCGTAATGGTATAATCTACCTTTTACTGTACTCACCATACAGGACTGTCCGGCGGTTTTCACTCAGACTTTAAAACCACCACGACTGGTTCTCATCGTAAGGGCATGTTTTAAGGGCATGTTTATTTAAGGGTATGTTTAAGGGCATGTTTCAGATTTAAGGGCATGTTTTAAGGGCATGTTTATATAAGGGCATGTTCATTCGTGATAAGGGCATGTTCTATGTGTTTCAATGAAGGCTTAAGGGCATGTTTCAAGGCATTAAGGGTATGTTTTAAGGCATGTTTTAAGGGCATGTTAGGGCATGTTGAAGATTTAAGGGCTGTTTAAGGCTGTTTCAAACGGTGCTCAGGCGTGGAAATTTCAATTTTTGTTTTAGAGCCTGAGTGAAAACGGTCTGGTACGGTATGGTTAGCCTGTAACCCTAAAACGAGGACCAACCATTGATTGATTGATTGACACACCAAACAACAAAATCTGCAACAAGCCAACTCCATAGTTGGCGACTCTTCGATCTACCGGTGTATTTACAGTGGGGTATTTCTCCTGGAGGGAGATATTCGGGATACCGTTGAAGATACTCTGCAAGATGCCTCCACCAGATGATGAAGCATGGTATGACAATCTGGAGAAGCTCAAAGAATTCAAGGAGAAGAATGGGCACTGCAGAGTCCCAAACTGTCATTTAGGACTTGGCCAATGGCGGGTGTCAAATCAGCGGCATATTCAAAACATGCCCAAACATCGAGTGGATGCCCTTGATGCCATTGGATTTTGTTGGTCTGCACGTGATGAAACTTGGGAAACAATGTATGCTGAATTGAAGAAATTCCAAGAGGAAAATGGGCACTGTCTGGTACCAGCAACAAATGGAAAACTAGGCCGATGGGTCAGAGTTCAGGGATGGCTTTACAACAAAGGGAATCTGAGCAAGGAGAGATTTCAAAAGCTGCAAGAGCTTGGTTTCACTTGGGTTGTATGTAACTCTTTTGATCCCTCGGGAGAACGGTGGCAGTCCATGTTTGCCAATCTACAGAAATTCCAAGAGGAGCATGGTCACTGCAGGGTACCAAGAGCCGACGGAAAACTGGGCCGATGGGTCTCTACACAGAGAACGGTTTACCATCAAGGGAAGCTGAACAAGGAGAAACTTCAAAAGCTACAAGAGCTGGGTTTCACGTGGGATGTACATGCTACTTCTGGTCCATTGGGAGAAGATTGGCTGGCCATGTTTGCCAACCTGAAGAAATTCCACCAGGAAAATGGTCACTGCAGGGTACGACTGTACCACAGCGTGATGGAAAACTAGGCAAATGGGTCTCCAGGCAGCGATATTATCACAACAAAGGTGAGCTTCATGAGGAGAGATTTCAAAAGCTACAAGACTTTGGTTTCACTTGGGTTTTAGGAGACAATTCTTCCTCTCGTGTTGCACAACCTGGACAAAGTTCGTCATCTCAAACATCAAGGAAGGGAGGAGCAGCTGCCAATTCCAAGGATTCTGATTTGGATGAAGATGACGATGATGATGATGATGGTACAGATGAGATGGAGTCAATAGAAGAAACTCAACAAGAGGCTGACGATGAACAACCTTCTGATGAAGAAATGACTAGCAAGCCTCCAGCAATGAAGCTCAAGAGAGCCACAAAATGCCAAGGTCAAAAACTTCAAGCTTACTCCAGGAAATGGAATGCTACTCCCACAAAGAAAGCTGCTGCAGAAAATGATGACACCGAATCCACAACTGAAGACAAGGCCTACAGGAGGAGAACTGCCCAATTGGGGATGGAATCAGAAAAGGAGGAAGGAGAGCAGAGCATACAGATGGAAGTTTCGAGTGAGGAGGACAATGATGATACCAGTAGTGACATTCAAGGTGAGATTGAGGAAGAAGATGATGACTTGGGTGTGGAGAGATCTAGTATTGGAATTCCTAGAAGGACCAAGAGTTCCCAACTTCAAAAGCTCCACAAGCTGGCTGCTGCCCAGCAGACAATCATCCAAAACCAGATTGAACGGCTGAACCACAAGAGAACAATTATCCGCAGTCAGAGAAGAACTATCAGAAAACAGAAAAGGATGATCAACATGCGACAGAAATCCATCCAAGAGCTCCCAAATCATTTGGCTGCTCTGCAACAACAAGTTGAAACAATTCAACAAGAGCTTGCAGATCTTGAGGGCTCAAGGCCTGACCTTTAGAGTGCGTACCTCGGGACTTCGACCAGCGTCTTTGCAGCAGTGCTTGAAAACTATGTGGAATTGATCTGCTGCTGCATTTCCACAACTACCTGTAGCTAAGAGATGGATCGCAGAAGGACCAATCAGTATTGAACTTTATAGCACCCACTATGTACATCATTTTCTCCGTGTGTCCTTTGTTGCTTGTTTGGCCTGTCTTCCCCCCTCTGAAGCGGACACACAGCTACCAGTCGGCCCGGGTAGCTGGCAAGCATATACATTGTATCTCCTGCGGTTCTGGTACTGGTCGCCAGATAGAACTAGATGTTGTTGCAAGCCTGCTAGATATTCTTTTGCTATTTCGTCGTCTTCGTCCACGCCTCGACTAAGCTTGAACCAAGCTGTGAGTAGAGGTAGATAGTCTATGCATCCTCGTTCGTTGGACTGGTGTGCTGGATTCCATTCCAGCCATCACAGAGGCCATTGAAACGTTCCTCTCGCTCCGAAATAAATGTGCGCCATCTGTTCTCGTGCCTCTGCAATCTCCGGAGAAGGTTATCTATCATTCCGCCTCTGCGCTCGCGGTGCTGATTGAAGCATTAGCATAGTAGTGAAAGTACTGGTGTTCCGAGCCAACGGTAACGGAATACGTGCCCACAGGGCTGGAGAGTGATTGCTGGGCGAGGCCGTAGCATTTCAAAGAGGCCGGGGCGACAGAAAAGAACACAGTCTTGCTCTCATTGGGTTGCAGGTGTATCTTTTGGAAGCCAAATAGCTGCGAAAGAGGGCAAGCAAATTCTTTGTCGCTGCCCTCGAAGGATACAAAGGCTAACACGGATACGTCGCTCGCCCTCGGCCCAGTGTTGGTCACATTGACTCTGTACTGAGGACCCTTGAATTCCGTAATCTCACCATCGAGCCCATGATGATCCAAAAACTTGAATTCAAAGGATGTATAGGATAGACCGTATCCAAAGGGGTACACCACCTCACCTTTGAAGTATCGGTACGTGCGACCCGGACCGCTGGTCATGGACATGTCAGTCATGGAAATCTGGTCGACGTAATCCTTCTTATACATTGTGTAAGGGAGGCGACCACTTGGACTGTACGTTCCCAGCAGCACATCTACTATTGCTTCCGCTCCCTTCATACCTGGGTAAAAGGCTTCCAGAATTGCCACGACGTGGGGGTTGTCCTTGGCAGCAAAAACATCCAACGGTCCTCCATTGATGAGGACCAGGATCGTCTTGTTTTGTACCTGAGCAATGGCATCGATAAGCGCTTCTTGCACACCCGGCAAGCCAATCTCATATCGATCTTTTCCCTCCTGTTCAATCGCCGTGGAGGTGCCCATGAAGAGGATTGCCACATCGGCTTCTTTGGCATGTTGCGCTGCCGCTGCAAAACCGTCCGTGTTGTTGGAATTAATGTCACATCCCTCCATGCCAAACACCGTGGCAAACTTCGCCTGCAGAGCTTCCAGCGGACTCGCCATGTTGGAGGGCACCGTTCCGTGATACGTCCCGCACAGTGCTGCTTTGGCGTGGATATGAGGTCCCAGGACGGCAATCTTCGTACCATTCTTCTTGTCCAGCGGTAGTACGTTTTGGGTATGTTTGAGCAAGACAATCGATTCTCGTGCCGCTTGCAAAGCAGTTTCGACGTGGGATGGATGCCCAATAATATCGGGAGGATAATTCATGTACGGTTGCATGTGCCACGGGTCAAACATTCCCAGTTTGATTCTAGCGCTAAAAAGTCTCACCAATGCTCTATCGAGATCTGTTTCCGTGATCAACTCGTTCTGCATGGCCCCTTTCAAGTGTTGATAGTAATTGCCACAATCCAAATCTGTTCCCGCTTGTAGAGATGCAGCCACAGCTTGCTCGGGTGTCGGCTTGTACTTGTGAGGTCGGTAGACATAGGAAATGGCTCCACAGTCACTGACGACATAACCATCCCAATCCCACTGTTCTCTTAGTAGTGTTTGCAGCAAAAAGTCATTGGCACAGGATGGCACTCCATTCACGGCATTGTAACTGCACATGACACTTCCAGCTCGCCCTTGAGTAATGCCCACTTGGAACGCGGGCAAGTACGTCTGCGCCAAATCCTGATCCGAAATAATGGCATTAAAGCTCATGCGATTACTCCCATTCCAATGTTCGAGGGAATACCCTGCAAAATGTTTGAGTGTAGCAATGGTTTTGAGGTAGCTTGGATCATCGTCTCCTTGTTGCATTCCTTTGATATAGGAGAGAGCGTATTGACCACTTAAAAAGGGATCTTCTCCAGGGGTTTCGGCCGCACGTCCCCATCGTGGATCTCGGACGATATTAATGTTGGGAGCCCAAAAGTCGAGTCCTACGACGTGCCGGTCTTGCAGACTGCTCGTGTTTTTTCCGGCATCTTGGACAAAGAAGCGTCGTGCCTCGCTGGATATTTGTGTGGCCATGCGGTGGACCAGGTTTTGGTGAAAGGTGGCTCCCATTCCAATGGGCATGGGGTAGCATGTGGGGCATCTTGTTTTATTGTCGTCTGTACTGCAATAGGACAGAACGCCGTGAAGACTTTCGGACCAGTAGTTGTAGGCATCCATGTGCAATCTTTCAATGGGAGGAGCCTCCATCATGAGCTGTTCAATCTTTTCGTCCGTAGTCAATCTCGACACGAGATCAATGGCTCGGGTTCTAACTGGAAGAGACGTGTTACAGAACGCCAAGCCGGACACATCGCTGTAGCTGCACGGTTCTTTTGCTGACCATACTAGGACTCCCTGTAGAGAACTGCACAGCGCAATAAGAATCGCTACTGGTATCCGTGTATTAGTACTAGTAGAAGATCTCATTGTGGTTGCCTTTACTGTTTGCGCTTGTACTGGTATCTATCAACAGGAAGACATCACCAACCCATCCAGTGCATCGGTGTCATCAAGCCGTGCAAGAAAAAATGAGAGATCTTTTTGATCTCTCAAAACTCAAAAGATATCATTCCCGAGGGTGACTCAAGCCCAGAATAGAAGAACACGTCGACGCAAGGATGAACTGGTGCCATGATAAATGACAATAAGGGCAGTTTATTGTTCTTGGAAGTGGAGAGGGTATGCCATGCATAGTCGTAGTATTGCATCATAATCTACAAAACACAATCATCAGTATCAAGAAGTGGTGCCATCCCAACATAAACAATGAGATCACTTGTCTCCCTTTTATGGCTAGCACTTTTGTCGTTGTTGTCGTTGTTGTCCACCAGCACTGCGATTCTTCATGGCGACGAACAATACACTCGCATCGAAGGAGGCCACTTTTGGACGTTCCATGCGGCCGGCTTGTCCATTATCAATCCGGAAACCTGTCTGATTGAACACGAAATTCGAGCCGATACCCGTGGCAACTTTTTACCCAGTCGATGGGCCGATGGCGTCTACATGCAGAATGATCCCAATGGCCTGGGGACGGTGGGATATCTCCTGATTGGTTCGGGCGAAACTACCTACGATGGCATGGACAATCCAAGGGGGGAAGTCCTTGTCTTTTCCACTCAAAAACAAAAAGTCGTCACGAGACTCCCCACAAAGGGTGGAAGTCACATGCACTCCTACAGCGTGCACAACGAATATTGGACTCAAGGAATGGACGGGAAACTATATGCCATCGAATTGGATGTCTTTGGATCCCTCCTGACGCCGATTGTCACACGAACTAGGTCTATCGAGTTGACAGAAACAATCTTTGCCCTGCAAGCACCTACTGGTACCGGTGGTGGTACTAATCGAAGTGACGAAACCAATAATGGTCGTATAGGACAGATTCTCTGGGATGAAGATCCCTATTTGGAACGACATGGCTACATCTCTTCGCGGGGTGCGTTTCTCCATATTGTCGATCTCGAGACCAAACAACAAGTGGCGGTATTTGACTTTTCCCGCTACTTGGACCAAGGAGAATGCACCAGTGGAGGAGGCTATGGACGCGGAATGGCATATGCCGGTTTAAGCAAACACTTGTTCTTTCAATGTGGACGACATGGACCCGTTCTAGAACTCGACCTGGGGCAGTCGCCACTCCAACCCACATTTGTTGCAAAACACAACATTAGTGGATTCCTTCATGAAATCATGGACAATGTCATTATCGCCGTCGACAAGCGACAAAACAAGGTACATATCTTGGAAACCAACACACCCGGGCAAGCCAGTAGTATCGAATACTCCGTGGATGTCCCAGGACATCCCGACCGGCCTACGGTTTACACATCATCGTCCGACGGCCACACCACCATTTGCATGCCCCTCACGGAAAATATCAATCGCAACGACCGCGATTACAATGGCGACAACATTGCCTGCGATGCGTTTTCGTGTGGACCACCCCAAACACCGCGAGATGTGGCCGCCGGAATGTGTTTTTACGATCCAGCCGACAATAATCGAACGCTCCTGCGGGCGCCACTGGCTGATTTTCAAAAAGTACGAGACGAAGAACCACCCTATTTGGATCGGTGTCCGCGTTGCAAAAAACGAGACTCGTACTATGGAGGAGATATCTGTACGTGTACGCCGCATTGTGGCAGTTGTGGGACGCCGCGGTATAACAGAGAGGATTTGAACAAGACGGGTGTACGGTGTGTTTCATTGAATCAAGTCTTGTCCTCCAACAACAACCAAAATACAGCAGCAGCTGCCGTCACACTCATTCCAGGGGCAGGCGCCGTGCAGCAGGAACCACCCAGGTTCTGGGAACCACAGTGTTCCTATGGTTGGACTCATCGGGATAGCAAACGAGGCGGTCGGTATCAGGCGTCAGTGTCGCACATTCCCGCCAATTCACTCCAGATTATCAATATGGACACACAAACTCATCGATGTGAAGTCGACTTGCCGGGAAAACCCGATCGTGTACTGTACGTGCCGCCTCAGCTCGGTTCTTCTTCTTCCGGGAAAACCGTAGCCATGGAACAGGAAGAAGAACAAATGGAACGGGGCATTTTTATTGCGGTGGGCATTATTCTGGCAAATATTGTCATGGTGGGTGTGGTTCTAGCCGTACACAATTCGAGACGGAGAATGTCCTCCGCACAACAGCAACATTCTCCAAAGGTCGGATTGGATCAGACCACGGCAGCCGACTTGGAGTTGTCACCTCCGCGAGTAGAAGAAGACGAACAAGTCATCGACCCTCTGCCGCAGATTGCGTAGCAAACTCAGCAAGTCTCGTTTCCAAAGGCCAATGCTCTCTGCAGCCCCAGTGGTGAAGGGTTGAGATACCGTACATTGCGGAAAGCTAGTAACTAATATACACAAGGACTAGCTAGAAGAAAGTAGAAAGGAAACAGTAATATGTAAAGACAATTACAACTACGCTGCGGATACCGTAGACAAAGATTTCTAGCGTTTTCGGTATTGATTGATTTGTTGGGAGAGGTTGCGAAGATCCGCAATCACATCGCTGTTGACCGACCGCTCGGAAGCCCCACTGAAGCCGCTTTCTCGTGATGCTCGAGACCTGTCTCGTCGATCACGTCTGGACAAGTAATCCCTGGACAGGTACTCCATCTGCTTGGCGGGTGTGGCTGTTTCGTCTCCCTCTTCAATCAAGCTAAGGTCCTTCTTGTTTTCATTGAGCATTTCAATTGCAGAAATATCATGACCAAAAGGAGCATACCTGCTATTGATTGTGTTTCGTTGTTGCCAAAGAGCTAGATCCAATGCATTCGTGTCGGTTGTGTTGGTCGACAAGGTGCTCGCATCAAAACTGATCTTTGAGGTGGGGTTGTAAGTAAAGACACTGGAGTCTTGTGAGGCAATGGACTGTGGCGAAGAGGGTGGCTCCGATACTGCCTCGATGTCGTCCTGTGTTTCACTAGTTTGGCTCTGTTGGATCGCAGGCTTGCCGTTGGAGGGGCTATCATCGTAGGCGTCAGCGTCCTCTGGCTCGACACCGACACAGCAGAGACAATAACACAGTAGAATTAAAAGAACAGCTCCAGTGGCACATCCGACAATAATGGCAATCATTTCCAGGTCGAAAGACTGGTCGGGCTCTTCCGTCTGTTGCGGATTCGCGGACTCCGTATCTACTCCTCCTGGAATGACGTATCCATTAACTTGAACAATGGCGTAGCTCAAGCGTTGTAAGAACGGCTCCTTAGACTGCATGAGAGAAGAAGTAAACTCTTGGCTGTTTCTTCCCAGGAAACTTTGTGCAAGGATCTGAAGAACGTCATCTTGGGTCGGCGCTGGACTTGAGTTAAAGAAAGCCGTGCCTGAGAATTTGAAGCTTACAGAATTCGATTCAGAGCTTGCGTCAATGTCGTAACTGTCCACCGAAAGTCCAATATGGGAGAATTCAATGTCACTATTTTGAAGGGTATCAGTGAAGGAAGTATCCAGGTACTTGACTGTTTGCGTGAGTACCTCGACCAGCAGGGTTTCCGGGTCTTTCTCGGAAGTACTGGACTGAAGCTGTAGCTCGACTCCTCCAAAGGGAACGCTGCTCAAGGCCTTGACAGACGGAAGGATGGATAAGAGGAAGATAATAGGGAAGGAGAGGGAAACCATCGTTGAGGCAGATAGGGTTGGCAGGTATTGCGCGGCACGAGACCAAAAAGTTTGCTTTCCGGTTGGAATTGTGAGCTAACTGTCACGCAGAAATTGCGCCCTTTCCGCCGAAGCCGGCCAAGGTGGCGCAAAATGCAACCGTGACCTGACATTTAGAAGGACCATAAGTTGTTGTCTAAATGTGCCTGGAAAGATGTTAAGCACGCAGACGCATAAAACTGGAGGCCACAAAATGAGTTGCATCATGAACGACGAACTCGCTTCCTTGTGGCATCAACGTGAAGACTCCGTTTCCAACGGGAAAATCCACGATGATAAACGATGATTGTTCGTCTCCCCCCGAAGGCATCGATGGCATTATTTGAGGCAATTCCAATAATAAACACAATGGTATCAGTACTAGTATCAATGAGTGCCGAAAGAAGTCGCGTGAATTCGTTGAGCAGTGCACTAGTGAAGTTCATCATTCTGCTAGGCATTAGATGCTACCTCGTTGCAAATCTATTCGATCAGCACTCTACTGGTAGAAGTAACTCAAAGATTGGAAAAAGAAATGGCATCAGCTTTCAGAGAGATTCTGATACTCGAAATCAGTATCTGAGGCGGTTGCAGTCGAATGATGATCAAACCGTTGGTGGATCGGTTGACCCCGACACTGCCCTCGACCCAACGATTCCAGCAGTGTTGCTCGGGGTCGCAAGCCTACTCCTTATTTTCTCCTTGGCTCTACACATCAATGAGTGGCGCGTGAGATCATTGGCCAGACAAGAGATTGAAAGTCACGAAGGCGGACCAGCCATTGATGAGACAAATATTCCTTTGGAAAAAGAGGGGTCGTCAGCTATAGACACTGCCAAAACAAGCCACGGTAGCTCTCCTGGTCGTCCACCGATATGTACAGTACCGGCGACTGTAAGGAGTTGGTCGCCGGTAGAGTGCCAGGAATGCTTTCGGCGGTATCCGCAGATACTTCCTCCGCTTCCTCGTGATATGACTGAAATGGAAGCGACCGGTATCACATTTCTAAACCCGTATCAAGAGTCCTTGTCGCGGGTGTCCACGTTGACAACAAGTCTTGTTTCAGGTACCATGTCTTTGTCCTTTGGAGACTGTCGAGACGAAAAACCCGAGAAGGTGTCAGTACAGTGTTGCGTCGGCGACGAACGAAGGATGGATGGGCCTACCAAAATCAGCGAACTTCCTGAAGAGCGGATGGAATGTGAATCCACACCCGATAATGGGGGAAGTACTGGTACTGGTACTGGTGCCAGTTCCATTATTGGCGACAATGATGGGGAAAGCAGTGTCGAGTCTTCGCCGTGTACATGTAGCAGCCTGACGGTGGTATCGGAAGGGGAGGAAACTTCGAGTAGAGAAGTGATAGGCGTCTCGTACCTCCACGACGATGATGACGACGAAACAACTTCCAACGAAGACAGCGAGCCATCGTCTCAACGTTCCTTGGACTTGTCCGTGGACACGCCCGAAATCGAATCTGTGGGGAGAGACATTGCAATAGTTGGAAAGCTGTTGTTTCGGGACGAGTTTCCAAGCGATTTCGGAGACTTCACACCGTCCGACATTCAAGGTAGCGGCCTCCCGCGTTTGAATCACCAGACTTCTTTGTGCCTGGAAGAGATCGACCCAGTTCCAATCGAAGAGTTCATCAGGGACATCTTTTTTGTTCCGGTATCCAGATTCTGCAGCCGGGAGAAGTGCCACGGGCACATAAACAAATCGGAGGAGCTTCGAACGCCCTCAAACATCATCTTTGGCCTCCGTTTCCGTGATGCCTCGTGCCCTGTAACTCATCCCACAGTCTCTGAAGTCTCTAACACGAGCCCACTGTTAGGAAGAGTCTTTCAAGGTGACATTATCCTTCAGGTGAACGACACCAAGTTACTGGGGTTTCGAGCTGAAGAGGTTGTTGCCCTGTTTGATAAGACGACTCCTACTAGAGATGAAGAACGAGACGACGGGCAGTCCTTTGACTGTCTTGATGCTTTCGAACACCAGGTGATCAAGCTAACCGTCATGAGCTGCCACTCTGAAGACATGTCATATTTGGATGACGATGAGGAGGACGATACAGGAGTGCCAGGAACTGGAGTTGAGTTTTGAGCCCCAGAAGCACACCATCGTCTCTCCCAGAATCCTTCCTATGAATGCATCCTACACGACTACACTAGACTTCGGTACTGTACTGGATTGTATTCGAAGTGCGAATAACTGTATGAAAATAATTGAACTATTTCTGTTTACGTGGCGGGCAGCTGCCATCCCTGTTTGGAGGAGCGCTAGTTTGGCAATGAATCATGTACATGTATGTCTCACATAGACAACAATTCAGTCTGCTGTACATTTCCTCGCTCTCATCGCGACGCTTGACGTTGGTACGATTGATGTAACGACGAAGCACCTGATCCCGAGAAATAGCTGGACTCCCCACTGACAAAAGTATCAGCGCTGAGCGGGTTCTCCCATACCGTCTTGGTACGATCCAGGGTGAAGTAGTAATAGTTGCCGCTGTTTGGATCTAGAGCTTTGGCCCAACCCACAATGAACAACTCTTCATCCGTCGGGATCACTTCACTGCTTCCTGATTCTTGTAAGGACAAACCGTCCTCGTCAGTAGTGACTGTTACCACTTGTTGTGGTTGCTGCTGCTGCTGTCTCTGTCGCTGCTCTGGCGTTTTTCTTGAGCTGCGAGATCCGTTCGTGGAACGCACGGCAGGTTCATTCTCATCAGCATAGCCAGAGGAAGACCGATGTTCTTCTCCTGATGGCATGTTCTGAGAATCCATGGAATAATCCAATGATACCCCGGAATCATTGTTGGGCAATCGATCGGGCCCGCCCTCATGGGCCTGTCGATCCCTTCCTTTCTTCTTCTTCCACGATGAGGATGACGACAACTCAATCTGTCGGCTATTGCTCTTGATGGTTTGTCTTGGCTCCACGGCACCATGTGCCATTCGCTGAGAGCTTGCCAACACATTCCCTTGCAGTGCATTCGGTCCAGAGTTTCCATTCACTTGCTGTAGTTGCTTTGTGGACCCTCGAACCGATGGTGGATCTTGAATCGATTGGCCATCTGCTCGGAACGTCAGGTATTTGCCTGGTGCTTCCTGAGCTCCTTGACGCCTTCCTTCGTCGTCCAACTTTTTCTCTTCGTTTTGGTTCTGGCTCGTTTGTGATCGGGGCGACTTGAGGTGATTTGCAGTCGGCACAACGCCGGCGTGAGGACTCGAGACATCGGATGGGACAGTTGGGACGTGCATGTGGGGTGCAGCGTGTTGATTGTGCCGTTTCGATCTTCGTCTGCTTCCACGAGAGAGACTGCTGGTTTGACTGTATTCCTCTGCTACCGACGAATGCGCCGACCGAGGTGTTGTGGCAGCGGATGTTGCTTGCATCGGTCCTGTCATGGACATGGCAGAGGTTCCGTCATGATACGTATGAATACTATGTTGCTGCTGGTGTTGATCCAATGTGACCAGCCGCTGATCTGAAATGTGGCTTGCCCCCAACGATGTGCCGACATGAGTCACTTCGTTTGCCATAAACCCTCCTGTGCCTGGGTCGGCACACCCGCACATGTGGGCCATGAGCATGGAAGGGGTCACCAAACGAGGAATAGGCTCGGCGGTCCACTCTCGTCTCTTCTTGTCCCAACTCTTTCCCAAAACATTTAGCAGCAACGATCTCGTCATTTTCGTCGTGTAGGGAGGGTCAAAGTTCGGAGCAAAGTAATTGGTGGGGACTCCATTTCGCAATAAATAGATACCATGCGGACGAGCCACTTCTTCGGGCGTGGCACCTCCTTCAATGTAGGAGAGCTGTGGATCGAGATATTGCGGTCCCTTTTCTCTCCAGGCATCAATGACTCGTTCTGCGTGTGCAAAGTATCGATTCATGTGTTTGACCGTCTTCCATCGTACTTTTCTGGCAAGAGTGATGCTGAAGGGTCGTTTCATCCACCTTGCTCCCATGTTATGAAAATACTCGTACAGCTGATTGTGCATAAACTCGAGGCACCAGTTGGGCCATTCATCCGGTGGAACGTCATCATTGCGTTCACATCCAAATCGAACGACCAAGTCGGGAGGAGAAATGCCATTGACACTGAGTGACTCTGGCAAGACTGCCATGTGAGGGATAAAGATTTCTCCTCGTGCTAGAGCATTGATAATGGCATCGACAGCTTGAGGCGAGGCAGCATCAATTTGAATAATGGGAATGTGGACGGTATCTGGAGCAGCAACTTTGTGGAACTGTTGTTGTTGGGACTGCGACGAGACACTTGTGTTGGCCGTGGGTGAGGGATGCTTTCTTGGGACTCCATGAGGATGCAGTGAAGCACTCCCAAAATCGTCCACAAGAGCATCCGTGTCTTCTGCCGCACTTGCCATTTGACTCTGATCTCCCCCTCGTTCTCCTCCCCCCGCTCTCCAGCCACTGCTGTCCGTGGAACTGACATACTTGTATTGACGGTCTTGCAGTTCGTTGAAATCAAATGCCGTTTGACGAGTGACCGTGTCGGGATGTCCTACAGTCGAGTGTCGTCGGCTCAAGCTCAAACCAATAGTCACGGAATACTTGCCTGCTGCTATAATACTATCCGCATGTCCGGTGTGTCCAGCGGCACTACTCTGATTGCTGTTGGGTGCGTACTGGTTTTGTTGCTGCTGCGCTCTGTTTTCCTGTAGTGAGTTGGGCGGCAATACCGTGGCCGACGGTGTAGTAGGAGGCGCTTGAACCTCGGATGCTCCCCCTGTAATGGCGTGTGCGATGCTTCCCAATAGATTAGGTTGTCCAATTCCTCCTGGAGCCCCCACGGGCCGTGGTCCATCTTTTCCTTGTCCCTTTCTCTTGGCGGCTTGTTGTGCTCTGAGTAATTTTTTTTCTCGTTCAGCCATGGCAGCGGGTGTCATGGTTTTAGGATTGTCCGTGACTTCCGATACGAGTGCTCTGGCAAAGAGCGCCGAAGTTGCGTTCATGGGTGTGTTTTCTGCCTTGATACTATCATCCGAGTACTCCGACAAGGAGTGCTGTCGATGAGGGAGACTGCCCGAGCTTGTGGACTGATCTCCTCCTCCTGCGTGTTGTCGTGAATCTCGCTGGTCAAAGGATGGATCTCTTCCACCACCTCCTCCTGTACACAAGCCCAACTGATCGACTCGTTTCCACAGTCGTTCCTGATCTCTCCCAGCTGCTCGCGAATGATCGTCAGTACTATCAATAGTTCCACAGAGGGTTGATTCGAGCAGTACAGAGCCAGGAAACGATCTCATTCTCGGAGATGACCTCGGTTGTGGCGGTGGTTGCTGCGGCGGCGGTTTTGTGGATTCACCTTTTTGTTGTTGTTGTTGTTGCTGACGTTGTCGTCGTCGAGAAGAAGACAATTGTTGACTGCTGCCTTCGGCACTGCTAGTACTGGTGTATGAACTGGTGTTCCGTTGATTATAGGCTACTTCTGAAGCGGATGGCGAATTCCCCATGCAGCAGTGCGTGTGAGCGAATCAATCAGATTGTATCAAATAATCAATCAATCACCGGCAGAGAAACACTACTAGTACGGTGGAGAGCCCTTCGCCGCTTCTCGAACCGTATATGTATACAGTAGTAGTAGTATGTATGTAAGTATTGGATTGATTTGGAGTCTCAACCGGATGTCGACGCCACCATGCAAAGGTCCCCACGAGAGAAGAGAGAGAGATGGATGAGGTCGGGTACCGTGTTGCCTTCTTATTTTCTTCTTTCTCTTGCTTCAATTGCTTGCTTGCATGGGTGGTCGGTTCGTGCAGGTCGCCATCGGTTGATTGGAGTGGAAATCGCCGAAAAACAGAGCGCCCCTTCTAAGCGATGTAACGTTCAACCCACCAGTTGGATCATGTAGCCAATGAGACGTGTCACAGAGCCTGTCGATTCTCAACTCGAAACATAATCACGCACAGCTGCCCCAATCTACCTTTTCAGGTTTTCAGGGGAAGGCCGCAGGCGAGGAAGAAATGACAATCACTCGAAGATGGAAGACTTCAGCTCAGGAGCCTTGGTCAATAGTGGTACCATTTTTGTAAGGATCAACTACAAGATAGCCATATTCCTCTCAAAGATCCTCGATATCATTACGAGCAGGAAAAGCAAGGTGATCAAAGGTATCAGGCAACCTTCAAACAGACGAGGACTTGCTCTGGTACGGTACGTGATGGCTACAAAAAGAGAGGGACATTCACATGGATCAGAACATCTCTTCTACAAACTAGATAGTCTCTCCTCTAGCTATTAGGTATTAGTAGGCATCAGGTATGGCCATGGGATAATCCATTTCCTTCATCAACTACATGCTAGCACCTTTGGACTTTCCCGAGGTGCGCCAATCAATGGATAATGTCATATCTTAAACCTAAGGCCGGTCTGATTCAGTGAAATTTTGCCATGGCCGAAAACTACATTTGGTACCCGCGTTACTAGTACTAGTACCGTACTAGTACGCACAAGCTGTCCGAGTGCATGATTAGATTTTATCTGAACAATCTGTCAACCGGTGGGGGTCGCGTTTGATGAGGTCAATTGTTGTCACGCTCGCCTCATTTGACTTTGAATTAGGCATGAGACTGTTATTCTCGGTACCAAAACTGAACTGCTTCAACTACCACTCATCGGACCGTGACGTTGGATAAAGCGTACATAGATCTATGCATAGTCTCCTCCGACCAACCGCATAGAATAGAATCCTTTTTCAAAAAATATAGTACCATGATGGCTACCAGTACAGCCGCGACAGGACGGCGGCGAAATGGACAAGTTGTGCTGCCAATTATCTACATGCAACCGCAGTCCCGAACACAAAGGTTCTTGCCTCTTGTCATTGTGGCTTCTTGTGGGGTTTGGATTTTTGCAATGGGTGCACTATTGGAACGGCTGCCTCCGGGAAGAGCCTTTCCGGATGACATGACGGCCAAGCGTCTTCCACAGGTAACAACATCCATGCAGGGGACTCCAGTCCGAGTGCTCAAAGAAACAGATTTGGACGAAGATAATCAAATTACTACACGACACGCCGTGGAACACACCAGTACGACTACGACAACAATCACCACCAAAAGTGCAACACAGGTCAAAACCGAAAGTCCATCCGCTACCAATGAGCAGAAGTATCCACCAACAATTGGAAAATCTCACCAAATACCAAACGTATTAATCTTCACTCACAATGTGAATCTACTCCAGTATAATAAGAATCAACCCGACAATCAGCAGGAGAACAGAACCAAAGAGGAGCAACAAGAACTGCTAGCTCTGCAAAAAAACATCCACGCTACCATTGACAAACATCCTCGAGCCACCGTTCGATTCCTGACAGATAAAGACTGCGTGCAATCGCTACAAGCCGCCCTAGGACCCAACGCCCCGCTCATCGACCATTTTCGAAATGAGACCATGGGAATGTACAAGGCAGATATCTGTCGAGGAGCTGCCCTGTGGGAAACGGGAGGAATCTACCTGGATGTGGACGTGGGCGTGCGCATGCATCTATTGGATGTCTTGCAACCCAACACCACTTTTGCCACATCCTTGGTGCACCGAGATTCCAAACATCCCGGAAATTTCTTTCAGGCGTTCATGGCCACCACTCCACGCCATGCCATTTTGGAGCGGTATCTTCAATTGTTCTTGGAACATTATCAGGGCACTCGACCCATCCAGCGTGGACCACTCGGAGTCATTTTGTTGCGACAAGCCTTTGACGATGTCATTATGTCAGAGGGAGAAATTTGGGCCATGAACGGAAAGCCTGTGAATGATAAGGACAAGAGCTTTCGGTTGGGTCCCAAACTAGTGGATACAAGACACCACGGGAGAATCCAGCTCTGGCAAGAAGTACTCTACAACCCCAAATTCTTGTCCAATGTTGTTCCGGCACCGACCTGGGGAACCCGAAGAGCTTGTCATTTTGTGGTGGTGGCAGACCAAAAGTTTCCCCTGACCGTTCCACTTTATAGTCGCATTGAAGGCAGCCGAATGTGTCCGAGAAGAAGCGATGCACAGATGACTACAGCGTGATGATGAAGCAGAGGCCATGAGTGACATGCTTGTGACTACGATACGTACTGTAGCTGCAGCCAACAATTGGTAGCAGCTGCAATTTTGTGGGTTGTTTGATTGAATCATTCGACCCTTCAATAACCTCTGTTTAGAATGCACTCCATTCCATACCGTACCGGTACATGTAGAGTAATCTAGAACTGGTTGCTTTCTGTGCTACCGTACCGTACATGGATCAGAGCCAGATGCTCTACCCGTAGAAGAACCAGCGGCGTCTTCCTCTACTAGAAGATCCCAAAAGGAGAAGAAGAAAATACCTAAAAGAAGTTGCTATTGCTTAATCTATAAAGTCCCTGCACTGAAATTCTGATCTTGAAGCCAGCATTACTTCTGGTACTATGGTATTTTGTTTGACTCGTTACAGTCGTACTTGTTCCCAGTTCAGCTGATTGTATGCATGGAGAGGACCGATCGGTCTGATTCTCCCGCTCTCAAGGGCATCCTTGCAGAAATCTACCGAAAGCGGAAGCGGATGTAGGGCAACTCCACCTCTTCGTCCGTTTCCTTGTCATTGGCAATCACTTCGAGGATAATGAAAAGCTGATTGGGTGGAAATTCCTTTTTGGAAATGCTGGTAATGACATCCGTCATTCGCATGGCCTTGCGTTCTTCGACCTTTTTCTTGTTCGCAAAGAAGCTGTAGAGGATCGACACACCGTAGCTGAGCATCGAAATTTCAAGGCCGTACTCCTTCTCAAAGAATTTCATGAACTCGCCCAATGTCATGTTTCCTTGGTTTACATCGAGAGAATCCCAAGGGGTCCATTCCCATTCCTTGCCCTTGAGCATCGCTTTGGTTTTGGCGGGTGCAGACGGCTCGGACAACGTCATGAAAGGAATGGCCAAGTTCGCAAACGCGCTCTTGTAAGCATCAATTTTGAGCTCCTTTCGAGGGGTTCCCATGATCTTGTACAACTCGAAGCAAATCAATCCAGTCACCAAAGCGGTTGTGGTGGCAATCGCGGGTATGATGCGACCTGCGATTGCCCGACTGCGGTGCAAATCTTCGGTGGGAATTGAGTAATTCATAGCGCGTAGATTGGAACAGGCCGCAATGAATCCGGCATCTAACACAGACGCGACGAAAAAGGATAAGTCTGGACGCTCTAGCTGATACACCAGCGCATTGTCGAGATAACTTACGGTCATCCAGGTCCTTATCGAACTCGATGGGGTGCAACCGGAACCCTGCCAGCTCACTTGGGCCCGGGAGGCTCTTCCAAATTTCATTAGCCTCTCCTTCGCCCCCATCCATGGCAGCGTCGTTGTTCTTTTGCTCCTCAGCATCGTTGGCAGCAATCCTGACACCTTCCGCTGGGCTGAAATCAGGCACAATTACATCTTTCAACACTTTTCGGAAATATTCCTCGTCGGTGCGGCCCTTGATTCCGTACATCTCGGCACGTAGATTGGATGCTGCCACGACAAAGTCCAAGTGGTTTCTCATGCCAGCATCTTCGCAGATGTCGTCCAAGTCAAAGACAAGTGGCTTTGGACAACGCTTCGATCCGGACCAGAATTTGGTTCCACTGGACGTCAGTTGATCCTCTGGGAAGTTGTGCAGTAGTTGTCGAATCTGATTGTTGAAAAGTGTCTCAAACTGGAGGCGAGCCCAGACAACGCAATCCTCAAAGCTAACCGGGCGCTCATCGACCAGCGTCTTGCGAATCAAACTTAGAGTCTCCACTTTGGAATTTTGTTGCAGACCTTCCAGATACTGTGTCGGGTTGGTACTCAGATAGGCATTGACTTCCTCCGCGCTCTGTCGAAACGCCCCTTCAAACCAGTCACGACCCCACTGCAATGTGTGTTGAATCTATAGTAGTGGGAAACAAGGCGAAAAATATCGTCAGTGACAGCTTGTGGCAAGACGAAAATTGAACCGAGGCAGCACACTCAAAACGAGGATTACCATGTTGGGGAAGTTCTTCAACGTGCACACTGGGATAGATTTCTCCGGCGGGTCACGAGTAGCGCCATAGTTCTCCGTAACGTGAGGAACGACAATCTGTGTGTTGCCTTTAGTCCCGAGCGTTCCGCTCTCCAACATGGGTAAACGGTAAAAGAGACAGCGCTGGTCGACATAGAGACGTGCTTCGACATTGTCCAGAGCTGTGCACACACCCGAGAGCTTGTCGTAAAAGTCGTCTCCGAACAAATGCTCGGTATCTGGTGCCACCTTTTCCTGATAGGCCGTGACCCTAAAGTCCGGATTCATCACTTGACAAGCCTTGGCGGCAGTTGTTGACTTGAATTCATTAATGTCCGTGTTACGGAACAGGAATTGTCGACTGAGGTTGGATTTTTCGATGCGATCCATATCGGTGACATGCACATGGCCGTTCCCTCCACACCCGACACCCATCAGAGCCCAGTTCTTGAGCATTTCGCAACCAATGGCACCGGCTCCAACGATGAAATAGCGGAGATCCAGAAATTTTTCCTGCATGTCTTTTCCAAAGACGCAAATCTGAGAATCGTAGCGAGATCCGGTTGGTTTCAACAGATTCATGTCGGGCACTTCATCCGGTAGGCACTCATCGGCATCGAGGTAAAAGAAGCCATTCAAAGGAGTGAACTTTCCAGAGCACGCCTTCAAGACTTCCTGACCCACCATCCCTCCAAGGGCGGCACACATGGGGCTAAGCTGCGCTTGCGCTCCTAAAGCGTAGAATTTCAGTATCCGTTTCTGGGCATCCGTGAATGGTTCCTCCGACAGAGCCTCTGCCATTTCCAAAATTTTGTTGGCTGCTGCCTCATCGGCTGGACCGGGGAGTTTTCCACCGTTTTCTCCCGCAAATTGTGTCAGTGCTTTGAATCCAAGGTGCAACAATTGAGGGCGGTCAAACTTGGCAAAGTCCGAAAGGACGAATTCTCCTGGATCTTCCATCTTTTCCTTGTAGGTTTTGAACGACATTGTTTTGGGTTGTTTGACCTGGGTAATGTAACCTTGAAACGACGTTTCAGTTGACGTCTTTCCACTCAAATCCACGCCTTCCAATTCAAAAGTGTACGGTCCAGTGACTTTGACTTTGTAGTCCTTCTTGACTTCTAGCACACCATCCAACCCCTTGAGTCGACCCAACTGGACAACGTCCCCAGTTTCCAATCCGTGCCGTTGATCTTCCAAAGTTTTGACGACGGCAGGATTTTCCATCAGTACTGTTTCAATCTGACTGCTCGCGGGTGGATTTCCATCGGGATCATTAATGACATGGGCGTCACCCAAATCCGCAAAGACGCGTCCAAAGAGACCATTGGCGACAGCATACAAGAATTTGCATCCAATTTTGCGGCATTGATCATTAATGGCGTACAACCAGTCGTTGGGTAGGACATCCGAGACAACGACGCAGGAGGGTGTGACTTCTCCGGGCTGAATCAATGTCAACATGGCCTCCAAGGTCCATTCTCCTGCTGAACTCACAGTCACTTGGACATAGGGATTGAGCTCTTTGAGCTGTTTGACACACGCCTCATCCTTTCGTTTTTTGGAAGCCACGTGTTCCGCCGTGAGATAAAAGTTGGCGCCCATGTCCAACCAAGTGGCTGGTCGAGGATCCATGACCGTCAACGAGTGAAGACCGGCCAAAATGCCATTCTTGGCGACTTCCACACCCAATCCTCCACAGCCAACCAACACGACATTACTCGCCATCATTCGCCGTTGGGCCTCATGGCCCATCACATAGAGCTGACGAGAGTACAGCTTCTCATCCACTGCAACAGTCAATCCCAGAAAAAGACACAAAAGTCAATCAGAGACGTGGGTTTGATTCATCATTCGATTCAATCCAATCCAAACAAAGACAGGACGAACAGCTAGCTAGCCAGTCTAACAACTAATCCCAACAGCTTACCTTCCCCCGTATCCATAGGAGTAGCCGCCATTGTTCCAATCAAACTAAATCTACTTCTTCGTATTTGATGCTGTTGCCACAAGCTTGCTTTTGTGGTTGGATTTTGGTGATTTTCCAAACGGATCTTTTTGAGTCGAAATCGGATCGACTCGACTCCGATGACGACTCGACTCGACTCGACTCGACTCGACTCACCCCTGATCTCGAATAAACCAATTATTGAGCTAAAGAATAACAAGGGAGACCCATGATACGTCAGGTTTTTGAGATGCCAGGACCCCAACATCTACTTTGTTGGGTACTAGTACCGGTACAGTACGGATATTGTGCCATGCTAATTAGCATGTGTTGACGAAACAAGTGCAACCAACGAAGATCAGCTTGAGTCAGGTGATTCCAAATGAGGGCTCTCCAAAACCCCACCTCGACTCGGATACGGCTTTCATCACAACGAAACAAACACTACAAAGTTGCTCAAATCATGGCAAGCAGCATCCGCTACCGTACAGTCTAATTAATTCAAATTAAATGAGATGCTGCGTTGTACGGTATCCCACCTCTAGCGGTAAAACGCACCTGTACGGTACCATACCTGAAAGTGGTCATGCGATGGGTACGTTGGGCACCTGGTATGAATAGTACGGTGCGGGTTGTTGACTGCAGAGATCCAGGGGTTGATCGCTACGGAGAAGGGTCTTGAAAGGTCAATCTCTTTCTATCCGTCCAACGTAGGCCCCCTTGGGCCCCCTCCAGGGTGGAGACGGTCCAGAATACATAAGCAATGACATCACACCTAGAGATTGCCTTCTTGGGTTTTAACTGTTGTTGGAGCTCAAAGAGAAAGATTTTTCATTGTCGTATCTTCTACGAAGAATTGCGCTCACTCTGGCAATCAGGTGCTCCTTGGCCTTTTCTGGATCGCCTACCATGTAGACACTGTCCAAACGGCCACCGGGGAATTGGCACCCCAGCTCAAATTTGCTGCGGAGTCTTGCCGGTGTGAATCGACGGACAAGGGACAACATGATGTTGAACAGCATGGGTGAATGATAGAAGCGATTGGCAGCAGCGTGGCAGGGATACATCGAGATAACCTCAATCATTGCTTTGCGAAAGGTAATTTGATCCATCATGTTCAAACCAATGTGGTAACCTTGGCATTCAACATTGGAAATCGACCCTTGCCTTACAGCATCAAAGTCTGCATTCACAGAGGTCATCACATAGTATATGCTTGTGAGGTAAGTCTCCATCATTCCTGGGCGCTTCCACACCAGTGATTTGTCGAATTTGGGCATATCGAGCATAAGGTAGTATAGGCCTTGGCGGGGATCGAAATGAATGGACATGATATAACCAGGAATCATTTCAATATTCTTGGTGAGTGTCTCAATCCCCTGTTCATAGGAGTTTCGGACTCCATACTCATGCCGAAATTGTTGTAGGCGGTGGGCACGGTCTATGGCAAGATCGACGTCCCCGTTACAGAAGATTGCCAACTGAGCATAGAAAAAGTCCGTCAAGTTATCCAGCTCGGGGTCACCTTCAATGGCTGCCTTCACATCCAGAGCCCACTCACGTTCATCTTCTGTGAGTTCCATTCGCTGAGGATCCTCAGGATTGCGCAATTGCCCATCCCACGGTTCACCGTCGTCATGTAAGCATGGAGGGGAAAAGGGAGAAGGATTGACAAGCTGATACACTCCTACTTGAGGAGGCCTGGGTTCTTCATTGGCCGTTTCAACAGAGGCATCCTGCCTCTCTGATTCCTGATTGTTGGGAATACCCTCCATTGCATTTTCCAATTGGACTGGGATGGATAATGAGGAGAAACCCTGGGTCCTTCTTCTGCAAATCTTATTGTGCCGGATACCGTCGGTAGCGGTTGTTCTTATTTTAAAAGTTGGTTGGGATTGCTGTTCCAGGTACCCAGTACCTGGTACCTGGTACAGCTGTACCTGGAGGGGCTCCGCTGACGTCATGATGATTCGAAACTTTCTGGTGAAAAAACCTTTTGGCGAAAATCGCACGACTCGCATTTCTCCTTTGAAACTCGCATGACTCGCATGCGAGTCTAACTAACTTTGCGAGTCTGTGCGAGTCCATGCGAGTACTTGCGAGTCTCTAGCTTATTTCATGGTTAAAGTCGCGATTCTGTGCGAGTTTGTGCGAGTCTACGCGAGTTAAACGCTAATGACGCGAGTCGCACGAGTCATGAGTCATGTTTGCGAGTCTTTGGTGCTTCCCGCATCGAAGCAAATAGTTTGTTCCTCGCCAAAAGTGACGTCAGCGGAGCCCCTCCTGGTAGCTGTTGGGAGCAGCTTTGGCTACGTGTCATCTTGGATCCACGAATCGAAATACCACCAAGAATCTGGCAACAAAACACAATTCATGCAAACCATTCAGGTTGCAGGGGGACAAGCAGTTTCCTTCATTACACTTTATTGGTACAGTACCGACCTTTGACCATCCAAGCAACCACACACACAAACATTGCAAACAACTAATAATCAATATATCACTACCACCACCATGACAATATCCCGTTATTATTCACGGCGCTGGAATAATATGTTCCCGTGGCTGATTATTATCGTGCTATTCAGCCCCTCTGTGTTGGTGTCTTCCAGTACCAGTGGCGGCAATAAGCAGGGAATGATCACCATGGCCGATGCGGCTCCTACGGGTCAGAGCCGGTTTGAAGAAGTTCGAGATCGAGAACGTCGTCGACGAGACCGCGAACGACGTCGTGAACAATCCAAACCACATCCCGGACGAAAGGGCAATAAAAATAATTTCAATAATCAACAGCAGCAACAACAGCAACAACAGCAAGGAGAAGGAGGAGAGGGCTACGAATTCCTGATGACTGGAGCCTCTCAATTTACACTCTTTCAGCAACCCAAAGATATTTTTGAAGGGACCATCAAGGCATTGCAGAGTGCCTTTTTGGGAGCCTCTGTGGGATTGGTCTCGGTGATCTCATTTCCCATTTTAGGTGTCTACAGTCAAGTAAGGGCTGCTGAAGATGGAAAACCAGAAGAAAAATCCCATCCCATTTTGGGATTGATTGTGGGAACCATCTTGGGAGGTATCACTGGATTTGTTTCCGCATTGGCTGGAGCCGTCACGGCTGCCTTTCAAGTTGGATTTGGACTATGGAATACTTTCGGATCCATGAAATCAAAATTGCAGGGAATGAGATGGGATGAACGAACGCGGGCTTGGATCCATTATAATCTCAAGGAAGAAGCAGAAGAATTGAATTTAGGAGCATCAGAAGGAGACAGCAAACGAAGAACTGCAAGTCATGTTCAAGATACTGGATTTTATGACTTTTTGGGTGTGCAACCGGACGCATCGGCCAAGGAAATCAAGCGTGCCTATTACCAAAAAGCAAAAACAATGCATCCAGACAAACGACCCGATGATCCCGAAAAGGCTGCGGAGGACTTTTTGAAATTGCATTCAGCCTATCAAACCTTGAGTGACGAGCAAAAACGAGCCGACTACGACAAATACGGTGTTTCTGGAGACGGTGGAGCCATTGGAGATGCTCCGTTCGACGTCTCTGTCTTTTTCGCCGTCATGTTTGACTTTCAACAGGTAGAACCATATATTGGTGAATTGACCATTGCTGCCTTTATCGATGCAGTCATCAAACTGAGTCAAATGGCAAACCAAGATGCGAACAATGCAAAACTACTCTACGAGCAAGTCTGGGGCAGCGATACCAAACCTCGAAAACGACAGGTAGAAATTGCTCAGAATCTGCTCTCGCGCATAGAAGCATACGTGGCCGGAACGCAATCTGCAGAAGACTTTCGTCAATCCGCTGCAGACGAAGCCGACAAAATCATTCGGGGTGGTGGCAGCAGCAATGATCTCTTGGGATTCACTGACCAATTGCTCGATACCATTGGCACCAGCTTGAAATTGGAGGCTGGACATTACTTGGCCTTTCATCAGCGTACTCCATTTATCGCTTGGCCCTTCAAGGGGACACTGTATGCAGCCAGTCGCAAAAAGAACCTATGGGCGCGGCGGCTACGGTCTGCCACCAAAACCATTCAATTGGTTATCAATGCCGTCAAAATTGAAAAGAAAGACGGTGGCGACGACAAGAAACCTAACAAACAGGAAAAAGATGCCTCGGAGTATGAAGAGCTCCTGCCCGATTTGACTGACATGGCGGGAGCGTACATTCTTTCGGATATTTCCCAAGCGATCCAAGGGGCTTGCTGGAGGCTTTTCTTTGATTCCGGCGTGGAAAAAGTCACACGCAGGCGGCGAGCAGAGGCATTGGAGATGTTGGGGCAGGAGTTTCTGCGCCTTGGACGTCCCAAGAATCGCGGTGACAACAAGACCGAATGCGTCGACAAGAACGCAAGAAGCGAAGGCGTCAAAGAGAAGCTGAAGCGGGCTTTTGAAATATCGCAAATGAAGGTAAGTTTGCCTCTATACCAGGAATTTTGTTTGCTTGCAATGGAATCACAGAAACTGACGATCCTCCCACCACCAGGCTAAAGGCGAATAACGTTCCTTGCGAGGCACGCACGGTACGGGCTTGGACGACCGACCGAGACTACGAAAGTCATCTTCACAATCTACATAAAACGCATTATTTGTATCGAAGTAACTGTTTCATCATTCTATTACAGCACATCATTTCTAGAACAGTATTTTAGTCATGGGCGAAAGGGCCAATGTTCATACGAACGCATTATTTGTATTGAAGTAACTATTTCATCATTCTATTACAGCAGATCATTTCTAGAACAGTATTAGTCATGGGGCATCTGAGCCGTGCGCGTTGTTCCGCAGCAGAGCCAAGATTGAGGTTGATATGAGAAGTATATATGCGACAAAGCTGGCACTCCCCAACTACCAGTGAATGATGTCGTGTGGTTGGTTTTGACTGTCACTCGATCATTCCTCGGTGTTGTCCGACTCGTCAACTTCCTCGAAGTGAAGGACGGTAATCTTTCTCTCAGATTGACTCCTTTCGGACATCGTTTTCATCAACTGCGCTGCTGTGAAAGCTCGGGTGTCGATATCGTCCACGGCAATGATCAAATCGCCAGGGAAAATCTTGCCTTCCAAGCAACTTCCGTCCTTAACCTCATGGACAGCAGGTCCGTCCTTGGTGGAATGGATCACGATGTTCAGTTTTCCGGGAGGTGCCTGGCAGTCTCGGCAAACAATGCTGGTGTTTGCCTTTCCGGTACTCGTGGGCGATTGAATTGGCGTTCTTTGAGCAGATGCATTGGTTCCGGGGCCTGCTGACGTTGGTGAGATAAGACCGTCTTGTGAAGCGTACGAAAGCGAGTCAACTGTTTCTATCTGTGGAGGAGCCCCAAGAGGTAATGTTTCTCCTGGAGCACTGTCGACTGCAGATTGCTTGACTCCTGCGATCTTCTTGGATAGCCAGACAAGATCATTGATCAGCTGGCGGCTGGCTGACGCTTGCGACGAGTCTGCTTTGGAAGCCGGAGAGTTTTGCGTAACTGCGCTGTACGAGGAACGGGACTGATTGGAAGGCGATTTCTCGCCCGGTTTCTTTTGCGACGACTTTGGAGAGTTCGAAGTACGAAGACCAGTCTTTGGGAAAGCGCCAAAGGCAGCACCGCCTCCTTGTTCAGAGAGGGTGTCATCGTCTGAGAATCCATCTGTCATGGACCAATCTTGAGGCTGCATGGCATTCGTTTGGTAGGCGAATGTGCCATCATGTGTCGTGGATTTGGCATGTCGACGGCTTCGCCTTGGGAAAGACCCCGGAGCAGCATCCGACATGGAGTCTTCTTCTGACATGTCTTCATCGTACTGATCCTGACTGCTTTCCGGGGTATAGTGTCTGAGATTGGCTTGCGGGTTCGTTACAGTCGGGGCGGGCTTTTGAGCTCGCGGAATCACTCCAACCTTCTTCAAGTATCTGATGGGATTCAATGAGCTGGTTCCTTCTTCTTCCTCTGAAGCACTTGATGTGTTGTTGCTTTCGTCGGATGGTCTCGAGGCAACTGAGCTATTGTTGCTGGCAGTGCTTGTATCGACCTTTTTCGTAACATTTGACTTCATAACAGTGGGTGGCGTGGCAGTTGTCGACTTGGTTTCAGTGACGCTGCCAAGTAGAGCAGCGGTGACGGCTGCAAATGCGGACGGTGAAGCGGAAGGCGTGGAAGGGGTTGTTGCTTTCGGAGTACTGGCTTCTGAGTGCGTGGGTGTACAAGATGCTGAACCCGTTGGTGTGAGGCATACTGCATTCTGTGCTTTGTCAACAACAGTTGCCTCAACTCCAATACTGTCGCTTGAATCGGCAGCAACCGCGTTGGACGATGATGGTGTGGGAGGTGCATCTTGTTGGGAGGAAGTCTTGCCGGTAGCGTTGTCACCTCCTGTCTTCTCTTTTGCATCCGTCTTCTCATCACGGTGTAGGTTTCTTCTTGGTGATGGTGAGAGGAAATCAAACACGCTGTCGGCGCTGGCATCATCATCGCCTCCTGTATCCGATTTGGCCCGCGGCGACATGACACTCCCTGGACTGGCTGGATCTCTTCTCCTGGGACTCAAGCTGAAGCTTCTCACACCATTCCTGGCAGCCTTCCTCTTGATGGCTTCGGATGTGTTGCCTGCGGGTTGTGTCATTGAGGATCCATTAAAGTGGGAGACGCTGTCAGAGGAGAAGAAATGGGACGAAAAGAAAGAAGCAATGGTGCCCTTAGATCCTTGCAGGTCGGTGGGAGTGACGCTCTTTGCCGGAGAGTTCTTCTTTGATGTATCGACATTCTGAGGACTGCTGTTGATGGAAGATATTCCTCCTTCGTCTGCTTCTTCTTCCGACTTGCCGTTCATGATTCGGTTGAAGCTGGATCCGTTGCTGACATCGGAAGGCATTTCACTCTTGGTCGTCCTTTGGCTTTCTTCCGTACTATCCTCGTAGTCTTCATCTTCTTCGGAAAACGCAAATAGGGATGTGGATGCCAACTCTGTGAGTTTCGATGGAAGCGGCATCAGCCTTGCGTTGGATATCTTGACGGTTTCCGCACCCGATAGCGACGATCGTGCAGTGGGAGATCCGATTCCGGAAATCATACCATACGACGGTGAATTCAAAGAACCTTGCGACGCCGAGTAACCATCCTCTTCTCCATCATATTCATTTGTATCAATACCGTACGCTCGTTTCCTGGCGCTCGACTTTGTGGGACTATTTTCAAAGCTAAAGACATTGGTTTCTTCGTCCAAAAAGGCCAAGTCTTCCTGTGCCTTTTGGTTGGCAGCTTGTACCCGTCGTCTCTTTCTCTTGACAATCCAGAGAGCAACAATGGCTCCCAGAATCACCAATGCAATAAAGATTGGAAGGATAAACGTCACAGACTTGGTTCCTGTGTCTTGCTCCCGTTCCCCCTTGTTGATTTCAACCACGTTAGTTGGAATCTCGTTGTTTGCCGAGAGTTCTTGTCGGTATGCCATAAAGACATATCCCAGTTCGGGATCTTCCGAGGCAGTGATGTTGTCCACCATGAATGTAAGATCCTGCATGATTCGTTGCATGGACTGGTCTACTTCGGCTGCATCGGGAGATGGCTCGCGGTCAAACGTCACGTTGACATTGACCTCAAATTGACTCCCCGGCACCGACCTCAGGTGTCGGCCTCCTCGGACTTGCTTCAGGTTCCTCTCATCCGCAATCTCTTCAATGACGCGTTCTTGCGACACAATTTGAACGTCCACGTTGGCGACAGAGTCCCACTCGAACACGTTGTTGTTGAGTTCGGCCAACAAGAAATCACTCGTAGCGTATTCAACATTTTTAATGGCGCCTTCCGAGAGGTCCTCTCGCGTCTCGGCGATTGTCAGGTAAAAGGGCGCCATGGTTTTGGGTCTACCATCCTCCGAGTTGGTCAAGAGAAATGTGCCCAGGTCGATAATTTCAACGGCTCGTCTTCGATCCACATTGGGAGACCGAACGGTGTATACGTGGCGAGTGCGCTCCGTGTTTCCATTGGTCAACACCATCAAGGACACCAGGGATAGCAGGAATATCATCCTTTGCATAGTTGGCATGGTGCTTGCTTTGTTGGGATAATTCAGAGAATTGCAGATTGTTCTGTGATGAAGTCTGTGAACTAAACGCAACCTTTGCTGGTGTCGAGCTTGATTGTTCCGAGCAAGATAGGAAACACACAAAACAACAAACAAGGCACGATCAATGCCTTTGCAACCAACTATTTGATCACTGCTAGCTACGGTATGCTTCTATCTTGCAGGTTCACTCGCTGTTGTCGACGAGACCCAGAGAGCTGTGTGTTTGTTGTTGTTGTTGTGTTTTTGTCCGAGAATTGTGGCGATGGATTTACGAAAGAAAACGGAAAAAAATGGAGGGTAACAGGTGGTTAAAGTTTGCACCTCCATTTAGGCTTGGAGCCGGCGGGCCGCCCCTCTACGATTTACCGGGAAAACTGAAGCCTAACTCTAATTCAACATATTTTCTCCATCTCCTTGAATATTTGATGAGGTGGAGTAATTATGATGGCTCGGGTGAGGTTCTTTGTTGTTTTCATTCCGATTTCTCGGATATAAAAGCCAAACCACCTGTGGCATGCACCACCCCAAGTACAAGGATGTACATCGTATGTGTTCTTCATCATGTCCGTTTGATCGGGCTACGTCGACGAGCATGGGTGTCGTACTGGTTCGCGTACGGTACGTTGTAGGTACTTGGAGCATGCAAACGTTATGTCAGAATTTGGTTCGTTGTTAGTGTTTTTCTTGGAGAACTACAGAACTACTAGTACAAGTAGGTTCGCACTCTTCTTTGTTCTTCGTGACTTATCCGCTCGTTTTATTTGTCTTATCAGTCGGACAGAAAGCCTTTCAAAGTGTTTGACCAATGATTGTCTCAGCAAACGACAGTCTACTTAAAATTAAAGGGTACATGTACACGTAGTTGGTCAAAAGAAAAGTGGCTACGATGTACTTTTGTCGACTCTGTCGTCCGTTGTCCATCTGTTCCATCGAACGAGGTTAACGTGAGTGAATAAGTAGTAGGCTACTGTAAGTACGTAGTGTACTGTACTCCAGTAGCGGTAGATCTAGTGTGTGTGAGTGAGTGAGTGAGTGAATGACCTGGATTTGGTTCCCCCGTTCCCCCAAATTGCAGCCAGGCCGCCAGTTCTCATTGATCAATAACCACCGAGGTGTCTCACCCAATTCCCAAGGAAAACCAATCTCTCCACACACGCACCGCCCCCAAGAAGATCAACCAAAATGCATTTCTCTCTCTCACCTTGCCTTGCATCAACCGATCCCAGACCACACCTCAAAGATTACATCACAAACACCAGCGTTCAACAGAAGCCATAGAACCAAAATGGTCAGTACAGATACCGGCACCCCAAACAAAAGGATGAAGACAACATGTGATACTACTAGTACAACATGTAGTAGGACGCCACCCTCTCACTGCGCGGCAAGCCCAAACAAGCGTCGCAAAACTGAAGAAGGCTGCTACCGCGCTGTTGCCTCCGCACCAGAAGACGAGGCGCGGGCTTTCAACGCGCTGTTGCAATGGCTGGAATCATCAGGCGCCTCATCGTCAGCTGCTGCATCCGAAGATAAGGTACTGTCCCGTTCTTCTGATGAATCGGATCTGGATTGCGAGCCTCTCTCGCTGTTTCCCACAAGGTACGGTCCACTACTACCAGAACAAGAACGAGAACACGAGGGTAGAGTACAAGAAGCAAGACAAGACGAAGGAACAGCGCTGGAACACCGCCGCTCTGAGGACGAAGAAGGCATTGAATACCCCACAGGAGATGAACCCGAGACAGCCGAGCAAGAGGATAGTGAAGCTGCGAATGACGTGGCTCAAGAAGAATCAACGCAGGAAGTGCAATCTTCTTTTGAAGTGTCCATCAATGATGGGCCTTGGGAAGCCAGCCACTGTGTCCTCGAACTGCTTGGAATTGATGTGGATTCTTCTTCGTTGGCAGATTCTCATCCAGCCATGGGGGTGAAGCAATTGAGTTTGGTCTCGAATCTGGAAACGTCGCTTCCCATGTCGGTTCTATCCACCACCCTTCAAAGAGCTGCCAATTTGACCGCTCTCAACCTATTCTCAATTTCACTAGAAGGAAACAACCAAGAATTTGAAACCTTTGTCCAGTGTCTGAAGCAACACACGGCACTCGAAGAATTGCACATTGTCGACTGCGGCTTGGTCGATCCCACCGTATCCGTTGACTCCTTACTACGAGCCTTGGCTGTCATCCCTACGTTGCATACCGTCGAAATATATGCCATGGACCTGGAACGACAGACTTCTCCACACTTGGGAGTCCGCTGGATGAACCCAACGTCCCTGGCATGCCTCGGGTCTTCCAAGTCCATTACCACTCTTTGCTTGGAAGACTTGGATCTCCCGAACGAACATATCAGGGCACTGGCCGATTCACTCAAGGAAAACACAACCTTGGAGAGTCTGACGTTGTGGGATTGCAACATATCCGATCAGGGCGGACAAATGATTGCAGAGATGCTGCGTGTCAACCACACAGTGGAAAAACTCGACTTGTCCTTCAATGATTTTGGTGATGCCGCCCTCAAGGCAATGGGGGAGGCATTGAGTTTCAATCAAACGGTTTGGTCTTTGGCGTTGCATGGAAGCAATAATCTGTTGCCCCTCTCTGTGCAAACCCAGTCGCAGGAATCCTCCTCCAAAGCTCTACTTCCTCCTAGGGCCGATAGTGACGGGTACGATGCATTGCTGCACGTCTTGCAAGAGAATAATCATGTCCTCAAGGAAGTGGTCCTGGAGACTGTCGAAGATCCCCGTGTGGATCTGTACGTCATGATCAATCGGTATCGGCATGTTTTCCAAAACGAGGCTATGGGACGTCGAGCACTCGTTGATTTTCTCGGAAATCACGCGCAGGTTGTTCCCAGTGAAGAAGGGGTCGAGTCAAGGAGGGGCTCACTCTTGCAGCATCCCCCCACTCGCCGTGGTTGCCCCAATACGAACTTGAGCTTCATCTTTTGCTTGTTGCAGGCCAATCCCGAGCTTTTCATTGCGGCCTAGCTAGTGCGGGGTGACTTGCAAGTTTGCACGATAACAACTTGCTATACTGCTGACTCTGTTTACACAATTAGTTGTACTATTTAATTCGCCAATAATTGCATAAAACAGTTTCTACCATGGTAGTCTCTCCCACAATGAACTTCGTTACATCATGATCATTGGATAGCAAGAGGTCTAGAGATGAAAATGAAATGAGAGCTTCAAGTTAAGGCATCCCAAACGACCGCAAAAACCTCTGTCGGCTCTACGAACTAAGAAAACTTGGTTGGGTCAAAGGCAAAAGTCGTTTTCCCGTCCACAAACTTTGGACGTTTGGGTGCTGGTGCAGGTGCTGGGGCGGAGAATTTGGATGGATCAAAAGCAAAAGTGGCCTTGCCATCGACGTAACCATTGCCGTTGGATTCTGCACTAGGCCGAGAATCGTCTCGGCTGTTTCCAACCGCCATGTCGATGTTGTTGGCGTTTCTCTCCTCCTCTTCTTCGTCTTCTTCTTCTTCGGGAGCACAGCATGCGCATCCCTTCTTGTAGGCTTGTTTCAGCGTCCAATGCTGTCGCGGCAACACCGTATCCTTGAGAGTCTTATCTTCAATCAAGATCAACTTGTGCGCAAACACGCAATTCTCTAGAGCCTTCTTTTCAACCTTAGTCAACTTTGTCTCGGTTCCTTTTTCTTTTGCATGTTGCTGTGCAAAATCTCGAAGCCATTCCCTTGCTGCATCCATGACACCCTCCGGTAGAGGTCGAGATCGACATCCAGTGATGAACTGCATCAGACTGGCCAAACTATAGTACCGGTCACTCTCCGGTTCGAGGCTTCCCTGTGGATTGTCAAGCAAAAGACCCAGTTTCAGGGTGTACGGTAAATATCCCGTTGATTTTTCGTCTTCCTTTAACTTGAAAAAGGCATCGACACTCGCCATCCACGCCTGGATGGTATCGGCATGGTACAGTCGCACACCTGCCAAAGCCTTGGTAAGCCCCAGGACAGATTTGTACAAACCGGACCGAAGAGGAGTTGTGAACCGCGTGGGATCCGACATTGTTGGGTCGCTATTGTCAAAGGAAAAAGCTTCCGCCATGGATTCGGGCACGGTGGCACGTCGATACCGATTCCGGTGCGCCAATGCTCGTTCCACCGAGTGGGCACAACTATCGTAAGCAAAGACATGTCGATCCTCCGGGAATGCTGCCTGCAACAAAGGCAGTAGGATTGGAGTGACGGCCTGGCCGGGAATAGTAAACATCACAGTCCTAGCTTCTCCTTTTTTGATGGAATAATGATTGAATGATGTGATAACGAGCGCAGTTGAGTTCACGTCCATTGGATTGCTCATTGTGAGCTTTCCTCGTGTTGGATGAATAACTTACCCACTTGCTTTCTTACTCGGAGAGCCTCCATGCGACACAATCCAAAAATGATTTTCTGCAACCTTTCTTGTCGGATAATTCTCCGTGCTGCCATATCGGCAAAAGAGGCCATCCAAATGGGCTCTCGAATGATGGCCTGCATAGTAGAAATAAATGGACACAGAAACGGGTATATTGTAATGTGAGGGTCGAAATATTCCCCTGTCAGTTCAGATTCTTTGCTTGGATATTTGTAGTGTACTCACAACTCCCGCCTTGGACGCCTCCAAAAGATCTGCTACCATTCGGCTACCCAAACCGGAACTGGCGTCTGCCACAAAACACAAAGCTGTAGTAGTAATCGTAGACTCCAAAATGTCTGCCAGTGCCGTTCCAAAGTCTAATAAAGGCAGCTGGTAGCTTCCACTGTGAGGATGGTACAGTTCCAAGATCATCTCACAACTTTCGATTTGTTGGGAAATTCCCAAAATTCGAGGAAAGGGTGACACACTGGTCTTTTGGGGTTCCTTATTTCGAGCTTCCTTTTCCTGTTGCTTGTCATTGGCAATCCATTCCTCGATCAAAGCCTCCAGACTGCTTTTGTCCCAAATCTTGCTCATACTGGGCTCGGGTGGTTTCTGAATTTGATCCTCCTCCTCGAGGGCTCTGACCCCCCCCGACAAGGCGTATAGAACTCGCAACAAGGCTTTTTCGTTGGACTGCTGCCAACGATAAGAATATTCCTGCATACGCTTGGCTTGCAACCGTTCCGAAGACAAGATTTTTCGAGATACCACGTCGCTTTGGGCCACGGACAAACCAACTACAGCAATGGCAGCCGTCATGGCTGTGGCCGTCAGGAGTGTGTTCTGTGCGCTGTTGCTAGACATGCTCAGATGATATACGTATACTGTTGTTCTGGATGGAGATAATGGATAACCACGAAGGATGGTTAGAAAGAATGGGAGTGAATGAATGAAAGAATGAGGACAACCACGAGATTCGATTCGATTCGAACGAGTAAAAATAAATAAATGAGAAGGGCAAAGAGATTTCGCGTGGTTGTCTTCTCTTGCGACAAATAAATGAGTGGATACCGGTACGGCAAGTAAAACAAATCAATTAATTATCTTCAATACTTGAGGTACCGGTACCGGTACCGAAACAGGTACGTACAGGTACAGTCGTACCTTACTGCAGCGTACGAGTACTAGTATCTGATTCAATATCATCTTTATCTAATTTAATGATATTGGTGCGTGGTATCTTGCAATTTCAACAAATAACAATCGGCAAAAAGGACTGACTCATCCTGGCAATGCTGGCTACTAGCTAGAACTAACTCGTATCTTGCCATGTTTTCTCGGTGACGAAACAAGCATTATGCCAAGGAGTCCGGTACTCTGGGGTACAGCGACGAGGTTCTAGCCCGGTCCAGACCAGAACCAACAGAAGCGGTATCGCAACTCTGGGTTTGCATGAATCTAGCTAGATCCGTTTGCTTTCAATTAAAAACTGCAAAGAGCAGCGTCTAGTTCAGCGTCAACCTACCGTGCCACTAACTTGTAGAGGGCTTTGTTATTCCCCACATCGAGTCGAGTCGAGTCATGGCCAATGACGAATTATACGGTCGCATCGGATAGACCAGAACTAAGAAGTTTCGTTCAAAAAGTCCTGGACGGACTTGGGAGCTTCGTCAATCAACTTGTTCAAAGGACCGAATAGTTTCGGTTCTCCTTTGGAATGGATATCCTTCAGCTCTTGCCATGTATAGGACTTCCACCCTTCACACTTTTCAGGCTCCATATTCTTTGGCGCAGGAGTTTCCTCCTCATTATTGTCATTCTGTTTGGTACAAGTGGCACTCATAAAAATAGTAACATAATGCTTCTCTTCGCTCTCCATCACGTCGTTGGTGACATGCGCAAACTGGATATCCTTCAGGTCCAAATCCATTTCTTCCTTGACTTCTCGGAGGGCACATTGCTCCCAGGATTCGTACATTTCCAAATGGCCACCGGGCAATGCCAGACTCCCTGCCCCGTGGCTCCCCTTCCGGATCCCCGCAAAAACAGCATTCGTCCGAGCCGCATCCTTGACAAGGACACCTACGCCAACACGAACATGTTGTTGCTTGGGCTTCTTGGGGGCTTTCTCGTCGGCCATTGTTTAGTTAGTTGTAATGTACTAGTATGCGTGGCCGATATCTTCGTTGTAGATACTTGGATGATACCCACTACGTGCACCGGTACCACTATCATGGGGTATCCAACAAGATCCTTCCCGCATGGATGCATGGAGGCAGCTGGATTGAATGTCTAACTAATTACCAACGCGTGCAGCTATTTGATGTCCGAAGTCTTAAAGACGAATACTCTACGGAATAGTACTTAGGTGTGCAGCCGGACGACCATTCTTCTGGCGATCGTCCATCTCACGCATCTACCGGTATCCCATGTCAACTGACTTAGCGACCTCTTTGATACATGTATCCGTTTTGAAATTCCTCCGCACCAAAAGCCGTGGGTCTGCTAAGGTCGTCGAACATCATTTTAACAGGTGGTGCAACTGTTGGGAAGGGCATCATCGATATCATCGTCGTTGTTGTGGTTGTTTGCCATTGTGAAGGATATTGAATGATATTGAATGATTGTCGACCGCAAGAAGCAATAATACCCTGACCGTCTGTGTTAAGTGTTAGCTATAGGTCGACCGCTTCATTTTTTCTGGCGATCATTGGGAAGCACATACAGGTTGTCATACGATTTACTAGTAGAAGAACATTAGATTGGTCCAGGTTTTCTGCCTTTGAATCATGCTCTCCTGGGTATCGGATAGTATCCACAAGACGCAACAACACAAGCCTCCTTTGTGGTACGAGAGTGAGATTCGATTCGGCCTATGCGACAGGCAGCAGCGCAAAGACAAGAAGGGCGCGCCAAAGCGACAGAATGCCAGCAATGGGTTAATACCCAAGCTAGTACGAAGGGCCTTCGAAGCCGCTACGCACAATAACACGGGCCACAATGGGAGTTTTCCCACGCCGGAAGCACCGTTGCGGCCTATTGATGTGGCGGAAGAGACTGCCTTTGAAGCATGTGATTCCGTCAGTCTGAGCGGCCAATCTCAAACCTCCTTATCTTGTCATACCAACCTATCCTACAACATGTCTAGAATTGATGAAGATGATGGGGCCACTAGCACCATTAATCCGGAACTGAGCTTTGCAGATTCCATGCTACCGTCGCCGAGCAATTCAGAAGCCGATTCCTTGTTTGGGATACCCATACGAGAAATGGCCCAGGCTGACGCAAACCAAGAAAAAGATAGAGATGACGTATGGTTATTATCTACAAAGGGCACTGACGATATAGAAGCTAGTCTGCAACAACATGGTCATGACGTCAAGTCTCCAACTGGTAGCATCCTCAATCGTGTGCCTGTCCTTGTGGTGCCAGGGACGGATCGGCAAGAGTCAAGCGACAATCCTCTTGTAGCTATTATATGGGCTGGAGATTCCAATGTCGAAGACGAGGAAGAAATCCAGTTTGGCGACAATAGTTTCTTGATTGAAGACTTGCAAGCACCCTTGTCGTCACCGACAGCTCGCTGTATCCGAGACTTCGATGAGAACCGCAACAACGGCAACATTACCACTAGATTCACCTTTGGCAGGAAAAGTGCACAATTGATTGGAAGGAACCTCAAAGATCTCATGTGGAGCCACAGCAACGATGGAAAACGGAGAGGAGGGAAAGGTCACAGTAGAAAGTCTCAAGCGACAAGATTATCCGGTCACAGAAAGAAGAGGAAACAACCTAGTCCGCGGCAATCCTCACGGATTCGTCTGCATTGTGAAGATCCGCTCCAGGAACTATCCAGGTGTCATGAGAAAATGTCAGCAGGCGGAAGACCCTTCTCGCCAAAGAACGCATTGAACCGTGTGCGAGATTGGAAGCGACGAGATCCCGACTCGTCGTCCACCAGCCCTTGTGGAGAGTGCAGCAGCAAGTATGTTCTGCATCCCCTTGATTCAATGCAATCTGAGCTGTCCACCCCTTCTGCACTTTCGTCTCCAAGAATCCTAAACACCTTCAGCGAGATTACAGCTTCGGAGAAGAACGATGACGATGATCAGCACACGAGTACAAGAATCCAAAATACCTTCAGCGAGATTACTGCGTCTGAGAAGGATGACGACGACCAGCAAACGAGGAGTGACCTGAGCTCTCCATCCATTGAAAACAGCAGCCTCAGCATAACATCGACGCAAAAGTCCAAAGAGTGGGAACTCGCCGTAGCACCCACCACCACATCCACCGGTACCTTTAAGATAAAGTTCCGAAGCCCCAGAAATGATACTCCACGTATCATGTTGGGGGACAAGAACGACGCCGAAGCATCTGACGAACCGAGAGTGCTCTATTCATCAGAAGGCAACGTGGAGGCCATCATCCACCCGAAAGAGCCAGTCCGACAAGAAGAAGCACCACCACAGGCACAGGCACAACCAGAGCAAGAACACGAACACGAACACGAACAACCACTAATACAAGATGGCCACTTGTGTTTTCGAGGTTTCTTCCCCAGCGCTGATCCACTCAACTCATCACTCAACCACGTTTTCCACAGTGAGTTGTCTACACTCTACGAAGTTTCATCCTCACTAGAATCTGCGTCCTTTGGCAACTATTCTAGTGCGGGATCAGAGGAGTCAGCTTCAAAATGTGCTGCTCATGATCCAGCAAGACTTCGAACAATGTCCTCGTCCACATCATCAGACAGTACTTCCAAGCATTATTTGGCGCATCAGAACCACATTGTTGGAAAGGATGCCTCATCAACTACAGCTGTTGCGCATGTTGATGGGGCGGAAGATACAAGATCTTCTAGCAGTGTCAGCGGAGCGACACTTGACCGGTACTACACAGACGATTGCGAGGTCAAAATGAGGTGGGAGTATTCGTTAGGTATGGCCGTTAGTATGGACGCCGCGGATCAATGGAGACAGCCCGTCATGGGACTCATGAATACGGAGGAGCTATCAAATGACTACATTGCCGAGATCTAGCTAGCTATAATCAATTGATTTAGCCTTGAGAATGTTGTTCGAGCCATAATACAAAAGAAGAAACACATGTTGGAGAGCTTCAGTTTAGCGAGCTCCAAGTCTCAAGCAGCCATGACACCATAGACACTTGTCCTTCAAACAGGCTTCCTCTGCATCTTCCATGCAATGGAGCATTACAAAAAGGTGATGTCTTATGCTTTCAGCGCTCTAGTAGTGAATGCTGATCATTAGCAAAAACTCCAATTCCGAGTCCCTTGTGGCCAAGACACCTTTTAAAAGGTCAGACACTTGCCAAACGTCTCTCCGCTCTGCTCGCTGCAAAGTGGTCCCTGTGGTGCATGGTTACGTGCCATCCCATGCCCCTGCCCCTTCCCACCTTTCTGGCCTCCCTATTTCCTCTCTAAAATCTTTCCTCCCGTCGCCCCTCTCTTCCTCTTTTGCCCCCTCCCCCCCTTCCCTTTAACGGTAACAACTACTCTTCCCAACTTACCCCCCCCCCACGCCCGCGCCTTAACCCTACCAAGTAATTTCGTCTCCCGGAGACGATTTGCTTTTAGGGGTAAGGGTACTTTTGGGGAGTGGAGGTTTGAATTATACCCCGCGTGCATTACTTAGAGGCCTCTGTAGAAGTCTACGTATTCGACTAGTATTGTATTGACGGGATACAGTCAACGCATGTACATGCACATGAAAGTCGCCTTGCGTTCTTCACATTTTTCGCATGAATGAGGGATCACATACATGTTTTGCATGAATGACGAGGGAGCAGTTTCGGGGCTCAGTCAACGCATGTACATGCACATGAAAGTCGCCTTGCGTTCTTCACATTTTTCGCATGAATGAGGGGGGCTCGGGGCGAAGCTGAAAGGGATGAGCGCGCGGAGCGCGCGAATACTGTTTCAATAAAGGGAGTTAGGTGTTGGTAATAAAAGATTTATGGAAACGGAGACGACCCAGGGGGCGTATGAATATATTATTATTACTATATGCAGGCACGCCACGACCACAAGACCACACTAGCACAAGCTAGCCACAAGATCAATGACAACCACCTTCTCAAATCCATCCAACCATGTCCACTTCCAAATCTAGTACCACTAGTATGTCTCCTCCAAAGGCAAATGGCGGCCTGTGGTCGGATCTTCCAAGACGAGCAGCAGTCCTTGTGATTGGGCTTCCTCTCATCGGCGTGGTAGCTTCTCGTCCTTTTTTGTCTTGGTGCGTGCTTCAGATCATTCATCTTTGTGCTGCGTGGGAATGGCTGGGTTTAGCCCCTCCATCCCTTGAGCCTCCCAAGAAGGACAATATAGTAAAACATCAAAGGAGTACCTCTTTGGTTATATTTCCTCTTGTGAGCTGCTTGGCTTCAAATTGCTCAAAAGAAGACGACAAACTGTTTCTCTTTGCCTTGGTGGTAATCTCCTGTTTCTACTCGTTGACAGAGACCCACAACAGCTCCATGTCAAATCATGTCCTCAAGGGACTCTTATTCCTCACCATACCCATGCGAGTGTGGAATTTCCTGTGTCAAGATTTTGGTGCTACCACCTTTCTCTTGTCTGTGGCATGGAACTGCGATTCTGGTGCCTTGATTGTGGGCCGTTTGTCCAAGTCCATACAGGCCCCGGATAACCGCATACCACCGCCACAATGGCTTGTAAAGATATCACCCGCCAAATCTGTGGAGGGTGTGTTGGGTGGACTCATGGCTGGATGTTTGACCTGTGTTTGTTGGCCCTTTCTCTGGCAAGGTCTGGTCCTCTTTCGGGAACTTGCTGCCAGTTCCACCTGGATGGAAAGTAGTAGTATGGATAGCAGCGGCATGGCCACAGAGGGCCTCTCACTGACTGAACGAATATCGTTGGGTCTAATCCTTTCCATCCTAGCCATTGTGGGGGACTTGTGGGAGAGCTCAACCAAGCGACAAGGAGGTGTCAAAGACTCTGGAAAGCTGTTGCCAGGACATGGTGGCATATTGGATCGTTTTGATTCTTCGGCGCTACCTGTCCTATTTTACACCTACTACTACTACTATTCTTAGGATTGGTTGACTGGGAAAACATCGCAAGCTATGGCGAGGGATTTACAATACAAGGTTTCAGGAACTACTGGGATTCCCCAATCTGAAACACTTTCGCGTATCCAGCTGCCTCGGGCTGGGAATCACTGACCATGATAGCCCCAGCGGCAACAATCATGGAAGAAGGCTCTTGGTCACTGTTCGTTTGCACCGCCAGACTCGTCGAAAATCCAAAATCGTCGCCTTCGTTTTCTCCCGCTGCTGGGTTGGACAAATGCTCCCAGGCACTGGTACTGCGCACGTTGGAAAATGCATGGCTCAGCCAAAAGATGTGCAACAATCCTCGACGATTGTCCCAACCAGGGACGCCAACGGCAACAGTATCTCCCTGCATGTGTACAGAGTAGCCTAACTGATGATAAAATCCAGGTTCATCCTCTGTCAGGATGCTCCCCAAAGCTCCATCCGTGTCGAGCAGCCAAGTGGAACCCGACCATTCGTAGATGGCCACCATGCCACTGTTCAGCGTGTTGCCCGTGTCTTTCCACGGAGCACCAATGGCAACTCTTGTTACAAATGCATCTTCGCTGGTGGTGGTTGTACCTGTTGTTGTGAGGCTAATCGCATGACCCCATCTGTCATCTAGTTTGACTGGGGCGATTGTATTCATAATGGGAGCACCCATGGAATCCCAAACGTTGCCATTGTATTGAAAGCACTGCACGTAACCCCCAAACTCGGTGTTTCTGGGAGCGCCAACGGCCAAGAACCCACCATCAGGGCTCAGTGAGACAGACCAGCCAAACCAGTCCAAAGGGGAGCTACCCAAAAGACGAAATCCGCCATTGTTCGTCTGCATCAGTTGGTACTCTTCCTCACTTTCCGAGTACTCAAACACTTGAACTTGTCCTCGAAGATTGGATGCCGATTGGCCCGGTACGGCCCTGGAAGAGTAGTACGGACTGCCAACAGCCAACCGCTTGCCGTCATTACTGAGACTCACCGAAATGCCAAAGTGATCCGTCGTCTGATCGCCCGTCAACACTTGCCGTTCGCGATACTCATACTCACCACCATCCCATTCGTAAATGGTGAGCATTCCACGCCGACTGTCGGCCGTGGGCTGACTGACGGCAACAAAGCTGCCATCGTGATTGGTCGCCAAACTAAAGCCGAGCTGATTCATTGCCTCGTCTCCTCGAATCACAGACCGTAGTGTCCACTCGGCTTGTAGTATTCGTTCATAGACACGAACATGACCCACTCGTTCGAGTCCATTCTCGGCGGCGTTGGGTGCACCGACAAACAAGACCCGGCCATTCCCCGAGAGTGCCATGGAGGATCCGGATGCATCCCCCTGAGCTTCTCCGGCAAGTTGTGCTTCTTGCCGCAAAAGTGCATCCGGGTGCAGCAATGGAAGTGGAAGCGTGGGCGACAGGGTTGGACTGTCTGTGGATGGAGCTGGTGTGGGTATTTGTGTGGATGGAGTTCCCGTGGGAGGAAATGTTGGAGCTGGCGTTTGCGGTGACGTTGTGGGTGTTTTGCTGGGCGCAGGAGTCTGAGCTAGTAGTATAATTGTGGGGGTGGACGATGGAATGGCTGTTGTTGGCGAAACTGTTGGACTCGTCGTTGGGACGGCATTGAGAATCAACTCTTCCACGACATCTGCGAATTGTGCATCTTGTTCCTCCGACGGCGCCATGCTGGGTTTTGTCGCTGCTGCTCCACCACCAAAGAAATCATCCGTCATCTGTGTGGCCAAGGTATCATTATTACTGTTGCTGGCATCCGGTATGAACGGGTTGTCATCGTCGTTGCTGATGGGTGCAAACACACCCACCGTGTCGTCATCGTTCGATGCAGTATCTATTGCAACGGGGTCCGCCTTGGCATGCCGTTGCGACAGAATAAAGCTCACCACCACTGTAATGACTCCAAAGACAAACAAGGCAATCAACAATGCAATAATGAGTCCTTGTGTTCCACGACACAGTTTCTTCTTTTGTCTCCTGCGATGATGTTTGTTGTTTTCTGGAATATTGGACATTGGCAATTCTAGTAATTCTCGTCCTGACGGTATAAGTGACAATGGCGGCAATGGCAAACTGCGAATGGGCAAGGGATGTACCGAACTTCCTCCACTTGCTACAACATCACTGGCGGCATCGCCTCCAATACTCAAAGTGTGGGGCTTGTTGGGATTGGTGTTTCGAATGACCCAGGTGGCTTCACTTTGAAATCCCGTTCCTTCGGATTGGAATCCCGATGCCATGGATGTATTGGCAAACGACGAATTGTCCATCCCATTGTCTCTTTCTCGGTAAGATCGTGGAGATGGAACAGAGGAACACACAGTGGTACATTTGGTGGGGGATCCCTTAGTGTCAGGAACAACCGAATCAATAGTGGTCTTCTTGACTCGTTCTTGTTGTTGTTCTTCTGGTATGCAGGAAATGGCGGCTGAAAAGTTCCATGGAGGTGGCATACTGTTGTTGTTTTCTTTGCTGGAAGAAGAAGGAAGATAGCGAGCAATCAAATTATTGGAGGATGATGATGTGTTTGCCATTTCGGTACTGTCACTACCGGTCGTCAAATTGGACATGTCCGTATCGGATTGTTCCAGTTCCAACGGTTTGCTGTTGGAAGCGTTCAAGTGTTTGTGCCAGCGTTGTTGATTGGGTTTGATGTTGGCGTTGGTATTACTACAGGTCCGCAACGGAGAGAGTGCTTTGGCGGTTGGTGGCGATGCTGCTGCTTCGGCATAAAAGGAAGAAGTGTCACTGCTGCTGGTTCTGGTGGTATACGCAGAAGCCGAGTTGGAAGTCAAGGAGGAAATGTCTCCCACGGAGCGAGACGGCGAGGTAACCTTTGGTCTTACGGGTGTATTGTTGGGCGGGAGTGGATGTGGAAAGGAATTGTTGGATCGTCCACGAGGTAAAAAGCTGTGTTGGTGTTCCAAGCTGTCTTCCGCAGTACTAGTGTCCCGTTTGGTAGTAGTAAAGATGCTGTGGGATCCTTTCTTATTGTAGCCACTACTAGTAGATCTACTTTGATCGGATCGAGGAGAGTCTTGAAAGACAAAGGGACCTCGAGGCGTGCTGCTAACGCTTCCGCAAGCTATAATGTCAGTGAAACTGGGAGGTGGTGGGACTTTGATATCGCTGTCGTCCGGCATGATGATCACTCCTCCCTCATGTACTGTATGTATGCCTAATAATAGCAGTTGAAACACTCAAATCGTGACGGGCAAACCGGATCACAACACGGAACACTCTCCGGAATGCCTTGTATGTGACAGATAGATTCAAACCAAAAATTCGGACCTGACTAAGGATCACTACTAGAGTAGACTGGGACAGTCACAATACTCCACTTGCTTCCAAAGCAAGCTATCTATACTACGTATTGGAGGAAGCAAACTACTAGTAGTCTAGGCACCAAGCACCAAGCACTGGAGCACTGCAGATTTGGTTCAATTGGATCTCTTGCAAGTTCCAACCAAACACCATGGTCGGTCTCACTTTTTCTCTTTGAAACTCGTTTTACGGATAATGGGCTTGGCACCACGAATGACCAGCACGGGTTTCACTGCTAGCAACTCGAGCATACCCGCAGGCAAGTCGACCGATGCCCTGTAAGCGTGAGAGGCTCACAATGTGGTTCCATTCCAAACGAGGAAATCTAATCTAGACAAGTACCAGCTCTAGTACGACTGTAGGCCTCCAAAGTCTAGTAGAGTGGTTGAAATGGTTCTTGTGATAGTTGGGTTTTAAAAGGTATCACTCGGAGCCAAGCACGGAACGTATTCAATGATATTCGAGTCAATCCCAGCGGATTTGCTTTTGGCTGCTTCCACCACACGTTGGCCTCCCTAACTAAAGCCTTGGGTGGTAACCTGCCTTTTGCTCGTCCGACTACTCAGAGAACAGAAGTCCGGTGCTTGGCCATAGTTCTTAAAATAGTAGGAACCATGTACATAGTCAGTCCTTCTTCCCTTGTTGCAGCAGAATGCCACTTTTTAACAAACTGTATATATAGTACTGATGGGTTGCCATCAGATCTGCTCAAACACTACACTGAAACCTATTTAGCTAAAGGCAGTACGGGACATGGCTGTTGTAGTCTGTATGCAATCATCAATCTTTCTGGGTGGCTGCCCAATACTGTACTTCAGCAGCTATCCTGCCAGCTCAGCTCACGTATACAATATCGTTCGAGCAAGAGGGTGCATTTGGCCCCAACAACTGAGCTGTGGCTCCCGGAAAGCCAAGCCCTTTGGCCCCCGTGTTGGTCCTCGATTTCTCTCCCCTGATCCCATGGAACCTAGCTAGCTAGTCTAGACTAGTCCTGAATTTCCGCTCCTTTTCGTTGGCTTTGGTACATGTAGCAGCTAGCTAGCTCCCCACAGCACATGTACCGTGAACCCACCTCCTTGACTGAGCTGTGACTGGAAGATACGTCAGTCCGCCGACGGAAAACAACGGTCAAAATGGGCCTTTCTCACTCGGCGCAGTCATTGCATGCATCCAATCCGTGCACCTCATCTCTCTGAGCTGCCGTTGTCTCTTCAACAACCAGGTCTGTGTGCTTCAGTTGGTGTTGTTCAAGTCCATCAACCTTGCTACCACTACCGGTACCGGTACCCTTCCACACAACTGAGCAGCAGCTAACTCAACCAGCACCAACTATTAATTGGAACGATGAGCAATCATGCTGCTACCAATGGAGTCAACGCGTTCGATGCCAGAAAGACACGAAAGGCAAGATTACAAAACTCGCGAATTCGAAGCAAGCAAGCACAATGGCGGCAGAGACTGAACCCAACGCGACTGCTATGGTCAAGCTCATCCGGTTCGTTATCCAAGGTATTTCCAATCCTACTGATTGGGATCCTCTCGATTTGGCTCTGTACGTCACTATTCTCTGTCTACCAGATATCGCAAGCTCCAATGGCACAGCCAATGGTAACCGACGCAAAGACCTTCCTGTCTCGACTCAAAAATGATGCCTTACAAAAGGGGTTACAAGTGTCAGAACGGTTGTTGGTGCCATCCTCGAAATTTTCCAAAAAACAGGAGGGCGAAATGATTGACATGAGAGAGCTGGATGCAACTCTCCCCTTTGATAATCCAGATGGTGGGGCTTGGAAGCAAGGGTGGGATGTTCAACCAGTCAAGCCGACAAAAGAAAATCCCGTCAAAATTTTTGTAGTCCCACATTCACACTGTGATCCTGGTTGGATCAAGACGTTTGATGACTACTTCCAATCACAAACGAAACAAATTCTAACCTCTGTCATCAATGCATTGGCCAAAGATCCAAAGAGGAGATTTATTTGGGCAGAAATCAGCTACTTTGAATGGTGGTGGAAAGAACAGACGCCTCAAGTACAACAATTAACAAAAGCATTGCTAGCAAATGGCCAGCTAGAATTTGTGACTGGAGGATGGGTGATGCCAGATGAAGCCAACACACAGCTGTATGCCATGGAAATCCAGCTGCAGGAGGGGCATGATTGGATTAAGAAAACACTTGGGCACCAGTATATTCCAAAGTATGGATGGAGCATTGATCCCTTTGGGTACTCACCCACAATGGCCTATTTGCTCAAGAACTATGGCTTCAAGGCTATGCTGATACAGAGAGTCCACTATGCAGTCAAGAAGGAATTGGCCAAGACGAAACATTTGGAATTCAACTGGAGACAGGTTTGGGATGATGAGGGTGAATATGATATATTTTGCCATGTCATGCCATTCTTCTCCTATGATGTGCCACACACTTGTGGACCTGATCCAAGTGTCTGTTGCCAGTTTGATTTTGCCAGAATGAAAAGAATTGGTTGCCCCTGGAGAAAGAATCCCAAAGAAATCACAGACAGCAATCTGCAGGAGAGGTCAATGCTTCTTCTGGATCAGTACCTCAAGAAAGCTTCGCTATATCGATCTAATGTGGTGATTGCTCCGCTTGGTGATGACTTTAGGTATCAAACTGCAGAAGAAGCCGAGCTGCAGTTTACCAACTACCAAAAGATATTTGACTACATCAACACACATGTGGAGGGGGTTCAGATTCAGTTTGGAACCTTGAGTGAATACTTTGAGGCTGCCATGGGAACCTTTGAACCACCTTTGCTGAAAGGTAGCTTCTTCACTTACTCAGATGTCAATGAGGACTACTGGAGTGGCTACTACACTAGCCGGGTCTTTGACAAATCTCTGGACAGGCTCTTGGAGCAGTCGATATTTGCAGCTACTGCTTTGGGTGCTGACAAAGAAGACCTGCAAGAGCCACGACGAGCTTTGAGTCTCTTTCAGCACCATGACGGGGTAACTGGCACTGCCAGGGATCATGTTGTTCAAGACTATGCAAAGCGTATTCATGCGGCAATTGCAATGACACAGGAATTTATTGGACCGAGGATTGCTGAGTTGTCTAATCTTGACTCAAATCAGAAACTGCTTCCTTGTTGGAGATCCGCAGAACCTCGCGGGATTCGACGGAACGAGTGCAACTTGAAGAATCCCGTCTATGTGTTCAATCCGCTGAAGACCAGTCAAACCTGTGGGGATGTTGAGGTCGCACCGTATCAGGCTGCCGTGGCCCATTTGCCATGTGATGTTGCCGGTCCCCTTGTGGATTCCACGGTGAACATTCAGTTTGATCCTGTTAGTGGCCTCATGACCCACCCTATTCGCGAAGAATGGATGACATGGCATGATAAGGGGAACGGGAAGGCCGGGGCATATCTTTTTGCCCCAGACAGACTGGAACCCTTTCTGCCTAAACAACAAACCATACAGATAAAGAAAGGCGGATATTCTGTCGTAAGCAACGATGAACGGGGCAAATGGAAGCGCAGAGTCGTGGAAAGGAGAGTGCCATCCGACTTTGGCTCGACGTCCACAGTCATCGACTTTATCTTTGAAACAGACTTGAAATCGGATGATCGTGAATGGTTTGCTAGATTCACGGGGAATGTGAACAACAAGGGTGTTTTCCACACTGATCTCAACGGCTTCAACTTCGACACACACTACTTTCGAAAAGACCTGCCGTTGCAAAGCCAAGTATTCCCCATGCCAACCCTTGCTTCCATCGAAGACGCGAAATCTCGAATGACCATCCTCAGCAACCACGCTCAGGGCACAGCATCTTTCCAGGATGGTTCCATTGACGTTTGGCTAGATCGAAGGTTGTCGACCGATGACTCGCGAGGGCTGGGACAGGGGGTCAGAGACAACGTTGCGACTCGAACGATTCTAAGAGTGGTTCTGGAGCCTCAAATTTTTGGCTCTGACACCGAGTTTCGCGTGACGCCACTGTGTAGCAGAATGTGGAACGAGTTAAACCACCCATTGGAGATCTTCGGCCCCCCTGGCGACAGCGTAGTAACAGCTGATAACCCAGGGCAGCAAGGGCAGCAAGCAGAAGTGCCTGCTGTCAACAAGCCCGCCCTGGATCGAATGTGGGATGCTCTTCATGGTTTCCGAACCGCAGACAAGCCAAACCCCGTACCCCAGCCAGAGGCACAAGTTGCACAAAATGCAGGCACAACAAAGCAGACGGTTGTTCCTTTCGTGTTCATGGTATACAAACGGGTGGATTTCTTCAAGAAGGTTGTTGACTCTCTGCGGAAGTCAGACTTTCCTCGTTCAGTGGCACCCCTGATCATATCTCACGACGGCCATTTCGAAGATTTTGTCGCGTATGTTCAGACTCTGAAAGGTGAAGGCTTCAAGGTGATCCAGCTATTCCATCCATTTTCATGTGCCGAACATCCTGACACATTCCCGGGCCCAGACCCAAAACTCAACGAGGGTTACAGGGGTGATTCGTATGGGCACCCCAGAGAGGCATGGGTTACGTGCTGCAAACATCACTTTACCTGGCTCATGAAAACAGTCTTCGCACTTGATTTGGGACCAGTGAGGGCTGAGAGCTTCCTCTTTATGGAAGAAGACTATGTCGTTGCCCCAACAATCTACTCCGCCATTCAATCTGGGTTGAATCTAATGGAAACTTCGTCACCAAAACCAGTGGGTGGCTACTTTGGGCTGGTGCTTGACACAAGTGATGGCTTCACCAAGCCGTACAACCCAAACTCGGATCAATTTTGGGGGGCACGGAGGTTTATTACGGGCCCGATGGTTTTGCCCAGGGTGATGTTTGAGAGAATTCGAGATAATGCAAGGGAATACTGTACATTTGATGATTACAACTGGTAAGTTTGAATCAGTGATCTTGTTCGAGTTGTTGCATCAGCAAAACCAATTCTCATCTGCATTCGTGTCGTCAGGGATTGGAGTCTCGTGCACATGCAAGGCGCTGGAATTCTCCCGCACACAGTGTTGGTTCCATCTCGACCGCAGGTGTTGCATATCGGCTTTGAAGGTGGGATGCACGAGAAGGATATCAAACCTGCAGTTCGAGCGGCCTTCAAGAGGTCCGGGGGGATCGCTCCGCCGTTTAAATCTGAAAAGGTGTACGGCCCAGTGAATGTCAAAACAAAGGTTCACAAGAGAGGATACGGTGGTTGGGGTCATCCGGCAGATCACCAGCATTGCTTGGATCTCATCGGAAGATAATGGGGGTCTCGTTGACTGTCACTCGTACCAGTAGCTAGCCGCCTCATCTCTAGCTAGCTAGTGAAGTCATTACTAACGAACGAAACATGTATTTTATGAAATTAGAGATATCATTGAGTTATCGCTTTTGCAGGAGGTGTTCAGCTTTCGACTTTGCTACCGCAGAAGGTCATGACAAGTCGGCACCAAACCAAGGCAATGACCAATGTGACTAAACTGTGGACGATGTGGGCCTTCATTCCGAGGACAATGTCGGTAATCGTCCAACACATGCAAACCCCAATGAGAGCTCCCACAGCAAAGTAGTATTCCATCTTTTGGATGAGTCCGGCAATAAAGTCCTCCTTTGCCTTGAAATTCTCGTTCACGGAAGTTGTTGCGTAGAAGGATGTGACAACGAGACTACGTAGGAAGAGGAGGACGCAGACTCCCATGATAGACGTGACGAAGCACCAGACCAAGGAGACAACGAGGAATTCCTTCATGAAGAAGACGTTGTAGCCGTACATGGAAGTCATCAGGAAGTTTGCACCCAGGGAGCTGAATTGGATGAAACATCCAATGATGAGTCCAATGATGAGACTGTAGAGGTTGGACCACTGCGAGGAAGATTCCTTCATGGCAGTGTCCTCCTCATCTTCACTCATGGTGGTCTGGATACTCAAGAGAGGCTCATTGAGATCATTGCTGCCGTCGGTCTGAACAGTCTTGTCGTCCTCGTCATCGTAAAGCTCGGGTACGGCGATTTTCTTGGCGGGGGGATCGAAAGGAGCCATGGTTGATTGCTTGGGGATTTAGTTGACTGAAGACCGATGAGGGAAGGAAGCAAACAAAGAAGATTTGTGAGATGGGTAGGTACGGAGCATCTCTCTCCTTTCGCTCTCTGCCATAAAAAGGGGCCCAACGCTTGGTGGGCCAATTTTGTGATTGAGAGAGCGTTGAAGGCCGACTCTTGCGTGATACCGTACGATACGCTCGTTTTTCGGAAGCGATCAACTCCCGCGAAACAACAGATCCAATTTAGAAAAACTTGGGATTGCTATGTCCTGCGGGCTATCAGCTTACTGAGGAGTGAGGAGACTGTAGTAGCAAGCAAAGCAGTAGGATTGGCACCGATGAGTGAGCTACCGGTTTGGTGCGCAACGGTAGGTACGGTATGTCGTACCGCTTCCGCAGCGTCAATTTACAAAGCTAGTTCCAGAGGTTGATCGCAGCTCGTTGAGGCTAAGATTACTAGGAAGGCAATCAAAGAGTGTTTAGTAGACGCACGGTTATGACGTTGTGGTTTCGTTGAAAAGTACGGCTCCGACGATATTTCGACCCACAACCACCTGTCTGGCTATCCAGGAGATCATTGATGGAATCGAATCGCCGGACAGAGAATAGGCCAGTGTCGGACTACGTGTGACCTGGAGATCGTGATGGAATCGCCTGACACAGAATAGATTCAATCGAATGATCCATCAAACGAATAGTAAGACTCAGTTTTATTGCGCTACAGTAGCTAGCTACCGGTAGCTAGCTAGTATGATGATACAAATGTGCTTTTTTATTTTATTATTACACTGGCACGACACTGCTGTATCCACCATCGACATGGAGGACTTGGCCCGTAATCCCCGATGCCTCGGCGAGAAATCGTACCGCATGAGCCACTTCCGCCACTGTCACGTTGCGTTTCAACGGTGCCGTTTCTTGGGCATGTTGCCACAATTCGGTAAAATGTGGAATGCCCCGCGACGCCAATGTGCGGACGGGTCCGGCACTGACGGCATTGACGCGAATGGAATGAGGATTGTCGTCACGAATGTAGTAGTGCCCGAGTTCCAATGCCAACGCCCGCATGTTGGCTTCCAGTGCCGCCTTGGCGGGTCCCATCAAGTAATAATGGGGGACGGCCCGGGTGGATCCCAAGTATGTGAGGGCTGTAATGGAGGCGGCTGTTGTACTGGTATGTGAATTCATGACGTGTTTGGCGTAGTGAGCCGTTTCGACGAGGGAGTATGCCGACGTGTGCATTGCCATTTGATAATCGTGCCAGGACGCTTCCGACAAGTACAACTTTGGATTGTCGGGATTGTCAAAGGGCGCAAACGCCACCGAGTGGACAATGCTGTCCAACTGTAAGGATTGCTGTTGTTGGTGTTGTGATGATATCTCCTGTAGCACTTGTGGAATTTGTTCTTGAAAGAGTCTTGGTAGATCCGTTTCCACGTTGCATGGCAAGGCATGAATGGGATGGTGGTTCTTTTTGCTGGTAGTAGTAGCAATGAGTTTTTCAATGGAGGGCCGTAGCCTATCATTTTGGTATGTGAGAAGGACCTGATACCCCTGTTGTTGAAATTCCTGCACACATGCCCAGGCAATGGATCTGTGGTTGGCCACTCCCATTATCAGAGCCACTTTTGGTTGGCTCTTGGAATTATCATTCTTATTATGTTGCTCCTGATTCTCACTGTTTTTGGATTCTTGTTCGGAACTGGAGAGGTATCTTCGTTTGGCAGCTTGAGGGAAGACGCAGCAGCAAGGGTAGAATGGAGTTCGAAGTTGTACTCTCGACGACAAGCTCCTCTTGGTAGCAGATAATACTAACTGAGATGGTACCACCATTATCTTTTCTCGCTTGATTGATTGATTGATTGGACGTCAACTCTTCCTCGTTATATGTTGTTGCAATACTGGAGATCGATAGATGAGGCATCACCTTGATGAGACGGTGTTTTGGATATCTTTATCGTCATCTGGATCTTTCGGAACAGGAAGGAACTCCAGCTGCTGACGTGGTAGCTGACATCTGTTCATGACTAAGTATTCACGGATTGAAGAACATCAGTGGATTGGTGGCATTGCTCTGAATTCTTCTTCGTTGCACGGCTGATGAATTCTGCTACCGCTTCTTCTCATTTTGGAATGACAACCTCGTTTCATCAAGTCATTCATCGGAAGATAGAGGTTTGATTGGATTGATTTTATTCTACTGTGTATGCATGCAAGCCAAAAGAATCAGAATCCTTTGAATGGAGTAGCTTTCTCTCGGAATTGGAACAAGCCACCAAAACAGTTCGGTACCATCAAGAAATCCATCACATCATCGCCAAGGATCCATTTTGTTAAGCTTGTTGACTGTCATTTGGATTGAAAGGAGTTGAAAGAACAGCCAAGACAATGACAAGAGCTTTGCTATTAGTGTTGGTGTTGCTGGGTGTCATTGGCAGTGGGTTTTCCTTTGTCTTGCCCTCTTCGGTTGTCACGACGACATCACAATCAGATTCGGCTGTCTACCTATCCGATGTTCCTCAAGACGAAACCGAGAAATCAACCTCATCGTCGTCCCAGGAATCACCTCCACAACAGCGAAAACAGCAACAACAAAAAGCCAATGACACATGGCAGCATCAACAACGACAACAACGCAACTGGAAACAGAATTGGTTACCCGAACCACCCGAAGATCAACTCACATTGGCCGGAGATGTCGCCTCCTTGTTCCTCTACTCGTTCATGGATCACTTTCTCAATGACGTATACTTGACATCCCTATTGAAATCCAGCGACTCGGCAGCCGAAGCGGCCAAATCACTCGACACGACATCGTTGCCACTCCCCGTATGGGTCGATTCCACCGCCCTTGGCACACAGACGGTCGATCACTTGCTCTTGACGGATTTGCAATCCCGTGTGTTGCCCCATTTTAGCACACCCCTGCTAGCATCGGCTGGAATGGCCAGTGTCAGTTTGGCATCGTGTTGGTTGCTGGCGGGGATCCTTCATCAAGCCTTTCATTTTCGAAATACCCTCGATTGTCCCACCGATCGCGCCATTGCCGTCACGGGACAAACATGGATCACATCCTCCATCTTTTTGATTGCACTCACGTGCATCAGTCAACACATGGCAGGAGGAGCGGCTGTGGATATTCAAGATGTATCCACTTCGGTCCTAATGACACAAGGGCGAGTCTTGACGCCGATCGAAGAGTGGCTCAGTGTCTTGACACGAACCGACATTCAATACATTGTCGATAGTTTGGGTGTTCTACTGACTTGGAGATTCATGATTAGTTTTCTCTTGGGTGGATGGTCCAAGAAGTAGACAGAAGCACAAACACAAGCCACAAGAACAACTCCCAAATTGGTTAGCAGTTATCATACTGGCACACCATCTATCACGACACAACCCGTTGAAGCTGCTACCAGTGGGAGTTATATTGCCAACATCTATCCAGGAGTACTGAATTGGCAACACCCCATCCACAATACACAAAATAGACAAAAAGAGTGTCCGAACGAAGGAGATTTGTTTGGGATTGCTGACACGAGGGACAACCACATAGACTTTTACAACGTCCTCAGCAACTCGACTTTTCTCATCGCCACTTGGCAGGTAGTACGTTGCCATTATAAAGTCAATAGTACATACTGTTTCATATTATAGTATCATGTCGTTGAGTAGTAGTCTCTACACTTCTAGCTAGCTAGCGCTAGCCAGCAGGCATACCCATTAAGCATTGGCAACCTTTTCCACAATTCCAAATTGCTCCAGCGGATGGTTGAGTTCTTCCCACATGCGCTTGCACAGGGGTGTTATCGTGTAATTGTCCAACAACTTGGGAGCTGTTCCATCGATCTTCTCTTCCACTACGATGCGAAGGCGCGTCCTCGTGGGAACATTGTCGGACACGCCTTGACCCACGCCTCTGGCGTCATCTTGACGAAGCCGACGATCCAGCCACACGTCAATCGTTCCGTCCTTGGTAGATGCCGTTCCTTGTGCGTGATCACTCAATACCGTCATTCGCAGTTTGGCATCTTCTACAGAGGCAAGTGTCGGCATGGGAAACACCTGACTCTGTAGTGGAAGGTCGGAACGGAACTTGTGCGTGTCAAAGTTAAAGCCATTCAAATCCGTGTGGAAGATTCCTTGGTTCTGAATGTTGGGATGGGTGAACCGCACGAACCATTCTTCATTCGAGTTTTGTAGATTGGTTTCGTACACAAAGTCAATCACAGTGGCCCCATCGACAGTCTTTTGCACGACGTGGCGGCGCCAATGATTGGCGTCCACAACCAGGCCACCATCTTGGATCTTGGGTGCCCCCTTGTCCTGGTAATTGAGCAAGTCACCGGGGAAGAACAGGTAGGCACCTCCCTTTTTCACCTTCCAAACCATCCATTCCTCTTGGAACGGCTCGGTCACCAATCCCGTGTGCTCGTCAAATTGAGTGCCCGACGATGCCGAGGGTACTTCGCACGGAACGTTCGAAGGCACCTCTTTGGTTTCATGACCGGGCACTTCAACGTCACCACACCACTGAGATGTTTCCAAGGGATTGTACAGTTTGACAGTCTTGATATTAGCGGTCAAACAAAGGTTCTGGCTCAAGCCTCTGGGATCATTCGATTTCCAACATGCATGGAGTTCCTGATTGTCTGCCTGAAGCTTTTTGGCGATCCAATCTTGCGTGGAACCAATTGCAGCATAGACTCTCAGGGCATAATCTTTCACGACGTGATCTTTGGCAGTTCCCGTGATGCCATCATGATGCTGAAACAAACTCAGAGCCCTTCTGGGGCCTTGCAGCTCTTCATCAGTGCCCCCCAGAGAGCTGGCTGCAAAAAGAACTCGTTCCAGCTTTCTATCCAGTGATTTGTCAAAGGGCCGGCTGGTGTAGTAGCCACTCCAGTAGTCCTCATTAACATCTGCATATGTGAAGAAGCTACCTTTCAATAATGGCGGTTCAAAGGTTCCCATGGCAGCCTCAAAGTATTCACTCAAGGTTCCAAACTGAATCTGAACCCCTTCCACATGTTTGTTGATGTAGTCAAATATCTTTTGGTAGTTGGAAAACTGCAGCTCAGCTTCTTCAGCTGTTTGATACCGAAAGTCATCACCAAGTGGAGCAATCACTACACCAGATCGATACAGGGACGCTTTCTTGAGGTACTGATCTAGAAGAAGCATTGACCTCTCCTGCAGATTGATGTATGTGATGGCTTGGGGATTTTTTCTCCAGGGGCAACCAGTTCTTTTCATTCTGGCAAAATCAAACTGGCAACATACACTTGGATCGGGTCCACAAGTGTGTGGCACATCATAGGAAAAGAACGGCATGACATGGCAAAAGATATCATATTCACCCTCATCATCCCAAACCTGTCTCCAGTTGAATTCCAAATGTTTCCTCTTGGCCAATTCCTTCTTCACAGCATAATGCACCCTTTGTATCAGCATGGCCTTGAAACCATATTTCTTGAGCAAATAGGCCATTGTGGGTGAGTACCCAAATGGATCAATGCTCCATCCATACTTTGGAATGTGTTTCTCTCCAATATTATTCCTGATCCAATTATGTCCCTCCTCCATTTGGACTTCCATAGCATAGAGCTGTGTGTTGGCTTCATCTGGCATCACCCATCCTCCAGTCACAAATTCCAGCTGCCCATTTTCAAACAATGATTTTGTTAATTGTTGCACTTCAGGCATCTGCTCCCTCCACCACCATTCAAAGTAGCTGATTTCTGCCCAGATAAACTTCCTCTTGCGATCTTTTGATAAGGCATTTACGACCGAAGTCAGAATGTGTTTTGTCTGTGATTGGAAGTAATCATCAAACGTCTTGATCCAACCAGGATCACAGTGTGAATGCGGTACTACAAAAATTTTGACGGGATTTTCTTTTGTTGGTTTGACTGGTTGAACATCCCACCCTTGCTTCCAAGCCCCACCATCCGGATTGTCAAAGGGGAGTGTTGCATCCAGCTCTCTCATATCAATCAGGGAGGCATCATTGTTTGATGGAGGCAGCTCTATCTCTGGCTTGGGTGGAAAGATACGTTTCTTGGATTCTTTTACAGCGTTGACGATGCGTCGTAGCTGGCTTCCGTGATCCAGATCAGGACCGCTCCCGGTATGACCTCGAAGATGCATGAAGCCTTTGTTCGTTGGATCGGGTACAAAGGTCATTCCCAAAATGCACAAGCAAAAAACGATTGCCAACGGTATAAGTAGCAGTTTAATAGCAGGAGACATGGACTGTTTCAAGGCTTTCTCGGCCTTGGCGCGCTTCTTGTCTTTTTTCGACTTCTTTCCCTTTTTATTCTTTCGTGCGCTGTTGCCACTCGAAGGGCTCGCACCACTGCTCGTTGATAACTTCATCTTGTTGTTCTACCTAGTTAGTGTTATTACTAGCTAGTTGCTGGTAGTGTGATGGACTGTTGTTGCGTTCTTGTCAATTGTCGCTTTTCTTCTTTCTTCTTTCCTTCCATGACCGTTGTCCTTCGAAAGCAAGTTGGGTCGGGCTTGGATCTTTGATGACGAATGGCAAGCCGCCTCCCACGATCCTCTCGGGGTGAGCGTGGCGTGGGAAGGGCTTGGACGGGGTCGCTTTGGATGCAATGACAGTCGAGGCGAGTCGAGTCGAGTCCGCAGTCTCCTACGGTACTAGCCACTCACTTCTTAGCTTGTGTCTCCCGGGCAATGTATGTCATACCACAATTGAGCATGGGTGTCGTCATCCTTTTCTTTTTACTATACTTTTGGAGGGCATCCTTTTAGGGTCTCTTCTTGTCGTCGTCTGTCTTGCATTGTGCGACCCTGAAGAATTCTTCCGCCCCATTGGTTCGCGGCCTGAAAACGTTGAGAGGATTGTTGGGGCTTCGCTCATACTCTTGTATATTTTCATTTGTCTTCAGTTGCTTGGCCAAGGCAAGCTCGGTGTCGTGGCTTGTGCGCTTTTCTGCCTGTTGTGGCTGTCTCTTCCGGTCACCGCCCCCATCCTTTGTTCTTCATTTAAAGATAACCATGGCGCATATATTGCTCTTTTGGCCGGCGCCTCCCTCAACCTGTACATTTCAATGGTGCTACGCGACCCGCAAACTGTGCAAGAATTGGTCAACATGATATCCGCCTGTGGTTATGCCTTGGCTGATCGAGTCGAGTCAAAGGTGCCTTGGCAACAGTTTGGGGAGTTGGCAGTCGCTTGCTGCATCGTACAATCCAGATTGCCTCGGATTGGGTTGGGAGCGGTTACGGTTTGGCAGTCCAATCAATCCAGACTTTCTTCTGCGATGCGCTGGACGCGGTAAGCCCAATTGCTGTTACAGGCTACAAGTCTTTCAATGAAATAAACAGCGCTGCCCTTGCCCTACCAAAGAGAGCTATCGCGGGCGTGTGGCAATCAAATTGGGCTGTGTACCGTCTTGTGATTAACGGCACTATCCAGGGTTTTCTGGCTCTCTCCGGCGGAGTTGGTCTATCACAAGATCCTCCTTTCGCTGCCACAATAAACATGTATCTACAACCCAGTTATCCTTTGTATCTGCATCCATCGGACTCCACCGTTCCAACAACATCGGACCTCAGGGGCCTGCAACTGCTCGAGTGCGTGGACAGAGTCCAAACTTTGTTACGACAAGGAAACAATGCAGATGCATCCAATCAACTTGATGACTGTTCGAAACAAGACTATCCAAGTCCCAACATTTTTGATCTGGTACCACACGAAGACATTCTAAAGCTACTCGTGAACCCTCATCAACTAATACAAGATGGAATCATGGAGTACGCTTGGACATTCTATGACATGGTAAACTCAAATCTGAATAAACCAGACTCAATCAAGCTGGGCGATACAAGACATGAAAGGCTGGGCATTGTATTGCCGTCCATCCAGGATCACACAGTGCGGGAGCCTGCAACCAATACCCCATATGGTCACACGGCCTACATGAAGTACATGGTATGGAAGTTTATCAAGTCTCTGGGTGTCAAAAATATTGCTCTTGCTGGCCTCTACTACGGGGACATGTATTCTCCGGAGGAGCAATTCCTTCAGTTGCTCCATCGAGAAGAAGGGCGCAGAGGAATGGAAGGAGGATTTGTCATGTGTGGCCCAAGCAAGAAGGACAGGGCCAAGGCATTGCAACTGATCCGGGAATGCGAAGTACCCAACATATTTCTAGACACGGCATTAGTTCCCAACATCAGGTTTCGCAGAAGCAAGACTATGTCTGAGAATAGTAAAGCTACTGGTGATGACCTCATGGGAGCTCTCATGGCTGCAGACAAGGCTCTGGCAGATGCAGGCTACCCCATGGCTGCAACGACAGAGGATGGAGCACCCATGGGCCAAGTGTACATCAATTTTGTAGACCTGATGGAATTTGTGAACGTAACAAGCGAACCAGTCCGTGGCAATGGTGATGATCCAAGGGATTATAATATGCAGTTCCAGGAAAATGTTACAAAGGTAGAGCAGATCTTTGATCGACTCAAGAAAGCCGACTCCAAGGGTGTCGGCCAGCGTCTTACTGGTATCCTCTATGAGGAAGGGAAGGGTAGAGCCGACTACAGAGACTATGCCAAAATTGCACAATGGCTACGAAGTCATTTCCCACCGCAACGATACACAATCTTGGTCCACGCCCATGGCGGCACAGGGACTGAACATGCTGCAAGCCTGGAGGCTGTGAATGCTGGAGCTAATGGCGTATGGGCTGGATTCATCCCACAGGCAGCCCAAAGCGGCCACAACTCATACTTCCTCTACCTGGACAACTTGATCACCAACGGCAACGAGCACGTGTGGGGCACATTTGACCTTCACACGGGAATTGAACTTGCCAAGGCAATCTATTCTCTGAACTTTCTCAGTGTTCAGTATCCAAAGGATTGCCCGATTTGGGGAGAATATGTGTTGCGGACTGTGCATACTGCCTTTAAAATCACAAACGAGCTTGAATGGAGGTCCAGAACTGAGGATATGTACCATTGGTGGTCACACGATGATAAGCAAGTCCTGGACGAAATGCGCAGGGAGCTTCATGCTGTGGAACCCAGAGGTGCCTATCAGGAATCCAGTAGATACAGAATTGCCCCCCTCGTGTCAGACCCTCTGACCATTGGAGAGCGGCTCGGGGAAGTTGGGTTTATCAAGAAAAACGGCCGTACCATACAAGAAGCCAAGTTACATTACGGGCGTTCAATGCAGGAAATCATGTTGGCCATTATGAATGCAGGTATTCGGGCAAATTTTGATGCAGAAGAAATGCTGTCAAGGCTTGCTCAATGGGTTGAGCTACGAGACCTGAAGGAAAAGGCAAGGCAGCTCCCCCAAGGCGCCAATGCCACCGGAACAAGTTTCAACAGGGAGCATCAACGATGGCAGCAGCGGTGGTCACAGAAATGGCAGCAAGTTCGCGCCTTCCCAGTTCCAACTCCCAAGTAGGTTTAGCTCATTGTCATGCGCTTCCAAAAGTATTTGCTTTACAAACGTGCTAAGTGTGGCAACGGTGTGCCTATGGCACCACTGAGCTATGCTGCTATTGTCGACCAGTCTTTCGACACCCGTGCACCAATACCGGTATATAAATACGCAGCACCTGTTGTGCGAAACTTCTAACAGCAACTACACGTATTAGGATTGCCATTACAAGATGTATTTGGAGGTTGGCCATTATTATGCATTCGGAAGAGCAGGAAAGAGTACCAAGTCTTTCGGCAGCTGGACCACAGTAAGGTCTATAGTCTAGAGGAGAGGGAAGGGTGAAAGATTATTCATCGTGCTATGCCATGTCAAGACTCTTCATTAGATCATCACTAATGACATTCCGGGCCGCCCTTCTATTTCGGACAAAGATCTCCTTGGATCTCCGGAGGCAACAGTGTCCCGTCACCGCCACCACACCATGGAAAAGAAGAAAGATCGCCCTCGTTTCCAACAGGAGATCAAAGAGGATCCACGCAAAAAACATGCCGATTAAAGATCCATGGAATAAGTGGAATTCCTGTTCGACCTGTTCTTGTTGTTGTCGGTTCATCCAAAAGTAGCATTTGCACGAGAGCCCAGTCGTGGTAATGGACACAACAGTCCATAAAATTGTCAAGACAATCGCTCCCACGAGGCATTCACTGGCTTCTGCCCGCACCTTGTCGCTGACTGTAAACAGGACCATCAACCCAAGCGCCATTTGAGAGAGAAACCCGGATCGCAGACCAAAGATAAAGCCACTGGCGTTGTTATGCAAGTCTTGGCGACCCCGTTGTTGGTACTTGTTGTTTGGCGGAAGACTTGGCAGGCTCAGCAAACTCCTGGAGCTTTCCCTGGCCTCCAGTTCGATCCGAAGGGGTATCGCCGAGAACACTCCGCCATTATTTTGCTGGGGTTCATCGCTCGACATGGTGGCTTTGAAGCAACAACACTCAATTCAATGGGTACTTGGCTAGGGTCTTGCTTGAGTAATGGAAGAAGTTTGGAACGCGTTGGATTTGTGACTTCGTGACTTGGTTTGGTGGAAGAGCAACGGCAAAGATATTTGCGCGTAACCGTTGCTTCTCGCAGTTATCCGTTCTTGTAGCCGACCGACGCAAGTCCCTCCACCGTCTCGGCGACGTGCATAAACCAATAGAGCAGCGAAAACAAAGCCACGTAAGTATTGCATCACATCTACTTTCAACACACCAGGTGGCTGGAGCTACGGAGATCCCAGAGGACAAACAAAGCTTTCTTTGCCAACAACCCTTTGTGGGTGTTTTGAGTCTAGAATTAGCTAGCTAGTTGGCACCGGCGCCTGCTGCTCTTGGCTAGCAGTTGGCTGCAAAGTTCATTCTTGAGAAGATGATGAAACTAGCTAGTAGCATCAGTGCCAGGCAGCAACTGCCAGCGATACTATACTTCTGTTCGTGTCAACTTATGATACACTTTGCAGACTTTGGTTCTTTTGGGACGGAATCTGCATGCTAGGTACCAGCATATACAGTAGATTGCAAACCTTTTCTTGCGCCCGTTCTTTCTATACCCAAGCGAACTCTCTCGATTCGATTCATTCCACGTGGGAGGCGAACGAATTTTAAGAATATAGTGGGAGGATCTCACAGTTGTCGTGCTGTGCAAAAACAGGCCAAAGAAATCAGAGAGAGCTGCACACAAGCATTAGCAAAGAGCAACGAAATCACATTCACCCGTTTTCAACGCCAATTAAAGAAAAAAATCTCCTGTTTAGTTTGCTTGTTGCTGGTTATTATGATAACACCCTCATACTATAGAGAAATAAATAAAGAAATGACTGGCCTATTATAACATTCCCGCCTCGAGCATGGCTTCCACTCTTTGATCCGGTGTCATCTTGGCTAGCTTCTTCCCGTCTAAAAGACTGCTGTTCTTATTCGTTGTTGTTTGTTGTTGCTGTTTGGATCGCTGTATCTGTCTCCACAGCATTTGTCCATCGAGTTGTTTTTTCATGGCCTTGGTCCGTTGTTTGCCAAAAAATCCATCAATATGTTCTTGAAACTCTTCTTCGAGCCGTCGCGAAAAGGCGGGATCTTCCAAATTCAGAAACAAACTGGGCAATGCCAATCCCAGACCCCCATAATCGTTGGGTCGAGGTTGCATATCCCACTTTTTCTTTCTGTTGCGTTTGGACTTAAGCGGGTAGCCTTGAAAGGGCCGTTTCTGCTTTTTGCGCTTGACGGCGTCTCGAAATTCCATGGCGAGCAATCGTAATTGTTGTTGCGTTTGAGTACTGGTGGTTCTTGTCGTGTCGTCTTCTTCTACTACTGTAGTTGTTGGAGTTGGAGGAGCATCGTGATCGATTTGCCGGCCTTGCTGCTTTTGCTGGACTTTCTGTTGCCGTCGCTGTCGTTTGGCCGCTCTTTTTTCTTGTCGTTCCGCCTTGGAAGATGACGACACCGCGGTCGAAGGATCCAACGATTTCTTGGCGAGGTTGGCAATCCACCTTTCCATGTTGTTATTATTAGTATTAGTCTTGGCCTTGCCAGTCTTGGAATCACCCTCGGGTTGTTTTCGTTTTCTTCCGCCGCCCATGGTTGGTTCCAGGTTAGTTTTCTCAAAGAATAAACCTATAAAAAGTGTGAGTGCAAGTTGCATGCATTGGTTGCGGTTGATTTCCATGCACCACTCGCGCGAAACCACGGTGTCAGAGATATCCACGGTGTGGTGTTTGAGAAAGAAGAACCGGGACCGGCACTCAGCATCTGTCTTGGTTCAATTCCCACTTGGGATTGTGCTTGGTGTCAAAGGCTGCTTCCCGAAGCGAAGAGGATTCGATTCATTGTGGGAATGGCATAGATCCGAATGAATACGGTACCATAGCAACCAAGATTTCTACGAACACATCCTGCTTGGGGTTTAATCATTCGACTATCTAGCTAGCTATGTAGCTGCTAGTGATCTAGTGTAGTAGAGTTGGCGATGAATGCTTCCATGCTTCCGATCTCATAATATCAAATCAACTACAAGAACACAAACGAACAACAAACAACAACTACGAGTACTGATGAATCCTCAATACAGCGCAGCTCCCCAACCAATGAATCCTCAATACAGCGCAACTCCCCAACCATTGAACAACGGCAACTACCCCACGGCAACGGCCAGTATGATCCCCGTTACTACTGGCATGAGTAGTGGTGGGGGTGGTGGCCCAGCACCCAAGAAATACATCAAAATCAACGGTGTTACCAAATTGAATCCAGAATACCGACGATGGAAAGAATCACAAGGCGTCCCCGCCACCACGGTCGCGTCTCCCAGTATCGCTCTCCCCATTGTCTCGTCCATGGAAGATCACGAAAAACTCAATGCGGCTTCCATTGCGGCAGGAGGCAAGGAAGTCCCACTCGCCGAATCGACCAACGCCACTATTGAAATGATGCAAGAACCTGAAATCTGTATGGAAGCCGGCATGAGACCCGACGAAATGGTGGATCAACTGGGAGCTGTGCTCAACAAGTACGAAGCACCCATGGGACTCATGAACAAATTAATGCTCCTTACCGAATTTGAAGTACTCGAATTCATGGTAGACGATGTAAGAACAACACAACACAAACAAACAACCTGCATGCAAGAATATATTCGCGTCACAATGAAAACCAGCTCAATCCTCTCTTTTTTCCATTTATTTTCATACATACCACAGAGCGGAAGCATGACCATTGTATCTGATACCGTGGCCGCCAATGGGCGACCTCAAACACGATGGCAAGAAGCCCAGCGTCGTCTCAAGGAAATGATGGAAATTCTGGGCCATGTTCCCTTTAATGAAATTCAAATTTGCTTTTTGAACCGCCCCGAACGTCTCTCGCTGCGACGCAATGGACGCAATCCACAAACCTTTCTCGCCGATGCGTATCGACAAATCGATCAAGCATTTGCACGGGGACCGACTGGGAGCACTCCCTTTTTGGAGCGTCTTCGGGAATCCTTTCAACGATTCGGACCCAATCGCAATGTGGCACGCTACTTTTTTGGAGACGGACAACCCAATGGCGGTAACCCGGCCAAAGCTGAGATTGTACGACTCTTGTTGCAACGGCCCAATCCGGAGGGCAACCCCATGACATTCTTGAGTTGCACTGGCGATGATGCCCAAGTGGAATGGATGAAGGATGCCGAAGAAATTGTTCCGTTTTGTGCCGAGTGCGACGACTTTAAAGATGAAGCGGCCGAAGTCTACCGAGATCAGGGCGTGGCGCTGCCCTTTTCGTTTGGCTTTTACTTGATTTGCACGCTGGTGGCCGCCATGAACCCCGATGATTTGGATGCCATGGACGAATCCGTGCCCTTTACCAAAATGACATTGGACAATCTGTTGGGCATTGAACACAATGAAGAAAGTTATCGTCATTACTTTCAACACTTTGTGTCGGCGCAACGAGCTCGCAAAGTGGAATTGGATGACTTTGGACGCCCCAAAAGGACCGATCAGCTCAAGAAGAATGCCAACTGGGAGGCGTGCTATCAGGACTTTTTGCGGGCTCCACTGGCCAGCCAGATCCCGGCTGTGCAGCAGTTCAAGAGGCAACTGATGGAATAATGAGAGGGCAGCAACATATTGCCGGGAGCAAAGGGGGGCCAACCGGTCCGAAGCTGGTCTATAACAATTCATGAATGCAGCGCGAAGCTCATGTAGCAGTGTAAATGTACAACTATAAACTAAAACAAAGTGGCAAGCCAGAACAATATCTCCACGTTCTACACACTACAGTAGCTAGCATCTGTGTTGACTGTCAATCATACGTTCTTGTCCTTCTTGCTTGTGACTCACTCGTTCCTATTGTTGGGTTCATCACTTGGATAGTGCCTCTACAAATAAATGTACCGAACTGATCCAACTTGAACATACTAGTACATGTACTGGGCAACACTAGCTACTCTTGCCACCAGTCCCATTCACAATCTTGGTGGCATGAAACAATGAATGAATCGAATCAGCCCCCAAGCAACAGACCAGCCCATCTTCGAAGTGTGGACGTAAATTCATCAGCACGGAATGAGTATAATGAGTGAGAACTGACATGTCGTCCGGGTTGCCACATGAAGGCGGGTCGTGTCCAAGCTGGAGAACTTTTTCGCAGCTTGCAGCGCAGGCTTGCTGCCGCCGACCAACCGAAAGAACCTCCAAGCGTTGTCCGTGCAGCGCACGGCCATGGCAAACAAGGAAGTAAAGTGACGACGCTAAAGCAAAAAGAAAAACAACCACAATGCCGGCAATGTTGCGGACTCCTCGTCGCCATGAGGAAATCTTGACGCACCGTACGAATCGCAGTACCACGGCAACAGCCGCCGATATCGAGTCGGATTCCTGCTTTGATGTGCAAGATGATACCAAGAAAAACCTCCACGATGGCTTTCATTTTTCCACTAATACGAATGGTGGCAGCCCATCATCCTCCTCTCCTGTTTCAGGAGGAGGAGTGTCTTCCGGAAGGCTTTCTCCCTCGACGACAATTCCACAGCGTAAGCGACGAAGACGGCGGAAAGGTGGAACTGCCTGGAAGACTGGAGCTCTGGCGATGGGCGTCATGCTGGTGCTGTTGACCGTGGTGGGTCTGTTTCTCGATATTGAATCGAGCCCGCAACAGCCTCACATGGTGATGAGGAAAATGACAGAAAGTCCTCCTCGGTTTCAAAAATATTCACTCGATGCTCCCACTGCCTGCAATCAAGAGCTGAGTGCCGACGATGTGAGCTATACTCTGGTCACACAAGTTTCTTCTGATCGACTGTGGATGATGGAACATCAATGCCAGCGATGGCGACTTCACAATGAAACACATTTCCCAATTTCCATTGCCGTTCTCACCAACGATACCACATCTCATGTCCAGCAACAATTGCGAGATATGGGCTGCGACTTGGATCATGTGGTTACTGTGGCAACCTTGTTGGCCAAACTGTTCCCATACGATGATTATCCCGTCAATATACTGCGAAATTTGGCATTGAAGGCCGTCAAAACAAGTCATGTCCTCTACATTGATATTGACTTTTGGATGAATCGAGACTTGTCCCAGATTTTGCTCCTACCAGACGTCACTGAAAAGTTGGCGTCCGATCCAAAGGCTACTCTAGTGATACCTGCCTTTATGCTACTTCGTCAATGTAAACAGTGGAAGGTAAGTTCCGAAACCGAGCTAGCTACTTGACAGGAAGCACAAATGAATGTTTGTGACTGGTACTCACACTCTTTTTTGGTTATCAGGAATGCCCCGAACAGAATATTCCACAAATGCCCATGACATTGGATGGATTGAAGAAACAAATCCTATCACACGCTGTCACACGCTTTGATCCAACCAACCGGGGCGGTCATGGCAGTACCAAATACAAGGAATGGTTCAAACAAAACTATCCCGATGGAGATGCACTCGTCGAGATTGATTGCTTCTTGTCCAATCGATACGAACCGTACCTAGTCTTTCGCTACTGTCAAGAGCTACCACCCTTTCAGGATCAATTCTCTGGTTACGGAAAGAACAAAATGACATGGGTCATGCAATTGCGACGGATGGGCTATACATTCTGGCAACTGGGAAAGGGAGCCTTTGTCATTCACTATCCTCACTTGGATTCCCCCTCTCGAGTGGCATGGAACGATGCTCCCAGGAAACTCAAAGATCCATCCATGGATCAGTGGTTGGTCTACAAACGAGGGAGAATGGACCAGCTCTTTGTCGAGTTTCGGGAATGGCTGAGGAACGAAGTGCCTGATGAGACCAAGACTCCCTTTTGTGCGGATAAACTCGACGATGATGCCAACCTGCGGTATGACCGAGAAAAGTTTCGCAATCAAACTGCCTCTCAGAAAAGACTTTCCTAGCTAGGAACAGAGACGTATGTGATTACCACGCTCTTATGAAGAAAACGCACCTCAACGTTGATTGATTCGATTCGCACTCTGCTTATGACGAGGAGAACACACCTCGTTGAGGTGCAGACTATGGTCTCTGGCTGACAAGGCGCCTTTGCTTGGCGCCTTTTGCTGCCTGTATAGTAGTAACGCAAGCTTCAGTTTTTCGCTTCATCAGGGCTTTTGTTCTTTGCTTGTTACTACTAAGCTAGCTAGTAGCAGAGATAGATGATTTCAGACTAATGTTTTTTCATACTGATTGAATGTAAACAGCACATGGCCTAGTGCCCCCTTTTTGTTTCAAAGGTTTCTACCAGTACTATGCATGTACCATATCTAACAAGAAGTAATGATCCCACCAACGATGGTCGGCTACCCAAAGCGTCACCTATGTCTCGTACTTGGCCAAGAGTGCCTGAAGTCGTTCACATTCACGCTTCCAGGCTTCAAAGGCGAACTTCCGATACGCCTCGGAGGACATGTCTTGGGACTCGTCCATGCGGAACCCTGCAGACAGCATACAGCGCTGGTACAAAGCATGAGGTTCTCGCTCAAAGTACGTGAGTGCAAGGTCGTGTCGGGGGTCTGCTACCTGGGTAGAAGTGGTGCATTGGGATGTTTGACTGGAAGTGGTATCGTTGGGTAGGTTGGGAATCAAGGGGGCATCTAGCACCGTGTCCTCGATCGTCGCTTGTGAAGAAGCGCTTGCAGCAAAAGAGGCTTGAGGTAGTTTAGCTGCGGCGGTGATGCTTTGTTTGCCGCCAGTTAAAGCTTTGGTAGGAGCTTGTGTTTGCGTGTCATCTACTAAGGCCAGCGAAATGTTATTGTTGGAGAAGCTTCCTATCGTCACGTGACCAAAAAAGAAGGCAACATCCGCCTTACCTGAATGATTACTGAGTTGCTGCTGAGGAACGGCAGAAGCTCCAAGACTCGTACTCCGATGCGGGAGGAACCCTGGTCCGTAGGCTTGCTCAAAGACTGCGGCGGCATTGCGATTTTGTTTCTTTGCGGCCTTTGGAGAAAATTTGTCGTTTGTGGTGCCCTTCTTGTTGGTAGCAGGAGACGACGGACCCACTGAACCCATGAGCACAAGAGAGCCATTCGACGATTGTTCCTCCTCATTAGAGGTTGCCAGGCTTGGGGACGCCTTTCGCTTACCGGTTGATGAAGAGCTCTTGTTGCCAGCGGTTTGGTTTTTCTTGGCGCGCCTTATGCGCCGATTCAATTGGTTCTTCCTCTGAGTTAGGGTAACAGATTCGCAGTCCATGAGGGCACCATTGTCACTGTGGTAGATAAACCCACCCACTGTCAGGCATTCGAACAAAGAGAGATCAGGATTGTTCATGCGTGCTGCCACTGCAAGGTTCATGCGCGGGTCGCCTCGGTCCATGATGGTAGTAATTGCGGTTGCTTTTTGGATTCAACAGGAAGTATCTTGGAGGTCAGCCTTGCAAGAAATATATTATGAAATCAACAAACAACAACCTGACGATTTTTTAGAAAAATTGCTGCGGAGATATCTGCCTCGAAATAGGCCGGATCCACTGAGGTGAAGGTCCGACGAAGCTTCCTCCGAAGTGGCGGTACTGTGGAAGGTGGAAGCAATCTAGCGCTTGGTAAAAGGTGTTCTTTGAGCAATTGCTGTTTCTGTCTCCTACTGGTTACTGGTGCTGTTCTTCCGGTATGGACCGGTCTAGCGGTAGCTACGGTAGCTCCTATCACTCCTCCATCCATACCGTTGCTTCCTTAGTCACTCCTTCCGAGCTGGTCAAATCTAAGGAAAGGAAAGTAATTCCCCAACTCCTTTTAAAAGGAATTCCCTTTGGGACTCACCAGTCCTGAGCGTGACTTACTCAGCACGAGATGTGACTCAGTACAAGACTCTACGTGAGTAACTACTGTAATTCGTTTCCGGGTTCCTTTTGACTCAGGGAATCTGCAAAATATTCCGGGAGGCAGGGAATTTATTGAAGGAATAGCAGACTAAGATTGCTACCCAGCTGGATTTTTTTAGCAATTTTTTGGTGGTTAAATAGTTCTACACTTTCTACCAAAAAGCTCTTTTGATTCTTAGTAGATTAATACTCCTATAAAATCTAGTACCAAGGACAAACAAAGTTACCTTTTTTTAATGGATTGTTCTTTGACGAAACCCCGGTCTCACCATGTTATATCCATTTGCACCATAGCTGTTTGCGACTAATCCCATCGACAGTGCAGACAATTCCTTACTGCCTTCGAAAGCGCTTCGATTTTGTCTATGGGTCAGAAAAAATGGGACATCCTGAGCTTCATTACAATAATATTATTGCAGAAACAGGACTGGTAGTTTTTGCACTAGTGGTACCGGTATCCTTCGCGGCGCAGCCGGCGCAGCTGATTATTAATAGTCATGAGATGGTTCTGAGGGACGGAGGCAACCCAATTCCCAGTGGCCCGCACTATGGTCCAAGTAGTAAGCAAGTGACTGACAAGGGAGCTAGAGGGCTGTTTGATTCTTGAAAGGACGAAATAATGAGAATGTGACGGTGACAACAAGAGCCACTGGTACAGCTACCGTCTGTCTACCGTCTACCGCACACCGCACGCACCAGGACCGTCCAACAGTTTTTGCTCAGGTTTAAAAACTGCTCAAATCGTGGTTCTGGTTACTAGTAAGGGAATGTTAAGGGAATGTTGAAGCTTTAAGGGAATGTTAAGGGAATGTTGAGGATTTAAGGGAATGTTTTAAGGGAATGTTTATTTAAGGGAATGTTCATTTTTTTTTAGGGAATGTTCTATGGGGTTTACTTGAAGGCTTAGAGGAATGTTTCGAAGCGTTAAGGGAATGTTGTATAGGGAATGTTGATTTAAGAGAATGTTAAGGGAATGTTAAGGCTTTAAGGGAATGTTTTAAGGGAATGTTTAAAGGAATGTTTCAAGTGCAAAATTTTGAGTTTTTTTTAAACCTGAGCGAAAACCGTCGGACGGTCCAGGAAGGCAGCCGATTTTAGAGGTAGGGTTGGCTTGTGCCGGATCGCTGAAAGTCGTTCCTATTCGCGCTGCGCGACTTACCGCGAGTTTCCCGCGATTCGCACAACGCGAATAGAACGAATGGCGCGACTTCACCGCGACTTCCCGCGACTTTCTTAGTTAAATTGCTAGTATTTACAAGTCGCGCAGCGCGACTTAGCGCGAGTCGCGAACGACTTTCCAAGTCGCGCAGCGCGACTTAGCGCGAATCGCGAACGACTTCACGCGACTTACGGGAGTGCGTATTTTTAGCGAATCGAGCATATGCTAGGGTTAAGGCCTAATCGGCTGCCTTCCAGCTCCAGGGAGGCCACACCTTCACGATCGCTTTGTTATTATTGCAGATAGCGTTATAGCCGCTCACTGCCACCTGCCACTCACAACATCTTGGTGTCTGAAATGGCTGGATGTGAGAAAGTGAGTGACGAACGTATTTGTAGCTGTTTTCATCATCTTTTCACTTTTTGTTGAATGTGGGAGTGGGGCGTGGTAGCGGCGACTGAATGATCGATCCCTATTATTATGAGCTAATAGCTATCCTGCTTACTGGCAGCAATTAGATCTAGCTAGCTCAGTAGCCCAGCTTACAGCGAAAGACGAACCCAACTCTGCAATTGTGTGCTGTGAGTTGGATGAATGTTGATTCAGTTTGTTGCCGCGGTCATCGCTGATGATTACTGTGCTCTTCCGAGCTTCCGAGTCGAGTCGAAATGACAGGGAAGGGGGCGACTCCGAACTTCTGCAGATTTTCAGTTCTTGAGACACTTTGGCTACGCATACCGGTACCGGTACATGCAGCATGCAGTAGTAGCTCATTGTAGTACTAGTAGTAGCTCATAGTAGTAGCGGTAGCTCGGCAGCCGAGAGGAGCTCGTAAAAGGTTTGATTTGCTGGGCGGTGTCATCTGCGATAGAGAATGTATGAAGGATTGCTTCTTGCATTGGAATGCACCCATAGCTAGATCTATCATTCAGGTCCATCAGGATCCTTTTCCGAGTGCAGGGTTCCGGCGTCGCAGTGGGCTTGGCCGCTCCAGCTCCATAACTTCTTCCTTGGAGCCTTACCTTTAAACCTAAAAGGCAATGTGATGCGGTCAGACGATTAGCGGAGAGGTCCATCCCCCGTAAGCCGATATGAGCCTACCGGTACCGGAAGTTCCACCGGAACACTTACTTGGCGGACAAGCTAACAGCTACGATACTGAGTAGATTATCCCGAACCAGGCCCATGCATAAATTATCCCGAGGCACCTAGATCTAGTTGTTACTACCGTAGAAACTAGAAGTCAATGTGTCGACTTCTATACAGGCGACTGCGCGTTCTGGGTGCCGTGACAAGCGCTCAAGGCCGGCTCCGACTCCCGAGCTTCGACCATACATGGTTGCAACGGGAGTATGTTTGGTGCTTGCTTGCTTGTCCAGGTGCGTGGGCCAGCAGCGCACGTTGTGTTGGGCTTCAGCTACGGGTTCGTGGTTGGCGTGTTTTTGTACATAGCATTCGCGTTCATAGCAACTGGCTGAGAAGTGCTGGCTGCAGGAACGACGCCAGGAGCTGCCACTGCAGCGACAGGAGGACCATGAAGAGAATGGTACTGGGTTCCTGCAACTGGGATACTTGCATGTCCAGGAGCTGGCACGTGACCGACGACTGTACGAGGTTGCCCCAACATAGGAGGCTGAGATGGCCACGCACCATGTGGAGGTCGTATTGCTGGTGGAGCATGATGCATCCACGAGAGGGGTCTTGTCGTAGGTTGAGGCGGTGGCGATGCGGCACTAGGGGTGGCGCTGGCCGGGTGGTGCGCCCCAGGATAGAAACCCTCATTCGAACGCGACACAGCTTCTCTTGCGGCCGCTGCTGCTGTCGCCGCGGTGGCCTGTTCTGCTGATGAGCTTGGTGGTTGGTTCTGACAGTGGTGATGTGCCGTGATGACTGGGGACGTTGCGTAGGTTCCTAGTTTCACTTTGGGTTTGAAGTTGTTGGTCACCACCGTGTATCCAAAATAGGGCCGAGAGCCACCCCCGAGCCGTGCAGGCAAGCCACTACCAATCGAGGTGTTGGTGTGGTTTGGTTGGCCAAGTCGAGAGTGGGAAAAATCGGACAACGGACTGATACGGAAGGAGTGGCCCCGTTGACTGTTGGTGGACATATCAACGACTCTCGTCACTGTCGCCTCGCTACCACCAGCGATGCCATGGTAGGAGTTCAGAATCTGTTTTCTCCTTTCTATTTGAGCAGCTGATTCTGCAGAGAACTCGCCGCGTGTTTCGAGGTTTGTTGATTGGGCGTGTTGCGGATAGGCGTCCGACGGGCTGAAGAATCCGTGAAGGACTCTTTGATGCGCTGTCGACGCCGGTGTGCCCTCGGGTGTTGAGTTGTGAGACGTCGTCACGACAGAGGCGCTAAACTCCGTCGATTCGGCCAAAGGAACATGCGCCTTCTCTGCAACGTTTTCGTCGTGCGACGTAGCCGCAGCAGCCATAGTAGCCAAGGCAGAAAATGCCTCAGAATTGCCTTCCTTGGTTTGTGTAGAGATGGTTGCCGAAGCCTCCTCCGGCTGCTTCGCAACCACCTTGGCAGCATTCCCCGCAAACTTCTCGGCGTGTTCTTTCCAAGCGTCAGCAATTGCAAACTGCACTTGGTCTACTTCTTTCGTTGCCTCGCACGCAAGAACATCAGGATGTTCATTGTTGCTGACCGCAGGATCGCTTTCTGCTCTGGGAGAAGCCGCGCCGTCGTTTTGCATGGATGACCCGCTCTCCAAGCATTCCCCAATATTGGCCTGGTTTGCCCTGGCTGCGGCGATTTCTGCCTCTCGAATCCGTCGCAATTCTTCCGCTTTCTCCTGCTTCTTCCGCTTTTCCTCTTCCTTCCTCTTCTTCTTTTCTTCTCGGCGCTTGGCATCGGCTTGTTTCCGTTTTTCCTTGATGAGTCTTCGCCTTTCCTCTTCTTCGCGCGCCTTGCGCTCTTTCTCTGCCCGCTCGATGGCTTCGAAGTCAACTGGGAGCGCACGTTTTCCACAGGTATGAAATACCAGCCTACCTTCACAGGCGGCACAGCGACCGACGACAGTTGTCGACACGACTGGCACAGCCTTCCTGCCATTCGAAGGTTCTCTCTCCGAGCTATTCTTGCCGTAGTCTTTGCATAGGGTTTGTCCCAAAGTGGATTCGTCGCCTGCAGTGGGCGACTCCTTGTTTGTCTCTCTTTCTTCGCTCAGTTCCACATCTTCAGAAACACGGTTCTGCCTTTCTTTGTCGTGATTGGACACGTCATCAAGTCCTAGCGGGATATCAACAGTTCCAGTGCACCAATACTGTTGTGCAGAATCGCTGTACCCCTTCAGCTCGATGATGGCAACCTGCATTCCATTCGTTCCATCGATGTCATTTTGCAGTGCTCCCTCGATGTTTGAGAGTGGAATGGGCACTCCCGCAAAACAGTGGCCTTCAATCGTTGGCTTGTTGCTCGGTCCTTCACATTGAACGCTCGATTCAAGTGCGGGCTTCAACAGGTCAACAGATTCCTTGGCGCTATCTGCTTTGTGTGGAGAATCCGTCTCATTCGACTTGGCCTGAGGAAGAGATGTTTCACGCAAATTGTCATTGGCCGCCACAGCAGCTGTCGCCACCGATCCGGTCGACTCGGAGGATGCCTTTTTGGGAGCGTTAACAGCCTCCCAAGCATCATCCTGCAGCCTACCACCCAAACCATCGGCCCAGGCACGTCCCTTGTATGTCATGAACTGACGTAACTCCGGTTTGATTGACGCCTTCAACATTGCTTCAAGGTTTCCCGGTCTCGCTCGTTTGCCCCGGCCCATTTTGCCGGTTGGTAGGACAGAGGCGGATTCAGCGAGGCCATTAGTTTGCACAGGGGCTACTTTGGGCTGTTCGAACGATACTTGTTCGTTTCCATTCAGTTTTGTTTTCTGTTGTTCCCAGCGGTCTTGGGCAAACTTGGCTTGTGGGAGGATTGACAAGACTTCACTGGCAAACTCTGCATCCTTGGCAGACTTGTCGCCACCAGTGGCGTCCACAACCATCATGGTCTCAGTTTCAAAGTCTGGTAAGAGTTCTTGTCGAAGGAACGGTTCAGGTTCGCAAGGAATGAAAAATCCACTCTCCTCTTCTCCAAAATCATCCTTAACACAGATGGATACATCTTCGTCGCCATCGGAAGCATCGCTCTCATCCTTCCGCGAATCTGACTTTCCCTGGTCCAAAAGAGACAACCGAATGGCTTCAGCGATATCTGGATCCTCGAAATCTCCGACGACTTCACTCCCAATTGGCGGCGCCGCGACAACAGGATCTTCTTCTTCTTCCTCGTTTTCTTCGGGAACTTCTACCATGACTTTGTCCAACTCGTCTTCATCCTCAATGTACTCGACATTATCTCGAAGAACAAGATACCCAGGGTTGTACATATTGCCAGCAAAATCAGACTTTAAGGAAGGAGACAATTCGAAGCATTCGCCATGCACAGTTGACACCATCAAGCGCAGCCACATTCCTTCGTTGCGCTGGCGATTGTTTGAGGTCATTAGGGGGTGCAGGGATTGGATGCCTCCACTTTGGGCCGGCAGTGGCAATGTAAATAGAGGCAAATTCTCTTCACCTTGCCAAAAATACAGGGTTTCCTTCAATTCTTTCGGACCACGAAATGGATGAGGTATCCCTACGATCCATGCTTGGTGCAACCAGTAGGACTCGTCGTCCTCTTCATCGTCATCATCATCCATCGATGCCGACGCCCGTATCTTTTGCATGGAACTCCGTCTTCGAGTAACAATTTTGTTTGAACTCATCAAGGAATTGTCCCTCATGTTTGCCAAGGACCCAAGAGTGTTGTCCTGCTCGATCCAAACAAACCCCTGACGATTTTGCCTCAATAAAGTAGAACCACAGTCGTCGTCATCATCCTCGTCGTTGGCATGGTCGTTCTTTGCTGGTTCCATTTGTTCTTGCTGTTGTTGGTAGAGTTGTTGTTGCATGCGATTGTCCAACACGAAGCATGATTGCCACACCATTGCTTTCCCGTGCAACGAGACACCTTCCCCGTAGACTCGCAAACAGGCCATCGTTTCGGTTTTGTACATTCGGACGCCCCTTGGACCCGCCACGAGAGTGTAGCTTCCCTTGGTGCTCTGATTCAGAGTCACCTCCGGAAAGTTGGCAAAGTTCCGAGCACTGGCAGATATGGGGACCGCTGTTTCTTTCAGAACTTTGGCATACTGATGATGATGCCTCGAGTCGTCGTCTCCATCCTCTTGTTGACTGGAATCATCCGTCAATTTCAGCAACGCCAAGTGCACCTGAGGAGCATCCACGACAGCACCCTTGGCTGTGTCATTGTTATCGTTGTTGCTGCTGATGTCGTCGGCACAGTGGTTCCCACCACTATAGACGACAATGAGTCGATCTCCCTTTTTTGCATTGTCCCAAATCGCTGCATGGCATTTGCTCGTTTCGGCATTCCAAACCAGTTCCTCCTTGGTGACTGGTATTTTTGGTTTTGGCTTTTTCTTGGGTGGTCGTCCCGGTGATCTCTTGATGGGAATCGGTGGTGGTTTGTCTTCTTCTTCGTGTCGCAAAAACGGAATGAGTTTGATGAATTCAGTGGTTTGGGGTGCCATCTGCTGTGGATCTCGCAGTATCAGTAGAGGCCACTCATCGTCGGCATCGGTAGTATTGACGTTGTTAGAGTCCGACGTAGACGTAGTGGTGTCGTTTGATTTGGTTTCTTCTTCGTCGTCGTCGTCATTGTCAGTACATGTAGTTGTGTTGGTAGCAGCAGCAATAGTCGTAGTAGTTGCTGTAGTAGTAGTAGTAGTAGTGACACCCCATGTATTCCAGAGCATAAGATTCCCTTTTTTATGCAGTTCCAAGTAGGATCCCACGAGTTCTCCCCCCGGATACAATGCCTTGTTAGCCATCTTTTTGGTGACGGGAATGGTCCATAGTATTTGCGAACTTTGACAACCCCCAAAGGACTGACCGGGCGAATGAACCGCAGCGGTTGTGATTTGTATGGCTTGTATTTCCGAAAGTGTCAAAAAGACAATAAGATTTCCGACCCATGTAATGGATTGAATGGCATTGGGTGTCTTTTCCGTGGCCCAAAAGGCGGATCGCTTGTCTAGTAATTCCTGTTTGTATTGGCATTTGTGTTCAATTTTGGCTTGCAATTGTCGTTGGCGGGCGTGTTCTCTTTGACTGGCGGCGGTGTCCAGTCGAGAGAGTACCCTGGTTCCCCCAACAGTGGTATAGAGTAAAATGAATCCGGCGGAATCTCCCACGGCCACGTGGGTGTGTTGAGAGCACACTTTGGTAACGACTCGACAGACGGGCCAAGGTCCCTTCTGTAGTACCGGTGCCATGACAGCTTCTTCTTTTTCCGTAGGAAGAGGCATGGGTTTGTAATCTTGTGGAAAGTAAAAGTCATAGCTGGAAATGGCATTCCATTCGGGAGGTTCCGGCGGTGTGGGGACACCCAAGCCTCTCCCATAGACGACGGGATACTGTTGAGCTAGTGACTGTTTGGCCAACGGACAGGTCGTCGCCAGCGGTAGAGTGGGAGCGATGGCAGTAGTGTGTGACATCAAAACTGTTTTGGGAGGACTGGGGGGTGGCATTTCCTGCAATTTGCGAGGTGGCGGTTGTTTGAGGTTGTTGTTGTTGTTGTGATTGGTAATAGGACTGTCTGTCCTACTACTACTACTAGCAGCGGCAGTATCAGTAGTGTTGACGGCAGCTGGTGCTTTGTGAGGTCGCTTCCGCTTCTTGTGGTGTTGCGTGTGGTCCGGCAGTCCTCCATCGAAATGGAAAGTTTTGTTTTCTTGTTGTCGCTGTCGCACATCTTCTTCAGACTCGGATTCAGAAGACTCAGATTCACCGCCACTGCTGCCTCGTCTCCTCTTCTTCTTCTTGGTTATGGTGCCAGGTTTGCTATCTGTGTAATGCTGCACTTGGGTTCGATGACGTTGGGGACGACGGCCTCCTGCTCCGCCGCCGCCGCCGCCGCCACTCGCTGCGGTGCCTCCTTTTTGTTTTTTTCTCATGCTTCATTCAATTCTTCTCTCTCTCTCGCTTCTTCTTCTGTCGCTGAGATAGCACTGCCGCGGTTGTGGTCGTCCCCCTCGCCTACTGTTGTACAGTAGCAATCGATTGGATTCCGCACTTCTTCAGACCAATGCAGGCAGCCAAGGACCTCTATCTTGTGCTTTTTGGAGACTGACGACCATCGATTGGGTGCTTCTCCTCGAGTTCCGCTAAAAACATGCCAGCGAATAGTTTCTTCTTACCTTGGATACAAGATATATTGTTCTGAAAACCTACTTGAAGCCAAATTAGACGCCAGTACAACGTACCAAAGCACGTCACGACAACTAAAGGAGTCTGCCCCAACTAGCTAGCTATTCTCAGTACCGGTAGAACGCAAATGTCTACTAAAAGTAGATGCAAAATGTGATGTTTCGATAATGAAGATCATTGGACCAAACAGAACCATTGGCAATAGCAGCTGATGCAACAGGAATGCACATTGCCCACCAATAGGCTGGCAGGGGTGCAGCAACGGGGCATCAGAGCCTCAGTCTACGGTACCGTTGTCCAGGCAATGCGATATTTTCAGTAGGCTCGGATTTATTTGATCGACAACCAAGAAGCTCACTGATGACACAGAGTGCTTCATGGTCTCTGAAGGCCAGCGGTGGACTAGCTAGCTAGCTCTCATCATATAGAGACGGCACTGTGATGCGGTATCGAGGTGATCAATCAATCAATCAATCAATCTTATCAACGAAGGAAGAGTGGTAATATAGGCTGGCGCGCCATCTTTTCAGGGACTGGTTTGTTAGTGACTCCGCTGACACCTACCTCATTGCAGAAAGTTCAACCAAGATGCCAATCCAATGCCCACCCGGGGTATCCAAACCAAGCTATGCTTGGAATATCTTTGGTCCTGCTTCAGAATGATGATCATCCAGCGGGTCGTTCCATTATCAGCCCTGGCCTTGCTTCTCCTGGAGACGCAGCTATGCTACGGTCTTGAAAGAGACAACGACTCGGCTGGCCATTTGGTGCTGTTGTAGCAGCTTGGTTCAAGGAACAACTGAAAATCAGATTATTGATAGTCTACAAGATGAAGAGATATTATTGACGTTGGAAGGAGACGAACTGGAAGTGGTTCTAGTCAAAATTGGAGGATCCTCACTGACACACAAGGCACAACTCGAAACAGTCGACTCGGATGCCCTTCAGTGGTTTTCCAACACGATCAAAGAAACAATCCATGAGGGATTCAAGGCACCACCACTGGACAATCAATGCGAGGATTCCGTCTGTGTTGACTCGGATATGGCTAACGCTGACAAGAATAGCGCGTTCAACAGTGATGGCTCTCGGAGGAAACGACGGGCTTTCATCATTGTTCATGGGGCAGGTACGATACGCACGTGGATCCAGCAACGAATGAGTTTCCATTGTCATTTGGGAAAGAAAAATTTCGATCATGAAATGATGTGTTGTTCATGAACAAGTTTCCTTTAAATTCAATTCTCTTTTCAGGTTCATTTGGACATCACACGGCCAAGGAATACGCCTTGAAGGGCCAGTTCCAGCCACCTCCGACTGGGGCAGCGGAACGCAACAACATTATTGGGCAAACAGGACGACGGTGGACCATGCAAGGACTCGCGAAAACGAGGCTATCGGTACAAACTCTGAATCGATTGGTTGTCTCGAGTCTGGTGAAAGCTGGGGTCAATGCCGTTGCCATTTCTCCCTGCTTTGGCATACCCCGCATGCAGGCTCATGGAGGCGCCACGGAGGGACTGGTGCGAGTCGTTCGAGATACCTTGCAAGCCGGATTGGTCCCCGTCTTGCACGGAGATGCCTGTCTCTATGGAACCATGCAAGCGGGAATTCTCAGCGGAGACATTTTGATGGAACAACTTGGACAATGTCACTGGGTTGGACGGGCCATCTTTTTAACTGACGTCGACGGCGTCTTTACCCGAGATCCAAGGGTGGATCCCCACGCAACGTTGTTGAAACACATTCAGGTGGATAAGGATACTCTCGATATAATCAGCCCTGTAGTCACTGTCACTGGGTCGTCGCATGAACACGATGTCACGGGTGGACTCAAAGTGAGTAACTACACTTTGTGTACAGATGGATTATGTTGTGTTGTTGTGGTGCTGGTGTTCTGCTTGTGGTGTTTGCCTGCCATGCCAATCTCACTTCTGCATGTTGCTTCCAAAAGACGAAGCTAGCATCTGCCGCAACCATTGCAGCATCTGGAACGAATGTAACAATCGTCAAGTGCGGGACAATTGGAGCAGAACGAGTCCTCTTGGCAGAACACGATGACACTGTCAACGCGACAACTGTATACTCGGGGCCTTGATCACGACGGAGAGCATTATAGGCTTGGCTTGGTACAGCAAGCAGAGAAGAAGCAACAAACGTTTTCACGAGCACGAGCACGCGCACTCTGGAAGATTGCGAGACTGGAGCCTTACATTTTCTGGGCAAGCCTTGCATGATGATGCCATTCTCTTCCGAGCTTCAAGCAAGCAAGAGCACGAAATTCATCGCAATGAGGAGCAATCATATTTGGGAAGGACAAATAATACGCATCAACCAACATTTATCATGATAGAAGATGAAAGACGAAGTCTATATCCGGCTAAATCGGCGGTACCCCCCACTCACAACATTGAACCGTTCGCTCTTCTAACCCTCTTGAATTAAAAATTCATACCTGGTACTGTACCATACCGTGCCGAGCATTCGACCAAACTGAAACCATGGACCTGAAAGGGAACACACCGCAAACCAACAGTGGTATTTGCGAAGTACCAGAAGAAAGAAGTCAAAAGACGTTTAGATCTATAACTGTATTGATAAAGACCCCTTGGTTAAGATCGGCGTCAGGTCACCTGACCGGAACAAGGGGAATCTTCCAACCCCACACACATCTCTTTTAACCATTCGTTTCCAGCCATAGTAAGCCTACTGGTACTCAGTCATCGCGGCAACGATCGCACCAATGAAACCAAAGGTGGAAATCGCGGTACGAACATTGTGCAAGGTCGCCCAATCTTCCACCAACTTGCCAGCCTCCTTTTCGTCCTTGGCATTTCCTTCCTTTAGAGCGAGAATCTTGTCGTTGGTTGGCGTAATGGCAAAGACCGTGAAGGGTCCCATGGCGGCAAACAAGCCAAACGGAATCCACCAGGCTTTGTTGCCCGTCTGGTAGATGCAACCGCCAATGGCGGCATTGACAACCATGCCAAAGGGTTTCAGAAATCCAGCCGCTCTCGGAAAGAGCTGGTGCCACATGCGGAGCTTGAAAGCGTCTGGGTTTTCGTCATTGTTGCGGGCCGGGTTTTCAACAGCCGTGATGTAAAATGCTGTCCCGGAAGTGATTCCAGCTAGCAAGACGGCCGTGCCTTCCAGAGCTGCCGTCAACATATCATGGTTGCGTCCCTTGATGGAAAGCATTGTCGAATCTCTTTTCGGTTTCGGGTTTTGCTCTCTACACAACTTGAACACCGGCAATGGATTTGTGAGGGAACAGTTAGACTAGATAGCTAGTTGAGCACAGCTCTACAAACCAACCATCGTCCCGGAGACAAATGAGAACAGAAAACAGAAACAAGATCTTGGAAAAGATATCGCGCGACATCCTTGGTCCCAGCAAGTGCTGGTATGGTACCAGTACCCTAGACTAGTCAAAACATTGAACCGCTTGACCTACTACCAGGTAGTTAGCCAGTATTTGGAGTGTTGCTTCTCCGACTATCAATCTTCAGAATAACCTCTACCTGTTACTAGAGGCAGCCTGCCACTATGTGGCGACTCGAAGATCAGCAACGAAGTAGGTTTGGGAGACTTGGAATTCGACCTTGGAATTGGGCTCGGCAGACGCTCGTTGGCATCAAATCTTTGCCTGTTCTTCGTGATTCTTCATTGTTCTCGAAAATATCTGTACCGAACCGGTAGTGTCATAGTGGATCGGTCCAAACATCCATCCCAACAGCACCGCATTGGTCGGCCATGAGATTGGAGGCTGCTATTCTGACCACTTTCGCGTCTCTCCTTGTTTCTCAAAAGCCCACTTATCTATTGCTAGAGAATCAAAGCATGACAAAGCGAACGGCAGCCTTGGCGGCAGCTGCCAAACTCTCCTCTTCTGTGAGAGCTTCGAAAGTGGCCAAGAAATCTCCACCCCCAGCAGCCAAAAAGAAATCTTCTTCTGTCAAGGCCCAGAAACCTGCGAAAGCAGCAGCAAGTACCAGTGTGGATTCTGAAAAGCCGTGGTACACAATCTTTACCAAATCGGATCCAGAGTATGATGAGTACATGTCAAGAGAATGGGGCTTTGAGAAGCGCGGCGACGATGCCTTGTTTGAAAAGATTTGTTTGGAAGGTGCTCAATCTGGTTTGAGTTGGTTGACCATCTTGCGCAAACGCGAAGCCTATCGAAGTACTTTCCATAATTTTGATATTGGCAAGGTTGCTGTCATGACGGCCAAGGATGTGCAACGTATTTTGGATACCAACGAAGAGGACCCAACGAACATGGTTGTTCGACACCGAGGGAAAATTGAAGCAACCATCAATAATGCCAAGTGCATTCAAACCATGTATGAAGAAGAAGAAGAAGAAGGCAAAGAAGATTCAAAGCATGGTATCTTTGACTCGTTTCTATGGTCCTTCGTCAACGACAAACCGATCCTAAATACACATTGGAAACACGGAGAAGGCCTCACCACGGCGTTGACAAAGACTCCCGAAAGTGAAGCCATGAGCAAGGCTTTGAAGAAGAAAGGCTTTCGTTTTGTTGGTCCAACTACTTGTTATGGTGAGTAATAACGACCACATGAACAGCAAACTTGATATTCTGAATATTCTGTTACTAACTGGTGTACAACGTTACTGTGTTCACTGTGCTGCCTCTCTCTGCACCTACACGCCCGTATCGGTGCATGCACATACCATAGCCATGATGCAAAGCGTGGGAATGGTGATTGATCATCCCGCAGGAAGTCCTGAATGGCATGCTGCGGTGGAGAGATTAGGGAAACGACCAGGAGGGTATCAGAAAGACACGGATGTGGTACGAGACCCTGCAGCAGACACAAAACCGCAAAAGGCAGCCGCCAAAAGGTCAAAAAAGCCCAACAAAAAGTAGCCAGAATAAGCATTATTCTTGAACTAGACTAAGCAATTCATGGGAAAATGGGGATCTATAGTAGTACAATTCATTGAAATTCCTTCCTGGACCTACGGTCCGTGCCGTACCGCTACGGTCCGTGCCGTACCGCTAGGGTAGCCGGCACTATCTCTGAACCACCTTTTACTATCTGGTGTCGATCTGCCACCGGTGGATCTAGATGCTAGCCAGTGGCACTATAATAGCTACCGTAGTACCAGACCGGTACCGGTACCACTACGTTTCTGCAGTACTAGTACCAGGTACTGGTACTACACTGTACAGGTACCGGTACCTTGTACATGCACGCTAAAAGAACAGTATGTTATCCCTAACCTCAGTCGGACTCTGCAGACGGTCGGTCTGTCAAGATCCGCCCAGTTGACCAAAGAACGAGCAGCAATATCCATCATCAGCAATTTCAACAACTTGACCTCTTTGGTCTTTCAAGATGTCTCGTCCACAAGGTGATGAAGCATGGGATGCCATGCTGGAGGAGCTCAAGGAATTCCAAGAGAAAAAGGGTCATTGCAGGGTACCAGCAACCAATGGAAAACTAGGCAATTGGGTCTCTGCACAGCGAAAATGGTACAAGAAAGGGAAGCTGAACGAGGAGAGATTTCAGAAGCCACAAGGGCTTGGTTTCACTTGGGTTGTGTATGATTATTCTGGTCCATTGGGAGGAGATTGGCTGGCGATGTTTGCCAACCTGAAGAAATTCCAAGAAGATAATGGTCACTGCAGGGTTCCAGGAGCAGATGGAAAATTAGGCGCTTGGGTCTTTACACAGCGAAAGCGTCACAAACAAGGGAAGCTGACCAAGGAGAGATTTCAAAAGCTACAAGAGATGGGTTTCACGTGGGATGTACATGCCTCTTTTGATCCGTTGGGAGAAGATTGGCTGGCCATGTTTGCCAACTTGAAGAAATTCCAAGAGGAAAATGGTCACTCAAGGGTACCAAGAGCCCACGAAAAACTAGGCTCTTGGGTCTGCTTTCAGCGAAAACTTTACAACCAAGGGAAGCTGAACAAGGCAAGATTTCAAAAGCTACAAGAGCTTGGTTTCACTTGGGTTCTGCGTGATTCCTCTGATCCATTGGGAGAAGATTGGCTGGCCATGTTTGCCAACCTGAAGAAATTCCAAGAGGGAAATGGTCACAGCAGGGTTTCAACAGGTGATGGAAAACTGGGCAATTGGGTCTCTACACAGCGAAAGAGTTTTAACCAAGGGAAGCTGACCAAGGAGATTTCTGAAGCTAGAAGAGCTTGGTTTCACTTGGGATGTACATGCCTCGTCTGATCCATTGGGAGAAGATTGGCTGGCCATGTTTGCCAATCTAAAGAAATTCCAAGAGGAAAAAGGTCACTGCAGGGTTCCACAGGGTGATGGAAAACTAGGCAAATGGGTCTCTGCACAGAGAATACTGTACAGCAAAGGGAAGCTGAATGAGGAGAGGTTTCAGAAGCTAACAGGGCTTGGTTTCACTTGGGATGTACATGCTTCTTCTGATCCATTGGGAGAAGATTGGCTGGCAATGCTTGGCAACCTGAAGAAATTCCAAGAGGAGCATGGTCACTGCAGGGCAACAAGAGCCGATGGAAAACTGGGCAATTGGGTCTCGCACAGAGAAGATTGTACAACAATGGGAAGCTGAATGAGGAGAGATATCAGAAGCTACAAGGGCTTGGTTTTACTTGGGTTGTACGTGATTCTTCTGATCCATTGGGAAAAGATTGGCTGGCCATGTTTGCCAACCTGAAGAAATTTCAAGAGGAACATGGTCACTGCAGGGTTCCACGGCTTGCTGGAAAACTAGACGCTTGGGTCTCTACACAGAGAACGGTTTACAACAAAGGGAAGCTGAATGCGGAGAGATTGCAGAAGCTACAAGAGCTTGGTTTTTGTCATTCCCAGCCACCTGGATGCTGTAGCCAATCTCAAACATCAAGGAAGGGAGGAGCAGCTGGCAAGAAGAGAAAATTTGCACCTGATTCCCCAAATTTTGATTTTGATTCTCTGGAGTTGGATCATGACCTCTGCAATCCTAGTCTTAGCGACATTGTTTAATAAGTACGGTAGCCAGCCAGCTCAAATGGATTTTACTACTTCTGCATAGGCACCTAGCCCAAAATTGGGCGCGACCAGCACATCTTTGCGAGACATGCAAAGATTGGCTGTGGCGGCTTGGGGAAGAGGTGCAGAGCAATGGACTCGAATTGAGGCAAAGCAATCGAGATCCAAAACGCTACTCACTCGGCCCCGTTGCCTTTTATCACCTGCCACTGGCTCTTCGGCGCAATGGCACGGTCACCGAAAATAGAGAAGCGAACTAGTGCGTTCACACCGTAAACTAGAATATAACTCTTGTGGGAGGGAGTTTGCTAGCCGAATTCCGGAGGATGGGGAATGATTCGAATCGAACGGAACCTCACAATCTTAGTTTTCTTGCATTCGAGCTTGCCGTGGCGCTGTAAAGGTTTAACTTTTAAGCATCGCTAACTATGGTATCCTGGCCAACTCTCGGGTGATCGATCCCAGTAACCTACTTCTCTGCCTCCGTAGTAGGATGCCAAGACTGTATCGATTACCTTTTGCGTTCGAATGGCATTGTCCGCCCGCGACACCAGACAAGGCGGATGTACGTCCAAGCCTCGCATGTCATTGGTGACAGCCTGAATCAATCCTTGTGCCGTATGCTGTGGCATGACAAAGTCGTCAATGGTTCGAATCACAGTACCACTGGTATCGAGGACTTCAATAGGCCCGTTGGCACTCATTCCTGCCATTCGCAGTGATCCTTTCGGACCCGTAAGGACCAGTTCATCTCGTTCCTCTGCCGTTGCTCCCGTGAAATCCCACGTACAGGAAACCGAGGCTCCTTCGCTAGATGTGGCAGCCCAATCGGAGGGTCCAATTTTGGCATCGAAATGAACATAGTCTTCCACCTTTTGCAAGTCGCGACTGGCTCTGTTTTCGGCCTGCCCCTGAACATCGTGCAGAGGCCCACACAGATAGTCTATCCGATCAATCACATGACATCCAACGTCCATAATCAACCCTCCTCCGGCTTCCTTGGCAATCAATCTCCATGGCAGCGATTGTCCATCTTGTTCCATCCCCCGAGCTCCTCCGTTCCCCACCAATGTGTATTGGATTTGCGTGACCGTATCTCCCACAATATTATTATTAGGGTCTGCCAGCAATTTGCGAATGGCCAAGGTTCGTTCGTAGGCTCGACTAATGTACGCCGTGTAGAACGGGACTCCTGCCTGTTGACAAAGGGCCGCCATTTCCATGGCTTCAGCGGCACAGCGACCCACGGGTTTTTCGACGTATACCGCTTTCCCCGCCTCTGCCACTTTTCGACACAGTTCCAAATGCGTCCCCGGTCGCGTCGAAATATACACGGCTTGTAAGGACGGGTGTTGCAGAAACGCGTCCAAATTGTCGTATCCTTGACAGTCGCTGCCTTGTGGTGATTGTTGGGCGACCCACTCGGCGGCTTTGCCGGGTGTCCGACGCATCACGGCGACCAAATCACTGCCTTGACACTTGAAAAAAGCGGGACCTGACTTTGTTTGGCAGACATCGCCCAATCCAACAATTCCCCACTTGATTGTTGTTGTTGTTTTGGAAGAAGAAGAAGGATCCATTGTTGTTGTTGTTGTGTCCTTGTTGTGATTCTTCGAATTGGTGTTGAAAAGAAGCGTGTTGCTACAAGCTTCGAGCCACGCTCGTCGAGACCAGGGAGCAGCAAACGCCAAACCAGCTGCGTTGTTTGAAATACTGGAGACTGTTCGTGTTGATAACGCAAAGAAGCAGACTTGCAAGAGGAAGCGACCACAAGAGAAGCAGGAACGACAATGATACCAACAATAAGTCATGGCCGATGCTAGCTAGTAGCTTGTGTGCTTTGTGGTGCATGTCATTTCGGTTGGTGTTGTTTTTTAAAATATAAAATAAAATGAGAAAGATCCGAAGATACCCCTCTTCAAATACCTTAGCCTTAAAAAATGGATCGTGGATAGTCTTTGGCGTTCACCGAAAGAGCAAATTGTTTGTTTAACAACTCTCGGATTTAGTCTTTTGAATTCTCGTGAGCTTAAATCTCAATATCAAGCTGAAATGTCACTTAGAGAGTGCAATTTCAGTCGCCCTATGTAATTTCAGCACTTATCACGCTTATTAACACGGGGCTTAGTGCAATTTCAGTGTCGCTATGTAATTTCAGAACGTCGACTTAAATTGCATTCTCCGACATAAATCACACTGCTTTTAAATTAGAGCCTTGGATTTAACAGCCGAATCCCTTCAATTTGTTGTTTCGGTAGGCGCCTTTCCGTGGGCCCCAAAGGTTTTTGGCAATTGGCGATGGACGGTCTGACGGTATTAGAGCATCATCAACGCTGGCCTCAAATATAGCGGCAAATGTAGTCACCTCATGTACCGGGTGCAAATACAATAAGTCTTTCAAACATGCATTCGCCAGCCATCTATTTGCGGCAAGTTGACTCGGCCGCAAATTCGACGAATTTACGGATTTTCGATAAACTTCCTTCCTCACATAGCAGCAAATTCAGATTTTTGAGAAAACTTGTTTATGTGCTGTTCACCCATGATTAAATTTCGATAAAGTGAGGCAAAAATTACGAAAAGTGCAAGCAAGCATAGCCGAAAAGCGAGGATGCCGTGCCAAGGGTGCCTTCGTCTGTCACATAAGCCCTGATTTGCGGCTATGTTTGCGGCCAGCGTTGATGATGCTCTTAGTACGATGTACAAGGGATGGCTTCCTTATTGAAGGGAGGCGAAAAGCTGAACTACATGTACAACACTTCCTCCCACTATGCAGACAAACAGGCAAACCTGAAGCAACAACAGCCTCCATAGGCAACAACAGTACCTGGTACCATGCATTACAAGTCCACGCCCTTTCCATTTTTAACAACAGCTCGTACTGTACCCAAAATCCAAAAGATACTGGAAAGGTAGATCGAAGACCCAACAGAAGGGCTGGGCAAAGAATTTCATGGCGATGATACGTTGAAAAGTATTGCTTGATTGCTTCGTTGTGTATGCTTTAATAAAAAGTATATAGCATGTACAACCAAACAAACAAGCTTTGCTTCCCAACGTATCGTCACCATGAAATTCTTTGGCCCCCAGTTTTTGATTGCATCCACCAAACGTACGTGCTCTTGAGACATGGATATGGATCCGACCTCTTCGCTCTCCATCTACTGTATCAAAGACAATGATGTTGAGAACAATCCTTCTCGTCTTCCTCTGTGTGTTTCTCCAAGCGCCCTTTGTGGCTGGCTCGTGGTTCATTCAATGTTGATCAAGTTCGCCAATATTCTCGACCTACGTACTGGTAAGAGCAACAACAAAAGGAAGAAGGCCCACGACGAAGGCTGCATCGACGTTGGGAGGTGCCACGGGATACAGCTTACAATTCAGCTTTACAGCTTTACAATTAGCAGGCTTATTCTAGAAAATAATCAATAACTGCTCACTTATTTGGAAATACAAACTTTACATCTCTTAGATCCTTAGACTAGTCAATGCACAATGGTATTGTCGCATGGTAGCATGCGAGGTTATGAGATGTTACTCATTCTTATTCTTATATGTCTATCTCTTATCAATGATACTCGACTGGATTCGCTCGTAAGCAATCCTCTCATCATTGCCACTCGACTGGATTCGCTCGTAAGCAATCCCCATGTCGATCCCTTTCTTTATCCTGCTGTTGACGATCGTAATCTCAACAAGGACGTTCATCCTGTCGTCGATCGAAATCGCGATGAGGATCCTATATTATACCATGGACTCCCATTGGAGTCCACCTTTTGTCCTGTTGACGAGCATAATCTCAATGAGGATCCTATTATCTCGACCGCTACAGGAGCCACTACTGGTACTGCACGTTCGACTGCAACTGTTACTACTACTGTTATCTCTATCACCGGTAGAGCCTTGCCTCATCTCCGTCGCGATCGATCGATCCGAGTTAACAGAGTTAACAGAATTCATCGAAAAATGAGCTCCGTCTGCAATAAGGCTCGGCCTGTGTGTCATGCATTGAGTCATGCTTCGGGAGCCATTTCACCCTCTATTATGGATTCAAATCACCTGAGCTTAAGTCTTTTCTTGAGTCATGCTTCAGATCCTCACTTTTTCATTAACTCGACGGAGAGGTACACTGATGTTGTTCGATACGTACATAAACCGAGCGATGTATCGTCGTTCCGTGTTGTTGTTCGAAACAAACTGCCGATCGATAACAACAAGCTCAGTCTACCTAGGACTGGCATTGGTCGTTTTAACTGGCTTGCAGTTTGTCGTTTGAACACGAAGGATTCAAATAACCCGAAGAACTCGCTTGCAGTTGTCGACACCGATTCGCCGAACTGTTGGAAAGCTCATAAATTCCATCTTCGATTGACTCGATTGACTGGATATCCACCGGCCTCCTCTTGTTGCCGCTCCTCCTATTGTTGCCACTGCCCTCTTGTTGATTCTCACTTGATGGACCTTGACGACGCTTCCTCTGCCTCAGCATCTTCATCTTCAACAACAGCAGCGCCAGCACCAGCATCCTTGTTCAGTCCACAAGGCTTCAGACAAGCCTTCTTTGAATCTGATCCAATCATCCCACCATCTGATCCTCCAATCATGACTGCAGCACCATTGACCGCAGTTCAATTCCAGGAGCTCCTCCAGCACATTGGGAAAACCAAAGAGAAGACCAAGCTTACAGAAGCCCCTCGGCTGGAGGTATCAACCACACTGGAGCCTGGACAGGATCTGGCTCAGATGGCTGGGAAAGGAACCTCAAAGCACCTAGCCTCAGGGGTTTCCATGGTGACGACCATCTGAAACATCACACCACACTCCAGCCTATCGAATTGGCATGCAAGAAAGGACTGAAGGATTCCACCAGTCTACTATTTTCCACTCTGACTGAGTCCAATGTTTCTGGGTCTCATGTGCTGCTCTCTTATCGCCTTTGAAAGTATGATGACAGAGCATGGATGGAAGGGGTCTTCCAGCTTGTGGTTGGAGACCTTAATACTAACACTATTAAATAAAATCAAACATGTTCACTGCT